GTTTCGGCAAACGTGGAAACACGTATGAGAGCACTCGGGCGTGTATTCGGCGTTATGTTAACGAAAGAGTTCGGCGAACGTCTGCACCCCCTCCACCCTTTCCCTATAAATGCGGAGGTAGGGTGCGCGACAGCCCTTAAGGCCGACGAGAGGCGCACTCGCTTCCCCCAAAGTGGTCTCGAGCGCTTTATAGCCGTAGGTTGGCTGCAATGTAAACCTTGTTTTTTCCGCCAGGGCGTAACCCAGGGCCGTAAACCCGGCGAGCCGTAAGGGCGGCTCGCACGACTCGGCTTATCGCTTTTTCCCTATCAGCGATTTATTGCAGTTTAGGGTCCTACGAGACCTCGCCGCGGTTTCTGCACGCGCCTCGGGTGTCCCTTCGTTTCTCGACGTCTCGCGAGCCTCTTATACTTCTTTCCACCGACATCGATTAAATCGCTCATTCTCTAATTCGTTGAAGTAAACGCTCAATTCACCGTAACCAAGGATTAACTTCTTAACTGAGGTTCGGTGCGCGTCCTTAGCAACGGAAGATGGCGGCCGCCCTCTCCTGCTGTTACATCTCGAACTTCGGTCATCTCGTCCAAACTCTAGGGATAGGAGTTCCCAAAGCCCGGCGACTCGAGTTTTCTTCCCGCGAGATCAAAGCGCGGTCGAGGAGTCCACTACCCAACTAGCCCCTTATCACGACACGCGTCGATAGCGCGCTCGGGGCTGCTTATTCTTTGCCGGCGGTCTCGTTAAATCACGCCGCCGACGTATACAAGGACGTTACGTCCCCCTCCGTCGCCCGGGAATCTCCTCTCTCCCTCTTTCTCGATCCTCATAAACTCGCAAAAGTCCTCGGCTCGTTGTCGTCTTCGTCGTAGTCGCCGTCGTCGTCGTCGTCATCGTCGTTGCCGCGAAGTTTATACTCGGCCCGACATTACGGCACTGCCACACAAATCCGAGCCCGTAGTAAAGCCATACGCGAGAGAGCTCGCCCGATTTTTACACCGTCGCGGGCCCTCTTTTTCTAACAGAGAGACAAATGCAAATCTTCGCCCACCCGCTTCCCGGACCGACGCCATTTCTTTCCCAGAGTCCTCCGTGACGGCCGTCTTGCGCGGTCAACATGGCCACCACCCTCCACGCTCTTTTTCCGACGTCTCGATCGCGGATTCTCGGGAGTTCTTCACCCCCAAGGTGATACCAAAGGGTCGTTCTATGTATGTAAAACGTTAAAATATTTATAAAACTTTTCCCCAAACCGGATGTACCGGATCGATAGAAACTTCAGCGTGTAATTGTAGAGGCCCTGAGAAAGAACGTGGTGCTCATGAAACAACACTTTTAATCAAAGAAATTTCTTTTATCTGTCCTAGACTAGAACCAAGAAGACATAATTCCTTTTTGGGAAAAATGAAATCTCACGAGCACCGAGTTCTTCCTTAAGGCCTTTATTATACTTTCACTGCATTTTTCGGTTTTATTAGTACGTTGAGTGCGTACGCCGCAAATCCAAGATGGCCGCCTCCGAGATGGCTAGACTCTTCGACGATTTCATATTTCAAAGCGTTTATCGAGGCGGCGGAAGTACCGGAAATAGCGAGGGGAAATAACCATCTAATCCTACGCTAATTTTCGGTAATTGACTCAGCTTAAATCCCGCAAGCTTCGCTTTGAGCCGGGTACTATTAATAACCATGGCGCCCGGGACAAAGTGTAATGCAGTAATGAAACAATAAGTACCGCCCAAAGAAAATGTCGGCGGGGGAGTACTTCCTTTTCGTTGGTACCTTATTACCGCGGTGTATGATTAATGGAGGTCTCTCGGATAACCACGGGAAATCAAGCGTCCCCTCGACGACGTAATTGAACCCAAATTGCAGAGTATTGCCTTTATTAATTCCCGGGACGATCGCGTATTGATTTTGATTTTTAAAAGCACCCTTTTAGAACGTCTAATGCCGTTAAGTAAACGTCAATAAATAAATGTCCTAAATTAGTGTAAATGAAGCGTAGGTGAAATTCGCGTACAGAAAAATCAATCAGTGGAAGCAGTCTTCACGGTGGTGTCAAGAGTAGTCATAAGTCACAGCAACGGCCAAGACTATTGGATCGCATTATTCTAATTGGATGAAACTCAATCTCAAAATTTGGGACACGTTCTCAGATCCGGATTTGCTTCCGCTTCCGAGCGGCCATAAACGTGGAAAAAGTGGAAAAATCCAATTTAAAATGTTGCCTCCCCGAGTGGTACATTCGGAGAAAAAGCAATTCCTTGATGATTTATAGTTGTGACTTAATAAATGTGCATTTAGAGAAACCTCGATTCTTCGGTGATATAGAACTTCGATTCCACAAATGTGCATTTAAAAGAAACGCAATTCCTGGATGATATCAGTTCTGGCTCTACAAACGCGCATTTGAAGAAAACCTCGATTCCACGATGATTAAAAAATTCTGACTTCACAAAGCGCACATTAAAAAGAGAAGGCAGTTGGTTTTAAAATCCGTACTCCACGGACGTGTACTTAGAAAAAACTGCGAATCTCGATTATGTACAGTTTTTATTACGTTATTGTACTTTTCCTTCACGGAAAAAAGGAAACAGGAAAAAGAAAGCGTTTCTTACACGGTAAAAACGGCTCCGAAATGTTCGGATCAAAGACTGGGGCTCTCGTGGTGTAAATCAACGAAGCTCCGTCGAAGTCCCTCGGTATGGGATGGACCCGGGTAATTATATTCCCGGCATGACTACATTATCTTAATATAAGCCCAACAGTGAAACGAGGAAAATACGGACGTGACATGGCGTGCAAATTTCCCCCTTTGAGGTTGAATCATCAACCTGTGACTAATACGGTGATCGACCAGCGCGTTAAATGTTTACACGAGATCCCGGATATTCAATCGCGTTTCGGTGATTGAGAAGCAGATTTAATATAATATACGGTAGCCCCGAAATCGCTAATTGTCCTTCGTGAAATATTTAAACTACGCGGGATATTCCCCCAATGATTTATTCACGGGAGCGGTGATTGGCCCAAGACCGGTAACGTCGCGGTTCTATCTTGAGTACCGCTACCCTTAATGTTAAACTTAGAATTACTGAACTATAGATCGCTACGTGACACCCATGGTTTCAGGCCACGTGGCTTTCAACGTGTGGCCACGGATGGCAATTGTTGCCCACCTTTCGTGGTAAAAGTGCACCGTTCAAAACCATCGATAACTCGGCGGAAATGAATTTTCTACCTCGCTAGAAGGAGATCGTTAATTGGGAACGACGCAACAGCGTGTATAAAAACGTCTGTAGAGCCAATTTTAGACACTAACCAGCTCGCGATCGTCATTTTACAAAGTTAAAAATTTACGATTGTATGGTACACGTGTCTGAATTTGAAAAGAATTGAAACTTCCAAATTAAAGAATACTATTAGACAATATTATATATCATTAGGTGCACGTAAACAGTAATAAGATGTACAAAGAAAAGCATCCAGTTTCCTAGTCAGGCATTTTTTTTTTTTTATAACACACAAACTTACACTCATTACCGCGTGTATAAAAACGTCTGTAGAGCCAATTTTAGACACTAACCAGCTCGCGATCGTCATTTTACAAAGTTAAAAATTTACGATTGTATGGTACACGTGTCTGAATTTGAAAAGAATTGAAACTTCCAAATTAAAGAATACTATTAGACAATATTATATATCATTAGGTGCACGTAAACAGTAATAAGATGTACAAAAAAAAGCATCCACTTTCCTAGTCAGGCATTTTTTTTTACACACAAACTTACACACATTACCATGTCGTAAGAAGTTTCAGAAGCTGCAATACCGAAGAATGAAAATCGTGTAAATCAAAGGATTAACATATATTTCTTTGGAATAATGTTAAGAGATCGCGATTCAATTTTGATTCGAAAATACTTGCGATTACCTATGAACTAAATATAATCTCCTTTCATCAGGCTAAACAATACATCTTATCAGAAATACACAGGCTTTGAATTTTTGGTGCCGCGGTCTTTTTGGCAAGCAATGTATTTCTGGAAGCGTTTAATTGGAAAAAGCTGCTGGAGCTCTGGGGTGGCCCTGACCAATTTTTCTCGGAAATATTTAGGCGCACTTCCAATCGGAACTGCCAAGGCCCTTGTTTGGCGTTAAGTCAACGTTAATATCGATAAAATACACCTATAGGACCGGCTTACGCGTTACCACAAAATGTCGAATACCAAGGTTTGACTCGAGTGGTTGAAAGACCTTGTTACTTCGTGACGTTGTCCCTAGGTGGCCAGAAAGGTACTGCGATAAGGTCGCTAATCAAAATGTCTGCCCTCGTGATATTGCGCTTGTAAAATCAACACCTGCGTGCTCTTCGTAGTACAATCATTCGCAGGACCGTTTCATACCCGGACCCCGCCCCCTCGGTACCCTCCCTGCGATTTCCTCGCCTTTCGACGAGTTTACCTTCCATATGAATCCCCAGAAAATTCTCCGCCGTTTAATCCATTACGCAGGTTTCTGCGTTCCAACGTGTTCACAACTTCCTGCTACCCCGCCCTGTTCAATTCCACCTGATGATCCCCGATGTTCCTTCGATGCCCCCGACTTTCGGCAGACGAAATTAACCCTTTGACATAAAAATTCCCTGGACGAAATCAGAGACTTGAAAATGACGAGTCAAACCGATGCTCCCGGTACGGCGAGAGAATCTCCAGTCGGGCTCGTTTTAAATAACAAGAGAATAAAAACAAAAACGAAGACAACGTTCCAAGGACGCGGGGACAACCCAAGCCCGGCCGCTCCCCAAAGACGTGGATCGTCAATACCCGGTTAACGCTTGAAGAACCTCCGTATCAGAGTACATCAATGCACACCAAGCAGGCATTTATTCCACTAAACCTTTTTTTGCGGCGAAATTAACGGCTTTGAGGTACGCCCTGGCCGAACCATCGATCGATCGCAAGATCAACGCCAGCGTGGTAAATCCAGAGAGAGACTTACCGGGCTCGGCGAAGGTGATGATCTCGGAGGTCCTGGCGTAGAAGTCGTCCATCTCGTCCTGCGGGTCCTGCTGCAGGTGGTCGGGTTGATGGTAGGCCCTGAAGGGAGTGGCGGTGACAGGAGGGTCCTCCGTGGTGGTGCCCTGGGTGGGCCGGGGCACGCCGGCCCTGGAGGGCGGATCCGGGCCGTAGTAGAGGAAGTCCCCGTGGTAGAGCCTGCGCCGCCCGGACCCGCCGCGGTGCTCCTCGGCGGCGCCGGAGGGCGGCTGGGCCTCCGCCCTGGAGAGCGTCTGCAGGGCCAGGTGGCGCGGCACGGCGGCGAGGGTCCGGTTGACGTCGGGCCGGTGGCGGAGGCCCAGCTTGGTCAGGATCTGGTGCTTGATGGCCTCTAGCCGGAGGTCGTCGGGACTGGGCCCGGCGTCTTTGGAGCCCCCGCGAGAGTGGGTCCCGTGGAGGGCGTGCTGGTGGGGGCAGCCCGGGCAGGCGTGGTGGGTCTGTTGCCTGGCCAGGGCCTGGGGCAAGGCCAGGAGCCAGAGGGCCAGGAGAAGGAGCAGCGGGGACCACGGCACCGACCTGGGGCCCGGGGGGGCTGTGGGGGCTACTGGGGCGAACAGGGCGGAGTCGCGGCCCGGCCGGAGTGGGTCAATTGGCCGGGTCCAGGTGCGCGATCGGCCCTTGAGCGTGGGGGCTGCCGGTGATTGGCCCGCCTGAGGTCGGAGACCCCCGTAGGGCATCTCGGCGAGGAGTCACCTGCCGCCGAGGCCGCCGCGCCGCCCTGGCTGGGCCCCGGGCCCTCGAGCCCTCTGGTGAGTGGGGCGCTGCCCGGTCCGGCTCTCCTCCGCGCTCCTGCTGCCCTCCCGGTGCTCTTCGGTTCTTGTCCTGTGGGTGCGCGGGCTAGGGGAACTCTTCGCAGCGGGGACGGCGGCGACGACGACGACGACGGTGGCTGACGGTGACGGGGAGAAGGCATCCTCGCCTAAACCCCCCATTACCAGAGTCCCTGGGCGGCTTCGGGCTTGATCTCGGGGTGGGCCCACCTAGTCATCCGTGCCGGCTCCGCGACTACCCGAACGACTGACCGTCCGTTCCAAGGGCCGCCTCGACCTTCTCTTGCACCTTCTCCTCGCACCTAATACGCAGCTACGGGTCGGCTCTCGGAAGTGATGCACCATTTAAATTTCTAACTGGCTGCCGGCTCCGCTCCCGGGAGTCGCGCGACCTCGGGCCCGACCTATGGGACCCAGCGGCCGGTCGGGTCGAGGACGTCTAGGACGATCGGGGTCGGGTCGCTCGGTCCCGAGCTCGCTGTCGGGGCCGCTACCCTCCGCATCTTGGGGACCACCCACCGCGCGCACCTGGGACCACTCCCCCTCCTACCTGGACCGCCGTCGCTCTCTGTCTCTCTCTGCCTCTTCCCTCTACCCTCTTTCCTCTCCCTCTCCCTCCAGCCCCGACGAGACTTTCTCCTGAATCCGGAAGGGTACCCGCTCGGACACCGCCGCGTGTCGGGATCTTCCAGGACCGCGAAGCACGCTTCTCGGAGGCGCGCCGGACACTGAGGGGCACCCACCACTACCGGCCACCCANCCCCGTGATCCCCCGAACCCCCCACCGCCCACCGACTAAACTCCTCCGTAAGTTTATATAGGTGCTCGCCTATAATGCGATAGTGTCTTTGATGCTATAGCGGTTAAGGGACGTGCACACCGGAGACGCGCAGGCGTCTCAGGGACGCACCGAGCACTGGGCTGCCCGGCGCCGGCGCCCTTTGCGCCGAACCGGAACTCCGAGCGGCCACGTGGCTCTCGCGTGGTTGGACCCTCCGCATCCACTCCTTTTTTTTTTACCTTCCGACATTTTTTTCGCCCTTCCTTCCGATACTGCCGACTCGACACTCCTGAGCGCCTTCTCCGCCTTTTTGGACCCAACAGCCCTGCGAAACGATCCGAGAGGAACCAAGGTGCCCGGGGAGGAAATTCCATACACAGCGAATTTTAACTCACCGTAGGATCCGAAATACCTCGACGAGGAAGAGGACCCCGGTAATTTGTAGCTTCGGTTTAACCTCCGTCTTTCGATGCGAGCTTATCGCGCGGTGCTTTATCCGAATTCCTGGGGAACGCATCTTCCCACGTTCGAGTTGGAGGTTAGGTTAGGTTAGGTTGTGTTCGGCCGGGCGCCCCGCTGCGGCGCGATGTACCCCCTGATTCACCTGTTACAAAAACCACGGGCGATACGTTAAGTTAGGTTAGGTTCGCGTCGAGGGACGTAAGAACTCCGCTCTGGATGTCTCGCCTCGGCGAGTGGACGTCCTCCGGGTTTAGCGCCGTAGGATGTTGGCAAAACCCTAATAGATTCAAGATGGCGTCGGTTCCTAACGGCTGCCGTCCCGTCGCCCGGTGTCAGGCCGCCGACGAAAAGTTAATGCCACTCCCCGCCCTTGTGGCGTTTCTTCATGACGAAACCGCGCATTGGCGCTGATCGGAAGGCGGTGTCACTTTGCCGGACATCGAGGCGCGTCCTCGACCGGAAAGGGCGCCGCCATTTGTTTTCCCGTTCCCTTAGAACCCCGCCGAAAGGTCCCTGGAAACAGCCCAGGAATTCTCCCTCCTTCCTCTTTGTTTTTTATCCACTTTCTCGCGATCCGGAGGAACTTTCGACGCTTTTCCGTGCCGTCATGCGAAAGCACTTTTTCCTGCCGAAATTTCTTCCACGACACGATGCCGGGATGTTGCGTCAGCCGTGATTGCGTACTCCACCCTTTCGGATCGCGATCCTCGTTTACACTTATGGGGTACACTTTGCCTCGTTTCGACCTGGAAATTGCTACGGAGTTCGTTATTTGCTCGCGCGAGGATCATAAACGGTTATGCCGCTTTCGTTGATCTCGAGGTTAACGACGAATTGAAGGCGTTTGGCGATCATTGAGGGAGGATATTGGACGCCGGTCCGAAACGTTCGCATGCCGATCCGAGGAACGTAGACTTGCTTAAAAGATCGCTTTACGAGTCCTCCTCTAAACGTTTCTTTTTTCATCCTTTCGGCGACGTCATTCGCTGGGTTATTGGCCGTTACAAATGTTTATTGACCGGACAGGTCGAATTCCAGCAAATGTCCGCGACGTACTAACGCGCTCCGTCTTTTTCCCTTAAACGTTTTCCAACGTGACGCGAAAGAGACAAGGTGTGCTCCTAGGGAGGTCTTATTTTTTGCCTTTCGAAGACGACGCCATTTTGTAACACTGCGGCGGTTTACGTATACATGGTATGACAATTTAATTGCGTTTTGGGAGATGAAAAATGTCTGGACGTTCGGGGAAATCGTATAAATTTTGGAATGGAAACGAGAGAAGTTTATGTATTGAAACATTTTTTTTTTCTACCTCTTTCCGACTTACTTCGTCTTCGGTGGCGTATTTCCATTGTTTAATTAACATAATTACGTTTTGGATGCGTATTAAGATCGATCCGTGAAATGGCTGGGAGGTACCCGTCTCGTTTACATAAGGATTTTCCACCTACTTCTTCCAGTAAATCTACTTTCCTTGCCGCGATAAAGATCATTCATTTGTCGGGATAAATTAAGTGGCGCTGTAATAAAAGGACCGCCGGCATGGGAAAGCTGGGAAGCAAAAGGAACAAAGGAGACGGACCGGTAGGTAATTCTTTCGCCCCAACGAGCGGTCCGTCCATTGAAAACTGGCTTCGATAATAAATTCTCCTCGTGCAAAACCAATAACAAAAGGAAGCACCCCGGGGAAGAAAGAAATACGGAGACCGGCGCACCCGCGGAAGCGTCCTCGTAACAAATGACTGAAAAAGCGCAAATTTTGTGGCGGGTCGTCTCCGGAACTTTTACTCCCAGCAAAGAAACGGGGAGGCGTCGTCGAACCTCCTGGAAATAATTTCCGTAGGTCCCATCTCGTTCCGCGACCCACCGCATTCGGGAATTTCGCATGGATTCCGAGGGCGAAGCTCTCGAGGATCCCCCAGGAAGCAGGAAAAATGGATCCGCGATTCTCCTCTCCGCCCAATCCGCCCGGACCTCCGAGACATTCCAAGAACGGTAAAAGAGACCTCCCCGGGGAGTTGCCAAGGAAAAAGACGCCTCGTGGGAGCGGATGAAGCCGCGGTTCCAAAAATCGATGGAAGGTGGACTTCTAACCCGAACGTCTTGCATTCCAGCCGAGTTTATCCGATTATTTATGAACGGAGTCCCGGGATCCGCGAACCGAGGACCGGGACTCAGGGAGGTGCGAGTCGGGATTCCCCTGACTCGCCACGAGGAGGCCGGGAAGGAGCCCGGCCCGGCATCCTGGAGGAGTCTCTCGGTTATGGGAAGGATTTCGACACGGGCTGACAAGGTTTGCGGCTTGGGATAGAGCGTGCAGGGCAGGCGAGGTTGCTGTAAGCATATTGATCAGGAGACGGCAGTTGGCCGCATGCCACGTGGTGATGCTGCGAGAGGCGCCGGCCTCTCCTCCTATTATGACCCCGAGGTTTCCATCTTCGTTCCTTACTTTTCCCTCTTCCTTGGAGGCCGGGCGGCGCCATCGGCGCCCCGGGACCGGGACCGACGGGCCCGGCCCTGGAGGCTCCGCTTAAATTGAGACGTCAGGTTAACAAGCTCACCCGCGTCGCCGAGGTGCAAAAGGCGCGGCCCGCGGCCTACAGCCTTGCCAGTGAGCCTAAAGGGATTAAAACGAAGAAATATTAAACGGCCTGGAGGAGAAAGAGGACCGCCTTCTTGGGTGGCTACCGGTTCTTAGTTCGAGTCCGCAGCGCGGCGGGCACGACTTTTAACGGCTAAGGTTAACGCCGCGGGCCGGTCGGTTCGGTCTCGTCCTTACCGACGCGTTTCGGGGCGAGTCGGTATTCCCACGAGTTTCAGGACACGTGGCGCTGGCCGCACAACGCTCTACGGAGATTTGCACGTCCGATCCTCCGTTGGTAACGACGCTTTTTTTAGCCGGCGCGACGCGTCAACGCGTCGAGGATAAACCAATCGGAATTGTAATTAATTCCCTACTTCCGCTGCGGTTCCGATTGATTTAGTTCGTGTCTCATAGGATGCGGAGGGTGTTACAGAGAATGCGTTTTGCATGTGCGGTAGAATTCCACAGTATAGGTACAAAAGAACAATATTCAGTTTCTAGTAACCTTTTAGTGTAATAAATATACAATGGTATAATAAACTAGGAAAAAAAACGTAATTGTACAGTATATAATGAGTGCTTGTCAAAAGTTTCCCAGAACTTGTTCGAATTTCCATACAAAATAGGGAGAAGTAACGGATTGTAGTGATTCGAGGTGTCGCAGAATACGCGGAAACACATTTTTTCATTTTTTTTTAAGACTATCATAAGCGGTAATACTGCTGCTTCATTTTGCCGCGTTATCCAATTGGCGCTGCGGTCGATTACATCCTTTCGGCATCCCCTTAAACTTCAACGTAGGATTCATGTATGTACCAGGAATTGCGCGTTTACTTAACTAAGTTAGTGTCGCCTGACATCATTGTCGGGCTCATTGCAGACTCGGACGGTATGTTATCGGCACGAGTCATGAAAGTCTCACCGACAGTTCTTTTTAAATCCTGTTTCCATTGGCGTCTCTGTAGAGGTCGTCGTTGATGCCGTACAGCCTTGGCGAGTCGTTGCAATCGACCTCGAGAGATAAAAATGATACAGAGATTAGTTTATTACTCCTTATCGATTTAATGCCACGATTATATGTAGCAAATATTTAATTAATTACCTTGAACCACCAATCACAGACACGAGTGGTTTGACTAAAGACTGTGCCGTTAGGGCAAAGGAAGCTGAAGAGTCGTCCGTTCGGCAGACACCAATGCCAGACCTGCAATTTGTTGAAAATGATTGGCCTCATTGTTGAGAAAACCCGAGGAATATGTGCCCATAATTATGAAAGTGGTCTAAGTCATATATTTTTTGTTTCGAAATTACATTGAATTAATTTCGTTTGAAATAATGTGGCGTGAAATAACTGATAAACTCATTTTTTTTACAATTTTGACTTAGACCACTTTCATAATTATGGGCACATATATACTCTTTGTCAATAATATACCGTACCTGACATCTAGCTTCGGGATCCGCGTAGTAACCAGGTATCTTCCCTCTGCAGGTAAAGGTGAGCCCGAAAGGTACGGAATTGTAGATGGGATAATCGACACCGGGCGTGTAACCATCGACTTGCTGGAAAATCCGACATTTCATCATTGGCCAAAAATAACTCCGCCATCTTTCATTGCGCGCCGAGCGAAAAGTAGATTTTGCGAAGTCGTCATAAGAAGCGATATCGAATCGTCTCACACAAGCTTCTATCGTTATCGCTATCTTTTCACTCAACGGGTATCAAGAAATAATATCACGAAGAGCAAGAAATAATCGCGCCGAGAATCTTTCCTTTTCAGGCTTCTTCAGAAAGTGAAAATAAAATGATACCCAGCTGGCGAGCTTTAGTGTGGAATATATCGTTGTTTGATCTTTATGGGTTTACTTTATCGATACGTGAATTTGACTCGTTACCTGATACGATTAATTAAATTCAACCGAGTGGCTAGATTTTTCGGTATTTTTTATTAAGCGGCATTGGCAAAATGGGGAACCGCAGGCGATTTCGCAGTCGCGCAATATGGCGTCACTTTTCGCAACCGACCATTAATCAAAATGGCCAATGAGGCTGTTGCAACGTAACGCAATCCCATTCCGTTGCGTACGTGGCTAAGACTGACCGGAAGTTGGGTACATTGTTCCCGGCGGCGGATGCGCATCTCCGACGCTTTTGTATTCAATCTCGTGGCGAACCTAACCTCAACCCTTTCCTACGCACCGAGTGGATCGCTTCGTGACGCGATCCAAACCTGCGGTAAAGGGTAACACGAATGTAGGAAGTATGAAGCCTGCAAACCGATCTAACTCTGAAAAAAATAACAGAAATGAGGAAGAAAAACCAAAGGGGCTGTTTTCTCGCACATTCTCCCTATTTTAATTACAAAAAATAATTACATAAGGCGTTGTGGCGATAAAAAAAAAATATATACAACGCGCGAAATAACAAAGCACGTTATGCGCATTATACGAGAAAAATTACCGTACGACATGATTTCCTATAACGGGTATTCATGTAGCGCGCAAAGTATTAACCGCGTTACACGGGAGTCTACTGTATATAAGAGCCGTAATTATTTTCGCCCTCGTCCTAGTATTCCCCAAAGTTGAAAATTCCACTCATAAAAGTATATTTAAAATGCTTGCGTGTAATAAAAACCCTATGTTGAGGTAATTCGAGCGTTACCGCCGACTAATAGGGCGCGTCCTTCCCTCGGGCCGGATGCGCACGGCGTTCATTTTTCATGGTCGGCACTTCCGGTGAAACCGAAAGGGGCACCGCCATTGGTTGCGTGATAGAGCACCCTAGCCTTCACAGTTCGCGGATTTAATTGTTTGGATTTTTATTCGGGTCCTCCTCTCCCTTTCACCGCGATATGCCTAGGCGAGCACGGACCTAAACAACTGGATATTGCGCACTTCTAACGACATTACCTACTGGATACGTGCAGCTGTCTTTTTCATTATTTTCATTTCTTTTCCCAAGAAACTCGTAGGAAACAGCCACAGACCGGTATCTTAAACAATTTTCCCAGCTTCAATGTGATTAAGTTAAAACACTCTGTACCGTTGCGACCTATCCATGAATTAATTAAAATACGATATGGAATGTGTGATAACGAAAAAGCTTATAATAATGGAGGGTGAGCGTCATAGGACAAGTTTAAACTATTTTCTAAATTTTTCTGGAAATTTGTTAACGAAGCAGATGTAGAATATATCGTAACACTGTTGCCAAGGAGAGATTGAAATTAATAAATGCCCCATAAAAAAGACTGCCTTTTTTTTACCATTTATGCTATCCCTTATCACGTTAAATGCGGCTTCAATCTCAAGGGAAGAAATTAACTCCGCGTTGATTTTCTTTCACTTTCCATTTAGCATAATATTATTCCTGTTGATCTCATCGTGTTTAACGCGTTAAATTTTTCTGCAAGAAAATATTCGCAATTTGCGCGCAGGGTATTTCCGGAAAAGTTTAGAGACGGAAGGTAGAGGTCTTTCTAATATACTGTTGCATATACCATGGGAACGTCCTTTACTCTTTTACAAGCTGTATGTTGAAAACGCTTCTGAAAAAAAATCAGCGAAAAGGTCTCGGTCGATAGGGAGGCACTTCGCGTGAGAGAGTAAGCCCGCGCAATCGGGGGAAATTATTTAATTAATTAGGTTAGGTTGCCAGTCGTAAGCCCTCATGTGAAAGATGCGGTTCACTCCCCGCCATTGTTGCGCATTGACTCGTGGGAGAATGCGTTGCACGACATGAAAATCTTCACTTTTTCGCGCTCGTCTCCCCCAGACATTCCCGAGACTTTCGTAACAGATCTTGACTCCGCTTCCTCGTCTTCTCACCAGAGGCGTTACACAACTCAATGTACACGCACGGAGGAGAAATGCAAATTTCAAAGTACTAGACTTACCGCCCACGCCTGGTACACCAATATCGTTCCAAAAAGCAGAAGGGCGCCTAGAATCCCCCAACGTGACGTCATCTGTAACGACAAATCAGGACAAATGTATTGGATTGATGCATAAATAATTACGTTTTTTTTAACACGTAACGTTACGAATAAAAAACGCTGTTACCTATGCATCAACATAATCGACATACGAGCTGAGCCGGAGTCCCACTGAGCGCGTCAAGTGTCACACACAACGCGCCGCGTCGACACATTGGGGATAAAAAATCAATCAGAGCGAAAATCACGTGCATAGTTAAGCGCAATTGGAATTGCGAAAAGATAATTTCAAGAATAACGCCAAAAGTTTTATACCGGACCGGTTATTATTAAATAGGAATTATAACAAAAGAAGTAAAAGCCTGGCCGAAATTTGACTCACACTTTGACCCGAATGAAATTCTCGAAATCTACCCGTGGAAAGTGAAAAGAAGTTCGAATACGAACCTTCGCAACTTCCTGGAGCCGTTAGTCCTTGTCCTTCCACATGGAGGACATCTATGGAAGCTGTTATCGATGGCCGAATTCCGAATCTTCGTGCAGGTATCACCTTGCGAACGTAACCTCAACTCGACTCGCGAGGTCGGAGTTTCTGGCCTTAAAGCGATTCGTCTTTCGAGGAAGATCTCCTCGTGATGGTATATATATGGCGTCGCAGATGAGTGCGTGGGGAATAACTTCTGAGAGATCCCCATTCTTCGGTCTCCCACCCGCCCCCTGGGGTCCTGCCAAGGGCCCGCCATCTCACGGAAAGGGGAATCCCCACTGCATCTCGGACGAGGAGATTCCCTTCTACCGCCGCGTTGCGTAATCCGTGCTCTCGCTCGCGTGGAAACGCGAGAGACGCCTCCACCTGGGGCAGGGTGAACACTTCCGATTTTAATCCCGATTGGCCGATATGCAAATCTTGTTTTCAATCTCGTTGCTCGATAAAGACGTCCGTCCACTTCTCCCTGAAGATGATTTCCTTAATGCCGGATTACAACAGTCTCTATTACACTTACGGTGGTGGATTACCGCACAGGTGCAAAAAAGATCCCAAAGGGAAAATTCTTACGTTCTAAGTATTTACCCCGTGCCTTTTAATCGCCGGAAATAGACAAGAAATAGAACATTTCAATTACTTCATTTGAAATGTTTGCCACCTCGTAATGGTTGCAAAATAGGTTAGGTCGCATTTATTGTTTCTAGAAAATAAGCCACATGAAGCTCTTTAAACAATTTCAATATTTGCCTCATTTTGCAGCAAGTACATTAACTCTTAAAGAGAAATTGAGTTATTTCGATCCAATGTCATCAAATTATAAATCTGCACTTTCCACATGCAATTTCACGTTTTACTATATTCCCACGTAGTTACAATTATTAACGGTATAGTATGGAAAAAGCATGGACCTGTTTATTGAGTGAGACGTTTATAGCTTTGACACATTTCCATGATTTTTCGGTCAAGATTACCCAATTTTTGTTAAAGAATTAAATCGCCGCTTTACATACGATATTTGGAGATATTACTTCCCGAGATGAAAGCCAAATGCGAAAGGGTTTAATTGGAAATAAACAGGTCATAATCAAACCACTTTTTAAGATAACACAAGAAGGAATCCTTATGAAAATTCTTACAAGTCGAAATGGTTTAATCCGCGGACTCCAGTCCGCGGAAATCGTAGTTTTCCGGACAATTAGATCAGATTAAGTTGCACGATGCGATTTCAAAATGGCGGATGCTCCTAACAATTGCAAAGACCAGTCTCGTTCCTGTACGAAGGCCATGTTTACGTTCCATTTAGTGTCGATCGGTATGTAAGTTTTCGTACTTCCGGCGTAACCCTTAATTTCCGTCGTTGCTTAACCGGGCATCTAATTAGCATAGATTAATTATCGGGTTGCGGTGCCATTAAAACTTCCACCGATTGGATCACAACGCACACCGCCAAGGTGCGAAAATTAACAACGGACTTAAAATACCAACTTTAAGGAACTCCGAGGAAGGTATTAAACGATACAATCTGAATACCAAGCTGTAAATAATTGTTATTTGATATTATATGTATTCTGATAAAACGAAGGAACAAAACAAAAAAGACCTCTGTCATTGTTACTTTATAATGGGAGAATATCACGAGCTTGTAGAAGTGAAAGAAATAATTAATTAAATTAAACGTTGAAAAAAAAAGTGGATGCATGTGCACCATGCACATTGGGAGTGAAGTTTTTTATATTTATTTCATTTTACGCGTTATTATTTATCTGAAAGAAAAACGTTTACGCAAATTGAGTCACCATTGAAACGCATACATTGAATCCAAATAATAAGTAACAGTAAAGAAAGAAATATGTATTTCTCGTTTCGATACCCTCCCCATTCTAGACATGCAAATTTACACATACTACCGTGACATAAGAAGTTTCGCTCCGAGGAGGAAATTTCTTCACGTGTTTCTTATCGTTCATCCTATCGCTTATATTTCACGTATTAAAAGACACGCGGGGTGCTTTCAGAAAGGTTTAGAGAGGAAAAATCCTCCTTTGTCTAACCTCGTCTGGAAACTTCACATATACACATACTCTAGCAATTCATTTTCCTAGGTTCTATGGAGATTGCGGGAAGGCTGAAATTTTACGCAAATTGGGAAAAACATTTCTTCGCTCGCAATTTGGACATTTAGACCCGGGGAAGCGTAGCTTGATTTGTAAATCCCCGAATTATCTAATTCTCCTCCCACGGGGCCGCAATTCCACGATCTCCACATCTACGAACGAACATATGCGCAGCCTTATCGTGTGTTCATCGGATTATAAGGTGTCGCTTTCGTAACAGTTCCACAGAGTGGATGGAAGTAAATGAGCCGAAGTGATGAACCGGGTTCCCTCGGAAGGGATTCCCACGTCTCCGAGGGGCAATCATCGTCGAACGTTAAAAACGAGAACGCGAGAGGTGAGAAAAGGCCGCGCGCACGAAAAGCGAAAATACTAAGTAGAGCACCCATCGTATACTTTTGGGGCTTCGCAACACTTTCGTCATTAAATAACGAGCTCTAATTACATATCCGTTATCGTCGCTCTCTCGAAACGTGCGAAAGCTCCCGTCGCGACATTCCTTTCGTAATCAGCTCGCTAATCGGCGCACCTTTTGGCGACCATCTTATCAGGCGACCCCAAAGAATTAATAACTAAAAATATTATCAAGAATATCGTCGCAGTACGAGAACTTTTATACTGCAAGAAAAGAATTTTCCCTCGAATTAACCGGTCATTTTTAAGTATCGACATAATTCGCAGGCTGTCTCTTATATGTATATATATATATACATATAAATTACACGCTCCATTATACATTATACGTTACATTACACTGTGCAAAAACACGTGTAACGGTTACATTCTTCCGGAACTGTCTTCGATGGGAGCAATTTAACACTAGGTTTACGGGCGTTTTTTATATACCTGTTTCTACGAACACCGGTCAAATTGACGGGTAAACGAAAACACGCATTTCCTTTAAAAAATCGATTTATTCAAATTAAGTCTGTATTAAACAACCCTAGGCTTTACGTTTAAATAAATGATTAATAAGTAAAAAGTCCTTTTTTAAAAATTATCACGGAAATGATTGGAATGCTCGTCCTCTCATCCTCGGAGTCGGAACTAGAAAGAATGCGCATCCTTTTCTTGCTACGACACCCTTTCAAGAAGTTTTCCTCTTCACTATCCGAAGATCCTTCTATTTCTCCACTTTCAATGCAAACTTTCACTCTCATCTTCGCCTTACACTCCCTGCAACGAAGCAAATATATATGGATTGTTTATGAAATCAGCTAGTCCGTCAATTTGACGGTTTTCGTAGAGATAGGTATACTACATACAGATTTTAATAATTAGAAGGCTTAGGAAAAAATAATTGCGTGTACAAATTCTTCGGATGAAATGATTAATTTACGATACAAAAATGGTTAAAATTAATGCTACGGTTTTTTCGGTATTTCTTTTTGAAGTTTGAATTCCGTCAAATTAAAGGGTCCCGTAAACCTAGTGTTAATGTCCAAGACTGTACCCCGGCTTCCAGGTGATCGGCTTTCCCGCGAGTGTCGCGTACGTGTCGATCGGCGCGGTTAATCGGCGCACACGATGACACGCGTAGACCCACGCGTGGCCGCCCTCATCGACACCCCCGTGACTCTCACGTGTCGGTCACCGACTGCTGGGCGCACACACACAGTCGCATAGTGGCGCACGGCGGCCGCGCGGCGCCCGCGCTGTCCCAGATTCCCCAGTACCTGCCGCGACTCAGGCGGCGCAACACCCAGGAGTGACCGATCGCGCTCGATCGTCGCGAGGATCATCGATCGCGATCCTTCGATCGACGTGGCGGGCACCGGAATCGGTTCCCGGTAGTAAATAGCGGAGGGCCTCGGCTTTTTCCGCTCTGGAATGCCCGAGGAAACCGCCAACACCCTGCTACCGAGGTGCAACGGGCGCCTCGCAGGTGCGCTATTTCACGCCGAGGGGAAGTCCCGGTCAGGACCGGCCTGAGTGATAACGCGGGAAAAAAAAACCATGTAATTATATTCCGGCCGTTTTAATCCCAGCTACAGGTGGAGGGCCGCTCGGGGGGAATTTCTACGAGTTCTGCGTTTTCGGAAAGCTTATTTGCATTTAGATAAGCATCTCCCTACACCTGCTCCCCAACGGTCAGGTGGGGACGAGGTCCCGGGGGACTACCGTGGGAATTCGGTCCTTTTCTGTTCTCTAACCCTGAGTCTTTTTCTTTCGCCTGGTTTATTAGTCTTCGCTCTTATCGATTGTCTTGAGCGAAGGATTTTTCTATTCAGCAGGAGGGACGTTAAAATCCAATTCCTGGATTTCAAGAACCCCAATACTGGCTTAGAACGAAACGGAAACTAAGGAAAAATCGACGCGTGACTTCCACTCGCGTTGGAAGTGAAACTTCTGAATTAATGAGGATTATGAGGTACTATTAGCCCTATGACTACGAAAAGCGAATCGCGTATACGAAAAAGGTATACACGCGTTCATGAATTTCGCATGTACTATATATAATTTCGTCGAAAGGGCTTAACAATCAACGGGTTAATTATTCTTAATTATTGTTCCATGAGATACCCTTATGCGTTCGGTCTTGCTTGCTTTAATACATAATTCGGTTTATTTTCTTTTTCACTTTTCACAAAATTAATGTCAGTAGTAACTGTACAAATAAAAAACAAAAAACCTTCCAATTCTTTTCATCGCGAGCTTACGCGTACCACCGTGCTGTATGAAGATTCGCTTAAGACAGTTTGGGGTTCGATAACAGAAAAAATGAGGAATTCTCCCGGTAGTTCTAAATCCAATCGTCTGCGTTTTAACGGTTCCTCGAGGAATAAAGGGGTCGCATCTACCCGTTGCGATCGAGTCGCGCATCGTCGCGACGCCGCTTCCGGAGCGCATTTCCGGTTCCCCGTAATTACTTCCCGCCGTCCGAAGGGACAAAAGGAAGAGGGAAAATAGTCGGTGCTCCAGCTCGCGCCCGACAGGAATTAGAATCACCGACCTCCACGGAATTGGATTCGTCCGCTGGTCCAGCGAGGCCAGGTGACCGGATCCTCCGAGAAATTCCGTCGAGGTCTTTCCCGATAAGAAAAGAGTCCCGAGTGATCTCGGCCGATATGCCTAGATACAAGTCAAGAGACCTAACGGAAGTCCTCGAAGACCGTAATAACGAGCCGCGACTCCACCTCGGCGTTTCTTCGTCTTCCTTCCAACACCGTTATCTTCGTCTCTTTGCACTCTTTGTCCTGGTCGGAAACGCGGCGAAGACTCGTCTCGTCAGCATCTTCCTTCGGGAAATATCCCTCCTGAAATAAGCATCCGATATTATTCCATACGGCGTGTTTGCCCGTTCGTTGCGATTTTTAACCTAAAACGCTCCCTCGAGATGGAAACGTTACCCTAAAAACTCGATTACTGCAATTCTCGAAGTACTTTCAGACCACCCGGTAGGTGGAAAGGCGCATATCGCTATTGTAAGCGATCGTAACCGAGCGACAGGTGTTGCGGTACAAACCGGGTGTCCTAAAGGTACGAGGAAAATGTAGGGCAAAGTGCCGAATACTCTTGAAGATCCATCCATAGGGGTGTAGTTTAAAAATATGGTTAATTTACCATTAAGTGTGGGATCCTTAAGGTCATACGAATCTGGAAGTGAGGAGTCGGTCGATTATGAAATTTTTCTACCCTCTGGGTGTACCGAATTGTTTGAAATCTTACCACGTGTATATGATGACCCCACGGAAAGTCCTGACATTTACACAATTATTCTTTATTAATTATTAAGGAGTAAAGTTTGTAAACAAATTTGAAAAATTAAATTTCATGGGAATCGAGACCTTTCTTGAGGCCTTCGTATTCACATTGTAAAGTTCAAACGATTCGATACATCCAGTTGGAATAAAAGCTTTATAAACTAAACCCCTCGGATGATATTTTCATCATCACCTTAAGTCTTTATGTTAAACTCGAATCTATTTTTCTGTGACGTTCAAGATGGCGGATTAACGCTGGAGGAGTTTAATGGAGGACGAAAGAGCGTAATGGAGGTTCCGTAACTTGAACGTGCACGTAACGATTCGTAGCCTGGTCAGTTCTGTGGCCGATGAAAAAAAAGTGCAGTATACCGAGCAAGGAACGGTCAGGTGCAAGGTGCAGCACGTGCTGGAGAACAGCTGTTTTCCGGTCGCGGAGAGACGTCGGGCGCCATCTTGAATTTCCAGGACCGATGAACCGGACGATTAGGGCGGAAGTAAACGACCGATAATGGGGCCTTGCGACAAAACCGAATCGTAACGCCCATTAAATCGGAACTTCCGTTACGAACATCTAAAAGAAAATGTTTAAGATAGATAGATACGAATTGAACATTTTCGCGATTCTCGAGGACGACGTAAAATTTAATTCTTCTCGAGATCGTTGACTTGAGGAACAAACGCTAATGTTGCGACGAGCCGAATACATTATGAACTTTTTTCAGAAAAATTGATACGTCGTCCTCGTTTTACAATTTGAATGACCATCTCTTGCCGTTAAGCTTACGGGTGCCACTAAGCTGCATACTTGAGAAGGCCTTCGGGCCGGTGCCGATCCTAACCTCCTAACCTGGCTGAAACCATTCTACCATGAAATCTGCAAAGACAGCAGTTGCCCCTGGCCAAGAGCTTCCCCGTCGTCTCCTAGGGCGTCCTGAAAAGGAAACGATATCTTTCAGTTATGGAAGAGGAGGATTTCGGGTTCACGCAGCGGGACGAATGGGTCCTCCGGAGGATCGGTGCGCACGGGTGCGCCGTCGAGGGCCGACAGGAGGGACAGGGCGGCGAGGGCGGCGATCCGGCAACAGCGCGGGGCCCGAATGCAAATGGCGGACGCGCCCCCTCGGCTGCGAAGGGCGTGGGCGCCACTGGCAACGTCGCGGGGCCCGTGACATCACCGGAAACCGGAAGCGGCCGCCCTGCAGAGCGGACGCGCTCCGAGCGCTCAGTCGCGACCGAGTCGCCGACGACGCCGGACATACCCAACGTCGTCGAGTACCACCTGAAGGTCAAGCCTAACGTCGCCAAGCCCACCGGAGACGTGAGTACTCCTCCGCCTGTTCCCGAAATTCGTCCTACTGCGTAGCTCCACCGATCCCTTTCTGTCGTCGCGTCTCCTAGTCGCGGTCAAAGTCCGCCATCCGATCCAGTCATGGACACTTGTCCGCGCACCTTGCTCCGGGTCCAACTCCTACGCATTCGGCCGAGACGTCGAGACCCGAGAAACCGACCGATCGGTAAGAGTCGCTCTTTCGTGACCGACAGAGTCAGCCAGGGATGCGGAAGGAGCCGGCCGTACCGGCCGAGGAGAGCAAGGACCTGCAGAGTCGGTTCTCCCGGCTGCGGGTCAACGACAACGTCTTCGAGGGCTCGACCGAGCTGCCGCAGATCTTCCAGGTGAAGTACCTCGGCTCCCACGATGCCAGGGGCCTGTGGGGCATCAGGCACACCCGGAAACCGGTCGACAACATGGTCGCGGCGGCGCGGTCCTTACCGACCGGCACCATCCTGCCGTTCATCAAGCTCGTCGTCTCGCCGCAAGGCGTCGCCCTCCTCCCCCTCGGCAAGCGGCCTTCCCTGGACTCGGGCCTCTCCCGGATGTACACCATCGAGAACATCTCCTACGGGGTGCAGGACCTCGTCTATACGAGGGTCTTCTCCATGATCGTGGTCCGCGGCACCGGCAAGTGCCGCGAGACCTCGCCCTTCGAGTGCCACGGGTTCGTCTGCGAGTCCAAGCACCACGCCAGGCAGCTCACCTGCGCCCTCGCCGCCGCCTTCCAGATTTACTCCCAAAACGTCAGGGCGCTCGCCAAGTCGGAGGAGAGCAGGAGCAACACTAAGAAAAGGTTCGCCATAGACTTGAGGAGCCCCGACGAGATCGAGGCCGACCTCAACCTCGATTCCGAGGCGTGAAGGCGATTCGTTGCTTGGGGATCCCAGGTGTCCCCACCTCTGTTCCTCCCCCTAAGACTCGTAGACCATATTCAGGGGGTAACAGAACTGGTAGAAGGGTTTATACAGCGCTATCCTTGTTGATATAGGAGCCGCAAAGTCCTGTACTATTTTTTTCCTACCGTGCATAAATTTCCTGTAATAACTAATTGAAGCACTGTAGGGAAAAGTAGTACAGGACTTTTCGATTCCCTTATCAACAAGGGTAGCGCTGTATAAACCGTGATTACATATTCAGGGTGTAACAGAACTGGTAGTCGGGTTTATACAGCGCTATTCTTGATGAAAAAGGAGCCGGAAAGTCCTGTACCATTTTTTTCCTACCGTGCATAAATTTCCTGTAATAACTAATTGAAGCACTGTAGGGAAAAGTAGTACAGGACTTTTCGATTCCTTTATTAACAAGGGTAGCGCTGTATAAACCGTGATTACCAGTTCTGTTATACTCTGGATATCTAGACCTCGCATTGGACTTCCCACTCTCACATTTTCAAAAAGCGAAGTGGCTTTAACTGGGAGGGAGTTATCGGCTTATGTGATTCATTCAAATTTGCCCCTTCCATTGCAATCCGAGGTCTAGGTATCTATGGTCTAAGTTGGGATTAGCTTTGGGCCCAAATTATGGAAACCCCCGCTGAGGGGGAAGGACAAAGGATGTATGGATCCCGCACCCTGATCTAATTATGAAGAGAGCGAAAATGAGGGATGAAAAGTAGAGGGGCTGTTTTTTTCCCTCTTCCTGTTTTTACGTAAAATTATTGCACCGCATAATGTGGGGATAGAGTATCTAACAGCTAGGGAGGGGAAGAGAGAAAGGATGGTCCCTTTGCTCGTTCTTTTTCTTACCTTCATAATAATAAAAAAAAAACGAATATACCTAAGAAAGAAAAGAGTAAAAGATATCGATGTAAATACCGGAAGGAATTGCAAATCTATGAATTATTCCTTAATATATTATTCGCTAAATCGCAACCCCTAAAAATAAGAATCGGTCAAATCAGAGATTAACATACGTCGTTTTGTATAAAGAAATAATGATTCAATTTTGTTTAGAAAGTACTTGTAATTACCGAGATCTGGTCATATGCTTTTTCCATTGTGTTAAACGATATGTGTAGTTATCGATTATGCGCTGCTTCAATTTTTAAGGGTTGCCATTTTTGACGAGCGGTGTAATTAGCGGTCATATCAGATTTCTACAAATATGTCAATGCAGACGTTACATGCGCGCGGAGTGTATTTATCAATAAATAACTATAATATGTATATTTTTATATAAATCGGCATTGAGTGGATTAACCATAGACATCGGCGAGCCGAATCACGGATTAATAACAGATTCAACCGAATATCTCTTAATGAGATGACTCTCTAGTTCCTTTTGTTTATTAATTTATTGGCACGCGTGCAGTGGGATAAGTCCTTATCTTTCCCGATACGATGGCTAGCTATCCAAAGATACCGAATAGAAGCGAAATCGAAAGCGACAAGTGGTTTTTGAATTTTCAATCTTATCTTACTATCTCTTTGCGACTCTTCTGATTAATTTCGAGCGAAGGCCACTCGACAAGTACGAAATCGTGCACCCTTCAAGTCACAGTCGAACAATGAAACGTTAAATGGGCTATTTTAAAATATGAAGATTTCAGGACGACCGAAACGATGCGACCACTATTCGATCTCGATTTTTTTTTGCCGGGGAGAAAAGTGAGGGCGATTTCATGTGTATTTGTCAGTTATTAATGAGAGGGCACTCTCTAGCGTGTGTGTCTTATTTCTTTTCTTAGTTTTTTAAGCCACGAAAGACCAATATCGACACATATCAACATTTGTACATACAACTCGATTTAAATGCCTCTTGTATATTAGCTTTTACCGTCAATAATCATCGTGTACCGTTTACACGTCTTGTAATTAGTTAGTAATCGCTATCCTTAACTGATTATCGAGATTTTCACGCTCAGGCTTGGGACACTCGTGTAACACCGTTTCGCACGTATAATAATTAGTGATTTATTTTGTCAATATCCCACCAGTTTTTAAGTCTCTAGGTTAACCGTAATCGTAGCTTATTCTTTTAAGTTATTTATAACAGCCCCGTGCGAGGATATCTCTTTTGCAAGCCTATTTTGTAACGTCGATTTTAAGCCTCGATGTTAGGTGACAAATATATAAATATGTACATATGTAGTTTAACAAATGCGGAGTGTCGTCACTGTTGTCCTTCCTCGGTTGGATTTAATTCAAACGATAATTAATACGTGTGTACGAGTTTTTTTTCTCAATCCGTTCAGGATGGCGATTCAACTCACAGCGCATTATAGATATTGTAACGAGAATATTTGAATCTAAGCTGAGAAGGTTTCGAGTTTTCAGTGTCAAGACTGGCCTTTCTTCCTAGAATGAATCTTCGTTTTCCGCAGGTGAATTAATTGCCGTCACTAAACGAGTTCTCATCGTTCTGGCCCTAGCTTTGGAAATATTTCTTTCCGCACCTGCCTTAGACTTTTGTTTCGCAGATACTCGCAGGAATTTCTTCCCGGGTCTGTAAGAACCAGGAACGATATTCTCCTCTTCCGGTAAGTCGATGTTTCCTTCCGTTTCCTCTAATTTGCCAATCTCCTCGTTCAGTTGGTAAAACTTCTCGGACTCGTCGCAGGGTATCGAGTAATCCGTTCGCGTACAAACGAATGTCTCCTGGGAATTATGAAATGTTCCGTGATATGAAAGATCGATTGGATTTCGGTTAATTTGATGATACTGATCATTCGTGGAATACCTGATTAAAAACCGTTTCGGCCGGACAGATGAAACTCCATCTTATGGCCGTTCTCACTTGGGGAAGACACACGTGGAAGACTTGACACTCATTTTCAACGTCCGCATAATATCCATAAATCCTCCCCTGGCAGGAAAACGTGTCGACGATATTATCCCGAATGGCCGTCGCGTTGCTTGGCAAAATCAGACCGCCGGATTTTTTCTGGAAAATTGCAATTCTTGTCAGCACGTAAGCTGTAATAATTTCAGATTATTATAAGTATCCTTTTTGCGATTCTCCGCTACTCAAGTCGAAATTATCGATCTTAGTTACACCTCTAAATCCTGTTTTTTCAAAATTCGGTTAGCCAACAGTAATTACCACTAAGAACCTTAAAATTTATATTTTTTCTTAGTACCTGGAATTCCTCGGGGCATTTCAATTGAATCGAGGTTAGAAAATTCGAAAAGAGTAATGGTCGTTTCATTTATACAATTAACACCTGGAAATCTTCAAATTTCACTAGTCATTGTAAATAGCCAATTTGAAAATATACCAGAAATGTGAGTTCATTGCATTAACAGAAAGCAGAATCTTAAATGTATACAATTTAATATTACAATTTATGTTGATAATTCATATAAAACTCTTTCTGAGGTCGGGGGTAAGAGGGAAGACCTCGAAGAGAAAACGAGGCTCGTTTGAATGTTTTAAAACCGGTTTTCAGGATTTATCTTAGTCCTTGGTCTAATGTTCGTTTGGTCTTTAAATCTAGAAATTTCAAAATATTACATCTTGCTAAAACAGATATCTTTAATAATATAAACTCACCGCAAAAACAGGAAGGATTCTTTTTGATCTCCCCTCTTGAGGGAAAGGTAAAACCGTAACGATACAAAGAAGCAGGATCCAAAGTACGTTAAAGAAAGCCATGATCTTCCAAATTCAAACTTCCCTCCCAGAGGGCGCAGCGCGGGCGGGAAATTCAAACGGCCTGGTAGCTCCCTTTTCCCTAACTTTTCGTCCAACTACGTTAACAAATTCGACCTCACAGTTGAAAACTCGACGAGAACTGATGATTCGATCGAGAGTAGGGTGTTATATACCAAACTCATGTGTGGATCTTGAATTACAATTGTATGAAAACTCGAATTCCCAGTAAGTAAAATCAGTAATTCCATCACGTTTGGTCCGCCAATGACCATCCAAGGTTCGCATCATTCTCCGGGGAATCATGCAAATCAAGCTGGCCCATATGGTGAGACAGGACTTTTTTTTATTTCCCTGATAGAGTTATAATGGTACAATATCTGTAAAACGCTCAAAACTCCGAATTAATATTTACTACCCCCAGGAAGTGACGATGGAAACTTGAAAGCTTCACTCTTCATTTTAACCCTTTTAATAATGCATGACTAATACGTGTATTTATTTATTGATGTACAAGTTAATGTGCTAATTGAAAGGGTCGACTCGTCATTTAAACCCGATTTATTAGTTCGCAGTCTTAAAAAATTGGATCCTGAAGAGTCGCCAGAGATTTACAGTCGGCCCTGAAAGGATGGCAAGGATCTTCAGGATTCCCAGGAGGACGCCAGACAGTATCGCGTTCAGAAAACTAAAAGATCCTCGGCGACTTTAAATGGGACACCCGGATCGCAATTTATCTTTCCCTCCTTCTCAAAATGGCAGCGAAATTTATTTATGACCTCCTTCTGCTTGGTGCACGTATTTGGGAATTATTTGAAAGGGCATTTGGCAATCTCAGGTACAGGTCACTGTCAAGTTTTGATGAGGCCGTGAAATATCTTAAATTCAAAGAAGCTGCTCCTTCGGAATGCATACCCAATATTCTTTCGGAGGCCTTAAGACCTTAAGGTTTTTATATGCTCTTGCAACACTCGGGACTTCCATTTCTTTTTCCCCCAAAAAATCTATGTCAAGGTATGTAATTCAAAAGGTCTATGTCTCGATTTTTTAAAACCAAGATGTACCTAACGATTCTTCATCGTTAAAGTGCTTTAATAAATCGAGGAAACCTTTTTCGACTTTTGCTTAACGGTTTCTAGACGTACCCATGGATTTCCTTCGGTGACGTCATCCGTCATTGAATCAATATTCCACGCAAGCACTGTGATTAAAAATTCCTGTAAGCGCCCTACGTAATGGACGCATTTTTTTTTCTCCCTATGAGATTGGGGTATTAATTATCGTTAAGTACGTATCTGAATTGGTGGACCTTTTTGACATGCTACCTGAATGTAATCGATGTTAAACACGTGTACATCGATTTTCTATAGGTTGACATCCCGACAAGGTAAACAGAAAAATTCCTGTAAGTGCCCTACGTAATGGACGCATTTTTTTTCTCTCTATGAGATTGGGGTATTAATTATCGTTAAGTACGTATCTGAATTGGCGGACCTTTTTGACATGCTACCTGAATGTAATCGATGTTAAACACGTGTACATCGATTTTCTATAGGTTGACATCCCGACAAGGTGAACAGCCTAAGATCTATTCGGTCGTTTAAGAATTCATGTCGCATGTGTCTCGCCAATGCCGAAGAATACAAAGATTTCGTCGAAGATCGAAAGGGCGTATCTTTTTCAGGTTTAGAGGTGGACTTGTGCCATTTTTCCTCGAAGGTCCGAGTTAAAAAGCGGGTCTTCCGTTGGACACTCGATGCGATATCTCTGCACGGATCTTTGTCGGTAACCAAGGATTCTGCGATATCCCCAGAATTTCCCCTTTTTCTTGAATATTTCATCCACGTTCCCACGAATATCCCTACGTGCCGATATCAAATTCCGCTTAACAATAATAAGATTAAGCTCCACGTTAACGATTTATTAATAAACGAAAATAAATAAGCGACGTAGCGTCTAAACGACGCGCCTCAACAACGTTGACGGTAATTTCGAGGTTAAGGAAGACAGGAAAGGGCTATGTTTATTTGCGCAAAGAAGAAAGTACTGTACAGTTAAATAAATAATTACTAAAGTAAGTTCCCAGTAGCGAAGAATCGAGTTAATTGATTGCGACGGGAGAATTTGGAAAATGGCGGAAAGTGACGCGGAAGGTAAACGACGATGCTGGAGTTTTATAGCCATAGGAAACAGGTACTCAAGATTGGCTTTGGTTTGATCGAAGTTCCAAATGTTTCGACATTCGGATGGGAATTCGATGACGCTTAACCTATATAAATCCGTCAGGTTCATCCCTGGAAGGACGAAGCGAAGATTTCGAGGTTAGGTTTCCTGCCGGCGCTACGAATGCCCGTTTGTTGTCCTTATTAGTCCATCGGAGGTACGTCGGTAAGGTCAAGAGCCCCTGAAAGGAGAACGACCGCGTCGCTTCCTTTTATTACGCGAGTTATGGCCCGCGGAAAACAGAAACATTAGCGCGAAGCGGCGTTCAAGCTGTTTGGAGAAAGTTACGCACGCTGCCTCGCCGTTTCTTAAAAGCTATCTCGTTCCGCGAACTAAATTTCCAATTGCCCGAGAGAGTTTGCCGTTTTCTCGTTTCGCTTTGAATTTCACACGTCGATTATCCGTTCCCCGCCTCTGGGATTTACCGTTTATAACGTACAGCAATATTTACAATACTTAATTCCGAATGCGACAATTCTAAGTACCTTTAACGCTTGCATGGAATAATCAATTTCTAAGACATTCGACCATGCCTATATATTCGGTTCACCTGACTCTGCCTGTTCAATTTCATTATTTTATGATTAAAGATGTAGCCGAAACTTTGCTGAGTTTCATGATTACCGACACTCGGTCGGTAAGCGGCGTACACTGGATCGCCTTAAAAAGAGCCCGTGAAATCGAAGTACGGACAGTGGGTAACCTCACTTTCGGCCATGACTTGCCGGGCCCATCGACAGATGGCGCCATGGTTGAGCACTTTCATTCTACCAACAGAACTTCGATACAGCCCCGATTGGCCGGACTCTAGCGACGTTCTACTATAAATAACTAAATTATACTAGTCCCGGCCAATCGGCACCTTTCGAACCACCTACGTTCATAAAAAATCGTCCCTTTAGCCTTTTGTTCTCGTTATTATGCCGGTTGTTGTGGTCGGTCATTGTTGGGGAGCATAGGCACTGTAGGCTCTATCCTCGGCAGGCTCATCCGCCGATCTTCCCCAATATCCGTGGTCGTCTTCATGATCGTAGTGATGCTGATGTTGGGCGTGCTCATAATAAATCACTTTAGCCGGGTGATGAGATTTCTTCAAGTCGATCCAAAACCGAGCTGCGTTCAAGAGCAAACTGAGGATTGCCAGACCGAAGAACTTGAGCTGCAAGTGCGTCGTTATCAGCTGCAATATGAGACTGATCTTCGACTTGAACAACATGGCCACCATCAGAAGTTTCTGCAGCGTCTTCTTCTTCTTCTTGCCGAACTTCTTCTTGCGCGCCTCACCTGCAAGGCGAACGGATAATTAATATCAGATTCGATTATTAAATAAAAAATGTGCCCGAAATTGTGCAAATACAGCATGAATTATAGCAATATCAACAAATAAATTATAAATTCCCGATATTTTAATAATAATATCTTATGAATTTGCAATATTTTTTAAACAGTGTAGGTTAAGATGCTCGATTGTTAAACCTATCTCATGAACTGCAATTGCACGCAGGGTGGTGAGAATAAATTAATCTATATCTCCACATTTTATACAGGTTCTCGGTTTCCTAAATGGTAGATCGGATCTTCATACTTTATATGATCCCGGGTCTCTGAGGTTTATGTACAGTTTGACACGTTAACCGACCACCGAGCCGCTTTCCTCAAGTCGTGGGGCAAGTTTCTCTTCGTGGCCATCTGCAACTGCTTTAACGCACTTTGTAACTGATGCGAAGGCCGTTAAGAATGTCGCTAATGTTGGCCACCGCGTGGTTCCCGTTTACCTCCACCTCGAGGAGGAAATCGTCGGATTTTCGCGAATCACGGGGAAACTACGAGATTTATGAACGGAAAGTTGTACAACGAGATGGCACGGATCAAATACAGGGGAACGAGAATTCTATCACAAAGTATATAAACGTGTAGAGCGTAAAAACACGCGAGGAAATCTAGGACCGAAAATGAACTTCAATGAGACGTGCCAATCCGGAAGTAGATAGTGTCGTCAGCTGCAGACACGGCAATCCTGTACAATTAATATACAGCATACCGATATAAAATAAATAATTGGCATAACCGTAGTTGTGGCCACAGAGGTTATCTCGAAGATCGCCAAGAATAAGTTTACGAAGGCACAGCCGGATTGCCCCGAAAGAAAGAACCGTAACAGTTCACGAAGAGTTTGGGTACCATAACCTACAAACCCCTCCCCCTTGGCTGGGTTATCCTTCCCAAATGTGGAGCACATCTTTCTTTTCTTAACACGTAATCGACCCAGGAACGAACCGTAACTGATGGGACGATTTCTTTTCTTAAACGATCCCCTCCTACGTTATATAAGGAATTATTACCAAACTCCAGATATTCATTGCCCTAGAGATCGGATAATGCGGCGACAGTTAAAAGAAACAGGAATGCTCAAGAGGAATCTAACTCCGAAATAAAATCCCGTAGCGTCGTTTCCAAAACTCGTTTCTTTAAGGCGTAATGAGATACCTCGAGTGCGTTTTACGAGTTATGGCGTACATTTCTGTCTCTTCGACGATAATGGACATCCACGCGACGATCCTAACCTTCATTCTTTATGCATCGAGTATAGTTCACGTGCGTCGACTTTTGTCGCCATAAACATGATGTATCCACACGTAAACACACGTAAATGAAACATATTTCAGATTTCAGTGCGTGTAAAAGTGACGTGAAGTGTCACATACATCACGTTACGATGGACGTGCAATTATGGGTTTCCATTCAGACTTCTGTGGAGTTTCATGGAAACACTCGGGAATTTTAACTACACCCTTTTAACGGTACCACTTATCAACTGCATTTTTTTTCTTCAGAAATTATATGTATATTCACCGTCTACGAGTCTTGATTAACAAATTCTAATATTAACTCCACTTCCTTTAGCAATATTACATATTGGAAGAATTAACTGGGAATTCTATGAAAAGGGAAATTTTATTACAAGCCCACGGCGAGCGATGAGTCCGTAATCATCAAAGTGGTCTAAATGAAAAAAAAGAAAAAAATCTAAAAAGAATTTCATCCGCTGTGCCGCATTCATTTAAATTACAGGAATGTAAAATTTTTCTTGTATAAAGCACACAGTGTGTTTTGTTATTTGGCAGACCGTACAAATAATCACGTTATATGAAAACAGTAGTCGCAATATCTTTGACGCGCTATGGGAATTCCCTTAGCAAGAACGTCATACGAGAGTCTCCTGTATTAACGACGTGCTTTGATAAATTAATTTTCTTGTATAAAGCACACAGTGTGTTTTGTTATTTGGCAGACCGTACAAATAATCGCGTTATATGAAAACAGTAGTTGCAATGTCTTTGACGCGCTATGGGAATTCCCTTAGCAAGAACGTCATACGAGAGTCTCCTGTATTAACGACGTGCTTTGATAAATTAAAACAGCTAATCAGACTTTAATTAAAATCTCTGAAATAATCTGGAAAGCTTTCCTCACCGATATCCCGGCCGCCCTCTTCCTCGTCCGCGGGCTCCTCGGCGTCCTCGGTGGAGTCGACCCTCCCTACGGGCAAGACCGCGCGGACACCCTCGCCGATCAACTCGCCGGCTTCCTCCAGAACCTGACTCGTCATAACCTCGCTCTTCTTCCCGGCGACCTCGAGCTCGATCTCGTCCAGTTTCCTAGCGACCCTCTCGGCCGCGCAGGTGGCGCTGTTCTCCTTCAGGATGCAGTCGAGGATGCCGTCGTCCTCCGCCCGGACATCACCGACGACTAACAGGACCCCGACAAGGGCCGCCCAAATAAAACTTCCAAGAAACTTCATCCTTTCCTTAAAATGCCGATTATTCGACTTAATCCCGCGGTATAATCTCTAAATGTTAAAAAGTTAGCCGCGCACAGCGACGCGCGCGCCACGGATCGCGCACTACTCCCGAGCGGAGTCGAGGTTAAGTCTCCTTTGTGAGGTTATGTCGGGTGGTTTTTTCTTCTCTCGGCGATGGGCCCCGGGTGGATGTACTCCTCGCGTGGTCTGGAGAGCATATATGAGGGCCTCCCGGGCCCCTCCACCAAAGGTGGCCCTCTTAGCCCGGTGGTACCCCTCCGTCCCCCGCGCGTCGCGGGCCTGGCGGAAAACCATGTAGGCCCGACTCCTGCGACCTCTCCCCTCCACCGGGCCCGATTTTACCACGCGCCAGGTTGGTACCCCCCATCCTACCCCCTTTCTCCGAGGAGAAGACACTCTCGTATGCTCACCAGCGGCGCCGTGCTTCGATTGATCGAACTCGAGGTCAGGGGACGCTTCGGTGCACCCTTAAGGTGATACGAAAGGGGCATTACGTAAAACATAAAAATATTTATAAAACTTTCCTCCAAACTGGGAGCACCGAATCACTTAAATCACGTTAACACGTGATTATGGAAGCCCTAAGGAAGAACGCGATGCTCGTGAAATGTTATTTTTCAGAAAAAACGTGATCTTCGTTATAGTCTAGGCTAAATAAGACACTTTTTTTTTTTGAAAAATGAAATTTCACGAGCGTCGTTTTCTTCCTCGGGCCCTCCGTAGTCACGTGTTAACGCTTCGTATGATTTGGTGCACCCAGTTTGGAGAAAAGTTTTTTTAATATTTTCACGTTTTGATATATGGAACGATCCTTTCATATCGTCTAAGGTCGGCTGCTATTGCTTTCCCTCAAATCGCTCTAATTAACGTTTTATGGTCGTTTGTGTATACCGTTAATACAGTCCGAAATGTACGGTCAATGGACTACCATCTTCTACTTACCTGGAACTGTGCCACGTGCGCCATTAAGGTGACATGAAAGGGTTATTTATACATAAAACGTCAAAATATTTATAAAACTTCACTTCAAACTGGATGCACCGAATCGTTGGAAACTTCAGCATGTGATTGGTGGAAGCCCTGAGAAAGAACGTGGTGCTCATAAATTTTCATGTTTTAAACAAATATGTATTTTTCGTTCTGGTCTGGGATACATAGAAAAAATTGTTTATTAAAAATGAAATTTCATGAACACCACGTTCTTTCTTAGGGCCTTCATAATCACGTGCTGACGTCTTTTATATTCAAACTAGCTCATTTACATTTTATAGGTATCATATAGTGGTAAATGGTAGAAATAAGCGTAAAACATGAGTTGAGTCTATTGACCTAGTAAATCCGGTCCGTGTCGGACCGAAAGTCAATAGACGTAACACGTATCTGTCAAATACCGGTCAATATTGACAGTGTCGAACAGCTCTGAACACGAAATCCGTTTTCGAAGTGAAATCTATCTAATAACTATCGATCGACAACATGTAACATTTTTTTTTTTCCCGATTAGAAACAAGACGAGGAAAAGTAATATCGAAATTTGTACCTTAAAGGTAAATAGCCTCATGGTACAAGTTTTTTCAACAGTTCCTAATTGTAGAATTAGTATTATTTTACCTCTACGATAGACGCCGAAGATTTCTCATCGCCGCCATATTGCCGTTTAGAAAAGATGATACCAAGGACATTCTATGGCTATTGAGGTTATTCGACGCAACGGGCGTGTACAATTTTAGGAAAACTGAATTCATAGCATCGAAATTGTAGATTCTTTTCATTGCAACTTTCGTGTTCTTGAGGGCACTCAATGCAATTGTCTCGAGTGAAGTTTGAAAGAGATTTCTCATCGCCGCCATATTGCTGTTTAGAAAAGAAGATACCAAGGACATTCGATGGCTATTCAGGTTGACTGCGTTTCGAGGGAATCGTCATTGTCAAGGGAACGAGGCGTGCGGAAATGACGGTCAAGTGGCAGTCAATGTCTAGAGACGATGTCGCGACGTGTTTTGACAGCCGAATTAGCTCGCTCGTCCAAACGCGAAGCCCGTAGAGAAACGGAGGCCATTCTTATGATAATCCGCTAAATGCTCGGGTCGACGTTTCGATTCTCCTCCTTGGAATTCCGAATTCGTCCCTGTTACCGGGAATTTCTCGCGACCGTCCGCTTTCCGCTCCGCGATTCGGCGGCCTCCGGATTCCTGGAAGTATTTGAGGTTAGGGCGAGTCAGGGTTTGTTTTCCAGCGCACATGCAGCTTAGAAATGTCGTATCGGTGCGATCGGTACGCCTGTGGACTGTCGATAAGTTTCAAATCGCTCATCGACACATACCGACCGAGCTCTAATCGGAAGGTGGGTTTCTGGCACGAACGCATCGCGAATAGTAACGCCAGGGAGGTTCACTTACGTCCGGCATGCAAAACGGGGGGAGGTTCACGTTTTCTGAAATTCGTCCTGCATGACTCGGCACCGATTTCGATTTCATCATCGAATATAACGAGAGAGAAACGGCCAGGTGAGCGCGAACTCCGCGAGGCTCGTCTCGATTCCGTATCTGGACCGCAGCGCCGTTACTCGGCGAGGTAAAGTGTGTCGCCGCCATCTTGAAATCCGTTGTCGCGTCGACTCATCGAGTGTTTTCGACCGCCTGGCAAGATTATACAAATTTCCGACTAACCGATCAAAAAGGGACTGATATGCCGGCGCTTCCGGATTTCTTTTTTCTTCAGCCGAGATTTCGAAATTCCTCGGAATCCGCTGGAAATCGGAATTATGGCGTGACGGATTTAGTGCCGGAACACGTGGGATCGGACGTTCCTCCGCGGCCGGACTTTCGAATGAGATCTACTTAAGCAGGCCTTACACAATTCTTGATATGGATATGGGACCGAATTTTGTATTCATCCTTTAGTTTTAAATACGGAATAATCGCTCGTTTTCCGGTTTGTTGGACACCCAGAATGCGTTAATTCTCTCACTCGACTGTAAATCCTGGCCAGGGAATTTTGATGTCTTAATGTGGCGGTTAAAAATTCATCGAATTATTCCCAACTACTTTAATGGTACACCGTAATCGTGTCATTTAATATCGGAACTGAACGTTCCATTTCTTACGATAAGCAAGGTACCTTCGTCTATCCTTCCTGCACTCGCTCTTAATTACGATAATTAATGAAATGTCGACGTCAAGTATTTCGCCAGTCGATTTTCATCCGAATATATCTTGGTTAACTCTCTCTGACTGTCCGGAGTCACTTTCGATGATTTTTTCTTCTACGTCTCAGAAAGAGGTGAGATTTAATCCGTTAAGGAGTAGTTTTTTGTCGAAAGTTCTTCATCTTCCGAACCATCCTTGATCCTCTTCGTCTTCGTGGTGGTGGTAAAAGTGCTCGTGATGTTGAAGCTGTGCCTGATGGATTACGACCACATCCTTGTTCTGAGAGCTTCGAATTGCATTGTATATGATCAATGCCAAGGCCAACTTCCCGACGAAGAGACTTCTCAGCAAGGAGGCCTTTATGGAGGCCAGGGCAACCGGAAGAGAAAGCATCTAAAAATAATAAGCTTCCTGAATCCGCTGGATCGACTATATTCAAATGTAAATTAAGGGGACAGACTTTTGACTAAGCTGTGACAAATGAAAGGTAACTCTTGACGGCATACTTTATCATAACACTCTTTCTAATTAACTTTAATACCTGCATAGCCATCGGGATCATCATCATCATCGACCCGATATGCGAGAAAATACCAGGTCTCTTTTTGCGGTAACTCGATCTCTCCTCCACGTCATTTTCTACAAAATGTATAAAAAAATAAATAACGTCTTTCAAAAATTGAGGGGCATGAATCGTTACCGACTACGGTAAAAGGATTGAAAGGATGTCCCTTAACCTACCTTCAAACCAATCCACTATTGGGAATTTCAATTGCAATTCGTTCTTCTTGAACGAAATGTACACACCTGGTACTATCTCGAATTCTCGATAGTTCCTCAAACTCGTGGAATTATTTAATCGCACTTCGGCGTTAATAAAATTCTTCGAAACGGCCACAAAGAACACTAGATTGCACACGAACCTCTTATCCATCCTCTTCTGGAATAAAATTCAAGGATCAGAAGTTCTACTCGTTATTCTTACGTTTAATTCGATTTGTCATAAATTCCGGCATAATTTTTCAGTTTCATCGGCAAGTCGGAAACGGAACTGCACTATTATTTCCCGCGGTTGGAAGTCTTCGACGCCTTCGACAAGAATAAGAGCACTTTCGAAGTAATTAACACTTCACAACGCCCATAAAGTACGAAGTCATCTCACCGAGGCCTTTATGCGACTTTAATCCAATGTTAACGTCTGGCACCGACCAGCTGTCTAGCACTCGACTTATCCAGAGTAACTACGAAGCTAACTACCCTGCACTTCCGCGGTGACGTATTTTTTATTCTTTTCCATTCAATCGGGTTCCCCTCCTGAAGAAACCAGGTTTCCCGAGCTGGGGAACTAATCTACTGCAGTTGCATCCGAGATGCTTGGATCTAGTCGTCTCTGGTCAGCCAACCTTGCAGTGCATGGCATGACGAAGTGCATCGGCAAGAATGGCCACTGGGTACTACACGCACGTCCACCATGGATTTCTTAAACAGAACTCTCGCCTTAATCTATTTTTTCTTAATAATGTAATAGTACATGCATACGCACTCCCACCACATATTTCTCAAACGAAACCGAACTTCCACCTTGATAGATTTTTTTATAATAATGTAATAGTACATGCATCGGTAACTATGTATTTCTCAAATGGTACTGACCTCTAGCCTTAATCGATTTTTTCCTAATAATGTAATAGTACACGTATCAGTAAGGATGACCACTGGGCACTATGTACATCCACATAGAATTCTCAGATGGAACTAAACTCTCGCTTTAATCGATTTTTTCCTAATAATGTAATAATACGTAATATAATATATATTTAACAGTATCATAAAAGTACTTCTAAAGGTCGACGGTTGACGTATCGACATTTACTAATAAATTGTTCATTACGCATGCGTAAGCAACGTATGTTCCGCAAGAAGAAAGGCCTCTGTGGAAGAATAAAGTGACGAATTATTATATTATTTTACAAGTTATCATACAGATTGTACACACGCGAGGTTTGAACCGCTTAATCGTTTAGCCTAGTTTTGGTACCAGTGTTTGGTTGATTTCAGAATCCTTCGATGGTAATCATCGTTGCGATCACCAATGTATCCTTTCCCTTCCAAACTGTACAACAACGTTATTCGTCATATAAGAACATCCATCGAAGGCAAAACGACATTTCTACAGTGTCGACTCTATTTACAAGTGAGAATACTGTTTGCGTTAACATATTGACTAAGTGACAAGTAATTACCTATTGACAGCGAGTAGCGGCCAATATGTAGTGTTACATTTGATGTCTGACAAATGAACTTCTTTGAATCGAACTATCCTAACTAGATTTAATAATTAAACAATTCTTTAGCAATTTAATTCTATCCCTTGTAGTAATAATGTTCGTCGTCTCCAGGACTGCTGGGGGGCTCCCAAGCATTGTAGGCTTGCGCGTGAGCAGGATGTCCTCCAGGACTGTGAAGATGGACGTGAACAGGCTGAGGATGAGCAGGCCAAGCTGAAGGATGACTACCCTGCCATCCAGTTTGTAATTTCGCTAAGAAACCGCTGAACTTCAACATCAGTAAGATGACACCTGAAAATAAATAGTTTATGAGTAGGTACTCCTCCTAACCCATACACGGAAATTCAGTTAACCCAATGTTACAATATCATAAATATGTTCAAGAAATGTAATCGACTTTTTTCAATAATCACATTCATATTTTTTGTCTTTCAGACTATTAATCTTATTCTTATTGAGATTACTTATATAAAGTACAGATTTACGATACAATGACATTGGGTAAAAATGACCCGATTTCCGATTAAGGGTAACAGTCTTATGTGAAATACTGTTTGCTTCAAAGATTTTGGTTAAAAAAGGCCGGGAAGGCTTCGTGAAAGTGTACGAAGCAATTCCCTGTTTCTCGGTAACTTTACTGCTTAATTATTTTCGAAAACATTTGTAGGACACAGCCGAGTAAATGGTAAGCCGTCCATGTGTTCTGGTAGTAAATCTCTCTGAAGGTATTCGATGATCTTTACAGCGTGGCATACCGTTACTCATTGCAGAGACGATTTATACCTACCAATCAGCAGACTTTTTAAGGAGATGACGGTTAACACTCCTATCATCGTCATCATGACCCCCATTTTATACATCATGGGCAAAAGCATGAACTGCACCCTTTTGTGGCCGAATGTCCGTCCTTCCATGACTGGTGACCCTGAAAATGATTATTCATTAATCTTTCATTTCAAACCTATTTTACTATCAGTGGCTTATACGGTACAATACTACTTCGAGTTCACGGAGAGGAAAATGATAATCAGTGTCGATTGCACTTTCAATGGCGGTGAAAGTTTCCAAGATGATGAATGACATCTCGACATACCATTTTTATGCGGAAACAAACTGTTTCATATTTTACAAGATTCACTGGCATTAACTTTTCATAGTTTTAGGTCAAGCCAAACTATATCGTTTCAGCTGTACAGTCATTTCTCCCGTGATTACAGGACAACTATAATAGATACCGACTACACCATTTCAATGGTATATATATATATTTCTTTCTCGTTTCCTCTTTGAAACCAGTAACGTTTTTTAATCACGCGTGACAATGGCATCGTTCCTTCGCCCGTTATGATTCACGGCTTTTCTGTTACAATGATTTGAATTCTTTTGAGAATCTAGATCGCGGTGATCCAGATACGGCTCTTGGAAGTAAACAATTCTTCTAACGGATAACGCGCTTCTTGAGCACGCCTTTTGCCACATAATTGCAACATAAATGCATCGAGCATCACTGCCGGCTCAGAATCTTCCTTTTCCACTTTGATTATCGGTCTTTTTTTAATTACTTTAAGTTGACCGAGAAAATGTCAGCACTTAGGAATTTGTAGACCCGTTTTTGCTACCTCGGGTGGTTCACGAGTTATAGGCGAAAAAGTACAAAGTTATTACACGACATGAAGTGGGTCGTAAACCTTGCCATAGGTACTCTATGGAACTTCTGACAACAGATTGTTCGGTGCGCAGCAGATTTTACCATGCATCCATTTTACTGCGCCCTGCAAATTGCCACTGTCGACAAAAACATACGTACAAGCCATTTCGCCATTTAATGTAGGTCGCTGGATGACCAACCTAATTCTCAAATATTCCTTGAATCTAAAAACTCACTTTTATACGATTATTATTTTCTTCCAATAACTACCAGATGAAACTAAGAAAAAACAACTGAATCTCACCTTAATTCACTAATATTTCTCAACTCTGAAAATACTTTCGTACAGTTATTTTCTTCAAATATTCATTGTCCCACAGAAGCAATTTCTATAAAATTATTATTTTCCTCTCCATAAAACTCGTGAATGGGAAATATTAAATCACGATTTAATCCTCAAATGTTCTTCGATTCTAGCAGCAAGTTTGCAAGATTATTATTTTTCTGCCAATATGTACAAGCAGGAAATATGAGATATTGGATTCTTATGACGAACCTGTCTGCCGGCCGCCATTTTGAACCACTTGATTTACATCCCCGTCTTCCTGTTTCCTGTGCACTTCGAGGGCTTGTCTGTTAACCGGAAGTAATCTCGTGGTTCCATTCCTCCCGCTCGTCCAATTTCGAATAGCCTTGTCATCGGGCCTCGCCTGATTGAAAACGGTGCAGTTTATCAGCACCGTGCATGCCAAAACTCGCCAGCCAATTCGTTCCATCCTGTCGGCAATCTCTTGATTTTCCTTATCGAAGGCCCGCCATTGGCGGAGAAGTTAGCGTGGCCAAACCCGCGACTCGCGGAACACCGGAACGAGCGAATCGGGTCACGCCATCTTGTTTCGCACCTCAGCCCAGCAGCGTTCGAAGCCGAGCCCTTATGAGCCACATTATATGAAGAAATACAATGGAAGTGGTAAACCGTATTAATAACGAATCGTTCACGTTAATAGTGTACGGCAAATACGTAATTTCGCGGAAACAACGGACAGCGTCCTCAAATTTTAGGTTGTCAAGTTCGAGGTGGAAGCGCGGCCGTTGGGAACAAAATGGAGTCGCACATGCGGAACGGAGCCGAAGGATAGGTGCTGGAGTTCCGAAGGCGAAGCATTCGCGGTACGTGCACGAGGAGTAATGTGAACGGAGGAACGGTCAGTTTGAACTCGAAGAGCGGTCTCGAGAAGGCCTGCGCAGTAGCCGCGCGCAGGTCGTATTTATGCGCCACCGACGAATCGGTGGCCCCGATACAACGGACACGCACGAGGTATGCAATTTGGACACCACCATTGTTGTCCGATCGCTTGAATCTTTCTACGCTTACATGGAAAGAAAAGTCTTCCTTAAACGTTCTTCTTTCCAGCATTACTTCTAACGACGTGCCGCTTCCTCTTCGGGAGCTATTTATCGGCTAATTGGGAGGGCTGGCGAAGCGGAACGTGGTAAAAGAAGCCATTCTTAACACTTACAATTTGTATCTCATACTTCATTGACAATCCTGTTTTTAGGGGCTCATTCCCGGCTTATTATTACTGGTGTACGTAGGATGTATGGAGGTCTTTAGTCAAAAGAACCAGCAACGGCCAACAATTGCCAACAGTATGTACACTGAGAAAAAATAGTATCAAACGTTACCACTTGATTTCCATATCATAGCATACGTATACAATGTGTGTAAGTATATATTTGGCGCGAAACTCTACCGAGCTTTTTCATCTTTTTTAGGAACTGGCACCTCTTTCGCAACTGCCTTTCTCATTGCAGAGTATGCAGGAAGCACATGTCATTCGCACGTGAATCGAGAAACAAAATGAATCGATGTAAGAAAACCAGCTCGCGAGATTCGTTACCAGAGAAATTACTCGAATAGAAAAGGACGGGCATTTAGGTATGCAAGATTTGAGGTGTCGCTCGTCCCACTTTCTACCGGTCGTTGGCCGACGACCGCCGAAGCTCGGCCGTCACCTTGGAGTGACGCCACTGGTTGACCATGACAGTGGGATGACTTTATCGACGTTGAAAATAAACCTTGACTTTCGCAGGCACGCGCGACCATTGAAAGTAGTACGCCAAAACGGAGATTCGAGTATCTCAAACGCCGACTCTTAGACAAGTAAAATCTCGTGATAGTATCTTGGCCAAATCTTGGATTTTCGGTCGTGTCGCCGATACGAATCCGTGTCACCTACTCCCAATAACGGGGCACCGATTCAGTGCTAAAGTCTTCTCTTTATTAGCATTCAAAATCACGCGTTAGTTCCGAGTACGTGACGAGAAAGTCTCCCAACGCGAATAAATAATGCTTTCGTTTCTGAGACGGCGAAAGATGTTCCAGGAATTTCGAGCGCTGAAGTTCTAACGAAGATAGAGGTATATACAATTAATAACTCCTATTTACATAGATCAGTGTTACAAAGGTACCCTTAATAAAGTATTTCTCAAGAGTAGGTGCTATATTAAATCTGAAAGAAACGCAAGCAATTTTGAAAAGGGACTATTTTTATTTTATCGCAGAGTAGGAACATGGAGGTTATGCGTTACATATTAATATGTTTAAATGGCCGCCTTGACTCTTCACTTTGACTTTTCAGAAATAACGCGAAATTAAAAATGATACCTACTTTTGGGATAACTTTTATTACGTAACGGTCATTATGCAACTATACATTGCTGTGTGGCGGTAGAGTAGATACACCTGTGATTGTTACTCTATGACACGAAGTGAATGTTGCGTGTACCGTGACCTCTTCCATGAGAATATGAGCGAAGAAACGAGTTTTCAACGCAATGTGACGTAAAAAGGTTATCTAGGGTTGCTCCTCGTATTTTATCGATGCAGCGCCATCTATGATGCAATCGTTCAACTTTATTGCTGACAGTTCTATTTCATCACTTGGATAAGTTACCACGAAAGATTTTTCTCCAGTAGACGGTACTATCGATAACATGTGTTGCCATCTCTACATTGATAATTACACTTCCACGACTCTTGTAAAGTAAAATACCTTGTGTTGATAATGACAGTATACAGAAATGAATTTATCCTGCACCTCATTACTCTGAAGTTCGTGACAGTCACGGAACCGTATATAGAGTTTTTGCGTGTGACAGATGACAGAGATTTAATGAAAGTCTGTAGAATTTTCTATTGCCTTTAATCTGTCCAGGAATTATAAAATCGTTCAATGGTTCACCAATCACCCTCCCAAACTACGAAACATGAGTTGCTGATTGACATAACACAGTGAGTTTTTATTTCTCCAGGATTAAAACGGGTATTGATTTTGGTCTATTGTTAGCAACATTTGCATCCCTCTTTGGAAATGCGATTCACGTTAAACACGCAAAATTACTCCCAAGTCTAAATCCCATGAACACTATACATTTGTACCTATTTCTTTCTTGTAGAATATTATTCCAAAAATAATGATTTCACTTGTTAAGAAAAGATTAAAGTATATTTTCTTTATCTTTCTTCACAGACCTCGACGGAAGATTCAAGTGACCTGCCTTGCATTGACCGTCCTTGTTGTCGTTCTCTTTGTTACACGAGATTGGATCGGAGCAGAAAGATTCTGCTTGACACGCAGGTTTTTTGAAGAAGTAGACCCAATCGACAAACCATTAAACGATGCCACGATTACTGCGTGGGTACGTCGGGCTTGGAAGTACTCCGAATCGACGAAGGCGAACGAGAATGCGAAAGGCTCCGCCGCCTCCTCCTCCTCGGTCAAACAGCATTCCCAGAAACAGTCAAGGTAACTGGTCTACGATTTTTTAAAAGATTGATAGAATTTTTGGACCCTTTATGTATACCGGTGAACAAATATTTTCGTCATATCCTGGCGGTTTCATACTAAGCAGTTCATTCATATCTACCTCTGCACGTGGCACAAGTGTAGCCAAAAGAATTAATCTTTTTCAGCGAAACCATCGTCTGTTACTATACAGTACAGGGAAACCTGAACACGTCGAGGGAGCTCCGTCCGTCGCACATTGACCCTCATATTTGTACGCATATTATCGTGGGTTTTGCGCGCGTGGTGAACTGTACTCTCAGTCTGGGCGAAACATCGTGGGTCTATGAAAGAGTAGCGGCACTCAAGAACCACGAGCCTGGACTGAAAGTAATGGTCAGTGCCGGCAGTATGGACGAGCTCCATTCTGGCTTTCCAGAAATGGTACTAAACCATGCTAACAGGAAGACGTATGTATAATTAGAGTAAACATTCTTCAACCAAAAATTTACATGTATCACGACTTGTCTTTTGTTTTAGGTTTATAAAGTCTGTTTTAAATATTACGAAAACTTTTGATCTGGATGGTTTAGACATAGACTGGGAGTTCCCAGCATGGACTACGGATGACGTCAGACAGCGAATACACTTTGTACAGCTGATCCAAGAGTTGAGAAAGGAGTTTGATCAAAGCAGTCAGAAATTAATTTTATCGGTTGCTGTAGCAGCACCACAGGCTATAGTTGATCTAAGCTATAACATTCCAGCATTAGCTGAGTAAGTCCTCGATACTTTGTTACTCCTTTATTTTTTGTGTTTTTTATTACTAGAAACATAGGTTGTCTGACAAAATTCAAATATAATATGATTCAATGATTTCTAGGTATGTAGACTTTATCAACCTGATGTCGTATGACTTCCACTACTATATTTGGTACTACCCGGTGACAGGTCTGAACGCACCACTTTTCCCAGCATCTACGGAAACAGGATATTTGTCTACTTTAAACGTAAACTTCTCAGCATTGTACTGGGTCTCAAAGAATATGCCGCGAGATAAGATAATAATAGGCATTCCTACTTATGGACATTCCTATAAATTGGTCAATTCTGCGAACCACGATTTGCAAGCTCCTTCGAGTGGACTTGGTAATCTTGGAATGGACGGCTTCGTGCCGTATTCTGATATTTGCACGTTTCTGAAAAATGGAGCAGAAAGAGTTTTCGTAAATGAGAGTAAAGTACCTTACAGTTATAAAGATACCGAATGGGTCTCTTACGACGATGTAGAAAGTGTCACTCACAAGGTAAACGTCCACTAGTTTACATTCGTGATAATTTAACATATAACCGTGTCCGTTAATTTAAAAATTAATCATAATTCCAGGTGAATTGGATTCGTTCCCAAGGCTTTAAAGGCGCAATGATATTATCTCTTAACACTGACGATTGGAATTCTACATGCCAAGAAAACGTGAAGTTCCCTCTTACTCGTGCAGTGTACCAAGTACTGAAACTTCCTTCCGGTGTAACAAATTTTAAATCTCCATTATGAAATGTTTCCCCTGCACGTCTCCATAAACTTAAAACATTTCAAGTATCTCGGTGTTTGCACAATTTACTGTAAACGAAGGAAATTATCTACGATAAATCACTAGTACTCCATTAAGCTGCGAAGGAGTAACGATGACATTTGAAAGATGCTTTCAGACTCATAAGATCCTTCGCAGAGACGTGGATAATTTAAGTATTATAAATACAGTCTAATTGAAGAGCTTATCTCCGAAATGTCTGGAACCTCGTATTGCATAATGATAAATGGGTACAGGATTATGGTCACTGATGCACAATGTACGAATTCATTTCTCCGTTATTTCTGAAACATTTGCGTTACTGAGTTCCAGACAATTGTTCCAAGTTGCTCAAATGTTTCCTCTTGAGAAGGTACAAAGTCCGAACATTCTCAAATCCGAGCTATCCATAATCTCGTGTGTGACATTTTACGTTTTAATTATTTAAATATATCTAATTGAGTTCTAGTTAAGTAATTAAGTAAAAGTGCAATTATGTACCTACCTCTGCCAAACTGAAATGAAGTTACATGTACACCAAGACTGTATGATTGCAAGACAGTCGTATTACTGTGGAATATTAGGTTTTGTATAAGATTTACAACATTCCTATTGAAAATGTTCTCGTTACATTGGCAGAGTACACGAACAGTATTTTAGTAGTATATTCGCCGATTTGCGTCGCGCATTCAGCGTAACATTCGCAAGGAGAGAGTACTTAATGTCAGGCTCAATGTAAGTCCTAAATGTATTTAATTGTGATATACATAAATACGTGTTTCGAATTCCTTCTCGTAACATTATGTGATAATCAAAGAATTATGAATGTACGCTGGACACTGTCAGAAGATAGTGAAAAATATTAATGTACCTTAGAAATGCAAATTACAAGTATACGTAGCGACGTATGTGTATGCATCTGTGATTCATGTGAGTGTGATCCATAATGTATGTACAATTAAAGCAATTAAGCCAACTCAACGTACCTGTGAATGCGAACGCGCCCGTAAAACCCTTCACTTACTTTGTCAATTACTTAATTTCACATTTTTATACATTACATAATATTCACATATTATCTAATATGTACGAAAGTGGCCACGTAAGGGGAATACCCTGACATTGGTTTTCTCAAATAACTTCCAACGTGCGTAATGGTCAGGAAAAGCGAAGAGTTCTTTATTTTTACATATCTCGAAGCGAAGACAACGTCGTTACTTAATGATTCTCGTTTCTATCCGAATAACGTTAAGGATAAGCTAGCACAAGAGACCCTTTCCGTCCGGTTATAATTCCATCTACCGATTCTTTGTCTTTCGCTCCCGTTTCTTCTTCGATCGACCCATAAATTATTATTAACAGAGACCTAAATGGAAACAATTAGTCCTACAAAGTTGATTGGCTGATAGAATAAAATATTTATGTGCAAATCCATCCTGTCGATTAAACACCGTAGCAGCGTGGAGCCTAAAATTATTTTCGATTTGTACCTGCATGTCTACAAGGGAAATGCCTTGGATTCCTCCGAACGACCTGTAGCGGTTATTCACAATTAAAACAAAAATCATACTTCCGCGGGAAGTAGAAAAATACCTAAGTTGTATGCTTTACCCTTCGCTCTACTTTCATCGACACCGAGGGGGTATTCACTCAGGAAATCATGGATTTTAAAGCTTGAAATCATGTGGAGATCACCTGGAAATCTGGAAATCACCGAACGCCACTTGTTATCTAGTCGCATTGTTTATCATATGAAATGAAAGGCAATCGGCTCTCAAAGAAGCAAATCGTCTCCCGATTTCCAAGTGAATAACCCCTCGATCGACAAACTATGACGACTCGATCGCTCGGGATCACGACTCGTTCGTGGTGCGATCTTTGGCTTCTCGAAAAGACACAGAAAAGGAAAAGAAGATATACAAAAAAAGAGGAAAAACTTAACAACGCGCGTTCCCGTGCAAGCGAGCTTCTCGCACTGCCTCTTCCTTTTGCGTCTCACTAAATCCCATGACACGTCACACCGAAACTCCCGATGTCTTTTCTGTCGTCTGCCATTCAATGCGCACGTAAATTTACCGCGGAACAATTTCTGCCCTCTATTTGTCTCTGCACGCTCTAAGATGGCGAAAGCTAGAACAACTGACTAGGGAAACGTGGGATATAATGCACTCTTCGAGAGAAAAACGTTCCTTAATTAACTTGAAATATTTAGCAAAAAGTTACGTCGAAGGTGGTGCTCTCCTCGCAGGCCTGGTTCCGAAATTAAATCGTAAGACCGGACGACGACTCCGTCGAGAAACAGGCGTCCTAGGAGAGGACCTTCGAGAAATCCTTAAAATCTACTCACTAGTTCCTTTCCATCTTTAAGGCTGATCGAGAGAAATATGTATTAATATATAAGAGGAAATAACACGTACTTCGCTTGGCGTAATTCCTTACGTCGGGGCACAAGGGGAACGCTTCGCGAAAGTGATCGCATCGATCGAAGGCTCGTCATAAATAGGGTCAACGGTAAAATTCATATCGACGCGACTCAACCGATGATTTAAATAAATCCCTAGTATCGTAATACGTAATACAGTCCGCGCGTGGATTTTATGGAATTAAAATATAAGGAATGAATGCGAGCGTACGGATTTTCTCTCTGTTAAGTGTAAACGTGTCGCCTGGTGCGATTCTCTAAGAGAGGGATACATTCGCGTTCAAAGAATACTTCATCCAATGAATACCATCCCCTCGATGCGCAACAAACACCTAGCCGATTCACCGTTGGTCTGCATTAATCGATTAGTATCAATTGCAAAAGTATTCCCAGAAGTGAAACCTAGCTATCCCTAAATCAGCTGTTAATCCAATATACAATTCGAAGATGCTTCCAAAGTGCCGCATTATCTTTCGTCGTGATTACAATCTCCGCTCGCTTCGACGAAGTCCTCTCCGCATTTTACAACCTACATTAACAAATTAATTTTTGGATAATCACGTTACTTTTATTAAGAAGGCGCTCTTTGTGGTAATGTTTCTTTTTTCCATTTTTTTTTTTTGTTTTTTCCTGTTCTGTTATATTACTCTGCGAGTCTGTACTCCCACCTCGAGGCGGCTCAACTCCTTCGGCATTGATTGTGCACCGGTGGAACCTCGATGATTGCGTAGTCCCTACGACATCCACGGGCGTTGGCTCGCTAACGTCTCTTGACTTTGGGGATAACTTTCGTAATCTCGAGCCCGTACGAGCCTGGATTCCAAAAGTTCCGATTAATTTAGGAGCGTTAACGCCGCGACTCGTATTCGTCGTCCTCCGGTAGCTTCGAGAACTACAACCGCCTTTCGCAGGACGTCAACGCGCGCCACCGCGAGCCACCGAATATTCCACTACGTCTCTGACTCGGCGTAGTCACTGACTTAGCGAGCTTTTAATTTAAACTTGGATTCCGACTCGTGTCCCATTGAATCTCGATGTTCGGCCACTTGGTCTGGAGCACCGTCAACATCGGATTGCTGTCCAGGATGCACTTGACGGTGCATTCGAGCAGCACTGCCTGGCCCATTCGATACCGCACTCTGTTCTCAGGGTTGCTTCTAGCCAAACCGTTGTAGTGATACAGAGGAAAGGTGTCAGGACACGTACGAGGTTCTTCCGGAAAGAATTCCTCCATGAAAGACGTCAGCAGTATGATGCCCAACGATTCGCTATCAAGTTTCTTCCTCATTATGTAGACGCTGAAAGTGAGGCCTAAGTTCAGAATTGTCACTTTTTTCAAATCGAGAGATAAATACCGATACCTTTATGCATCTTTCTTATATATACCTTGTACCCAAAAAGTCCTCCATAATTAAGTTAATTATTATGAGATTATTAACGGAGTTGAACCAGTTCAAACGCATTAGAAATATCGCAAGTGTCAAAATATACTAACTATTCTTTATCAGCGACCAAGCCCAACTCTGCCAACACATCCTGGAGCAAGTTAGCAGGGATAAATTTGTTTCCTTCTGGATCAAATTTTTTGAACACCCGTCTAGCTTGATCGGCAGGTGTCTCGGGACTAACTAGTTTCCTCTCCGGGGAGAAGAGTACCGTTAGATGTGTTTCCGAGCCCAATACCCATACTGGATTGGATGGTGATTTTAAGAAAGTCCCTACTTCGCAATAACGCAAATGTTCCAACAGCGCTAGAAAGCCAACAGAGTTTTGTTTGTCGATGCCTCGAAGTTCTAAACAAAAATATAGAAATTAATATAGGAGTGTGTTAAATTAGGCTAAAGTCGATAATAAATTCAAAATTTCATCTGCAAAATGTATCAAAATATTTCGGTTAGAATAACACTAAGCATCAACAAGATTCTTACTTAGTCCTCCGATATCTTGATCGTGATCCCAAACATGTCCCACAGCACGCCCAGTGAGCATGAGGTTAATCAAACACTGACTACCATAACCGTAAGTCGAGTCAATAATAGGCTCTGTGGGATCCGACATTTCAGATTGCATACCAGAGAGACCTTTTGTCGACACAACCGAATACAGTAATAAGAGGACACCGAAGTGGTCTTTCAGCATGTCGATCCTCTGCGTAAGAAATGCCTCAACCTGTTCCACAGTATCCAAGGGTAATATCCTACATAAACCAACAGAAAAATACATTACATCGATTCCTTCAATTAAACACGTTTCTAACAAAGCTGCTACATTCATTTTATACCTTAACTGGGAATGAAAGCTTTCAGATTCTAATTCTAATCGTTTCTCCATTGCAGCTACATGCGAGATACTTTCGCACAGTTTGTCCTGAACTGCCTCGTCGACATTTGCCTCTGCAAGGACCTGCCCATTTGCCACATCAGCCTTGGGTCCATCGGTATGAACGACTACATAGCGTGGCATCTGAACATCGGCTGCTTGCGCCACGATCTCTGTCATGGCCTTGATCAGAAGCTGATCGCATCGTTCCGATTTGATGTTCTTCCAACTACTTACTTCACCTTCCAATAACAATTGCTTTATAATAAAAGCCTGAACTGGGGCTAACACTGCACAAGGACCCCCTTCTGTCTGAACGAGTGCCGTTGGCTCGTCGGCGCTGAAATAAAATCCTACAAAAACCATTAGGAACCGGTAAGTGGAGAAGTTCCCTGTGAGCAATGGAGGAGTGGTCTGCTAGCATTGTCTAGCAAGCCATATCAAAGCAGTTAGTAAAGGGACTTTTTTTTTAGGACGTAATCCATCTCACCTTGAGCCCATCTTCTAAATACGTCCTCCTTCATAGTCGTGCCCCAGAGTAGGGTTTTAATATTATGTACCAGTTCGGTATCCCTTGCCGCTGCATCCTCGGCCATAATTGGGAAAGCGGTATTTCTTGCCGGAAGATCGCAAATCCTGGTCAGTTAGTACAAAGATTACTTCGAGCCAAACATAACTGCTAGGAACTCCGTTGCGGTACTGCTGGATATCGCAACCAGCGTACCTGCCAATAACAAGTTTTGATAACCTATATCTCACAGACGACAGTTGCCAAGTAAGGCGCCATTATGGAATTCCTCTGACAAGAATTATCAAGAACTTCATAGAACGGCTGCGATGATAGCAGAGATGAGCAGAGATGAGTTGGGAGAATGCTCACGGGCAGGATCGTGCGATCGCATCCTGTGCTGCCCTCTGGTTTCGTACGTTAGCTTTCACCGTTTTTTGCCCCCAAGGGCGGCGCAACGAATTTCTGATAGGAGCTCGCGCACTCGCGATTACGCCGCTCTTGGGGGCAAAAAATGGTGAAAGGTAACGTACGAAACCAGAGGGCAGCACAGGATACGATCGCGCGACCCTGCCCGTGAACAATCTCCCAACTCATCTCTGATGATAGTCTCGTTATTTTCACATTCTAGTTTAACTAAATGCCGCACATAGCGCTGCAGTTACCAACGTGGGGACTCGCAGCGCCACTTTCAGAACACCGTCGGCCAGCCAATGAGGGCCAAGCAAGGCGGCGGCCAACCAGTGATAAGTGCAGATAAGTGCGACGAAATTTTACAACAAAGAAAAATAAATCATCTGTAGAATATAAACTATCCTGACATCTAATGAATGTGATTCACTTCACCTTATCCGGCCATGCCTCAGTTAGGAGTATAAACTAATCATGAAACATCTTTCTACAGAGTTCTGTAAACATTCTGAATTCATTGTCTAAACAATAGAGTTCAGAGATAATTAGTTTTCATATTACTCAAAAATGGATCTCGAATTCATAAAATTCAAGTGTTATGTTTTCAACTGACTAGTGTTATTAATGTCGTATGACTGTTCTTTACAAAATGGCATCATCGAACAATTCGATTGCCAGCGGTTTCGAAGAGGATTGCAATAAATTGATATTTCGTTTCGAAAGTCTGAATAATCTCCGGTACAAAGGATTCTGTGAGATCTGGAGAGATATGCAATTTTCTTTGGTTTTTACGTAAGATTCGGATCGCCGATGAACAGTACTCTTTCTATGTAAACAAGTATTCCTCCTTTCGGCTACATTTCATTTTATTTATCCTCAGTTGCAGGCAATCGTTTGGCGAATTGGTTAAATTCTGTGAAGAAGCATTGCTTATAGCAAAAAAATTCATTCTTCCCCCACGTTCATTCAAAGAACGCGTCGGTGGGCTCTACCTCCTTTACGGTATTTATTTTAAAATGCCTATCGTTGATGTGAGGATAAGGGTGACACTTGAAGATTGGAAACATATCATGAAACTCAGAAAGTTTCTAAGAGAGGGGGAACACCATGATGCCAATTATATACTTTCAAAATTAATCATCGAACGTGCATTTATTCACTGTGTTTTTGATCAAGAGGTATATAAATCGATAACTTTACATTTTCTAGGAATAAGTTGGATATGGATTGAAGCACATAACAAATTACATTTTTTTTATACTTGTTTAGTATGCTTTAGAAAAGGACCATCACCTAAAAGATTACAAACATAAAAAAACGCATTCCGTGTTGCCTGCAATTAAAGCCCTGACCGAAAGTCATGAACTTCTTGAACGAATGGACAAACTAAGTAAAGTATATCAACAGAAGAAGTGTGCATTGTCTAATGATACTAAACCTGAACGTGGTTTAGATTTATATAATGAGAACATTGGTGAGACTATTATTAAGGATATTAATACTTTTGAGGAAGAAATAAGACGCTTAGAAGATTCTGATAATCCTAGCAAGAAACCTCAAGCTATAGAAACGCAATCAATCAATTTACAATCGAAGCTTGAGTCAAAGAATTGTCCGAATAAACCGTAAGATCCCTTTTTCTTATACTGCTAATATTTTCATACTATCTTATTCGATAATGTTATTGCAATACTAAAGTACTTATCTCATTTCTCAGGAAATGTTCGGTCACTGGCAGTAAGATTCGAGCACATGTTGGGGACGGCTTCGATAGTGATTCTTTAGAAGAGTCCTTCACCTGTGAACCTATGGAGGAATATGACCCTAATTTGCCAGGAAATTTTGAAGATTCTTCTGAAGAGTCAATGTAAAAAAATGAATATTTACTTCCAGTATTAACACGGAATTTCAATCGTGTAAATAAGTTATTTATTTCAATCACTGTTTAAAGTCACCAGTGTTAATGTACGTGCAACATGTATTTACTTTGTAATGGGCATATAACCACGCATTGTCATTAGTGTGGTACTGCCTGAAATTAAGTCCTTGAGTACAGAAAGTGCCAATACTTTGTAATATAAATTCACGATGGACAATGCGTTCACATATAACGGATCCAAGTTCAATTCTTGGAATAATTTTAATACATATCAGAATTTTTCTAACTAGTGAGTACCCTTGGAAAAACTTGGATGAATTCGTTAATGTACAAATTCTAAGCCAGAGCTATTCTTTATAAAGCGCTGGTAGAGATGAATTCACTGACATACATTAATGCAAGAAGAGTTACAGCAAAGATCGTCAAGTCCCACGAAGACACTGGTGAAATTTTCCTGTCAGTTTCTGTTGAGATCCCAATGACTCGAATGCACCACGAGCTCAGCCACAAGCCCTTCCTGTTTAAACCTGGAGTTCGACACGCCAAAAGAGACGAACAAGGAATTACTCCTTAACAAAGAGCTCGTTGATAACTATTGAAATTTCCATTCAGGTTAGTAAACTTTGAGCTGGTTGTCATCGTCGAAGCCTGCACTGTGACCAGCGTTGCGCACAATGAAACTGGTCCCGTCATAATGCATCCGCCTTTCGCCACGACGAACGAACAGATGGGAAGTCTGACCCAGCGAAGCCGTACAGTGAAGGAACGGTGTCGTTAAGGATGCTGTTCCATTGCTCGGAGAGGTACGTAACTGATACTTGTTGCTGTTACGCGCAATCCTAAAAGAAACAAGTTTCCTTTTATTATCATCCAGCTGGAAAAGTGCTTCTCCTTTACTCTAATCAATTTTCTTTATCACCTTTTAAGGTGATCTCTGTATAATCTCAAATTTGTACTGTACTGCAACATATTTCAATAGATGCCGATATACCTGACCAGACCGTCCGGCGTTTGGGAAACCCGCACATTGTTAATAATCCAGTTCTCGACTCCTTCATCAGTCACCCAGTACTGTGCAGCACCTAAGGCAGCAGCGGCTTCTTGCAAGCATGCAGCACCATGCCTCGACTCCGAGTAGAAGACACTCAAGGAAAAGTCCTGGTCAAAGTGAACATGTGCAAGAATAAATCAGAACGTTAACGTCTGCTTTTAGAAGGGAAATTACCTGACTCATGTCGGAGAAGGAATCCGTAGTGGTCCTAGTGCCTGCAGCATCGACCAGGTAGACCAGCGCACATTGTTCCGAGGTGAAGCTGACACCCTTATACCACATCTTGGCATACCTAATAGGAAGAATCGCACTCTGGTTTAGGTTAACCGTTTTTACACCTTCGTAGGTCTTGAACGAACTTATTGTTCCCGTGGGCATCATGGGCCAGGATTTCAACTCGCGAACCATATTGGTAGATCCGTCCATTGGGATGCAAAAGTGCTGCAGCTGCCCCGGATCCACTCAACGATAATACGATGTTGTTCTGTACCAACAACAGGATTGATTCGCTATCTGGTAACTACATCTTCTAGCTTCGCTAACTGTTAATTAATTCTGTATTCAAAAATGGCAATCACTATCATCTTTGTCACTTTTGATGAGTAACATATCTGAATGCCCTAACTTCTTACTCATTTTCAGGTAGGGCTTGTACAAGACAGGATGCCAAATTTTTATATACTTTTAACGAAGTAGAATTTCAAGAATTGATCAATAGTGCTCTGACCTTAAAATTGATAACTCTGACAGCTCGGTCGATGGTCATGTCAACGCGGATTCTATTGTGCAGTCTAAGAGAAATCGTTCCATGAGGAGTAGCCAGTGCTCCACCAACTCCTGCGTCAGGTTCGTGCTCCCTCCAGTTTTCAGTGTAAACACAGGCCTCTTCAGTGGCATAATATGGAGCTGCCAGAGGTTTCGGATTCCGAGATTGGCGCCATATTGCTGCAGATGTGGAGAATGCAGCTGCAGCAGCCGTTCCCCACTGGTCTGCAGGTGGCGAGTCAAAGTACTTGGAGAACTCTGTGTACCGCTACGGAGGAAAGTACCCATAGTGAAAGTGAAACTAGTTACTAAAGTGCCTCAATTTGGATTCCAAACCTGAAAATTGGATTCGTCGGTTTGCGCGTGATAGGTGTGAGCAGTGTAAAGAGACCTGGGTCTCATCGGAGCGCTTGGAGCAGTTTGCAACGATGCAGTGTTCAACTGATTAGCCACCGATACTGCTGCGGTCTTCTGTGCTTCTCTTCTAGGCTCGGTGGATTGGTTCGCCATGGTCTTTGCCTAAAAAACCATCATTAAAGTGTGAGTTTTACTCTCATGTACCTTTAAAATATAGCTTAGGATGACCTCGAAATGGATAAACCAAAAGTGAGTGCATTGGAGTGAATCAAGTATTGGAGAGAAAAAGTGTCATCGAGAGGTACCAAAGAGCTCACCTTGGACTCGGAATTTCTGGGTTTCTTACGACGCGACTTCCGAGTCTTCGTGACCGTCGTACGACCAGTCTCGCTTGGACGATCCACGGCTGATCGATTTATTTTCCTCGGGGCGGATTTTATAGGATCGCCGACGAGAGTTCGTCACCGGGACCGACCTGGCTTTCCAAAGCGCATACAGCCACGACCTCGGGAGATCACCGAGAGATCGAGGAGAACTGCACAGCGATTACCCGCGAACGCATCCACCCGAATTCGTAAAGAAAAAACGAACGAGCGATCACTGATTGTCATCAGTCCCTCTCCTAGGAGATGTCTCGTTCATTTGTCGCGTACCTTCCTCTTTTGTCTGTTCCTAAAAGAGCGAAACTGGATAGCATTGACACCGTTAAACCCGAATAACCTCGGATGAATCTTAGCACACAGTAAATTAAGAAGGTTCAATGTACGCGCAATATTCATTTGATTATTAATACTCCTGCTTAACGTTTAATATTTATAGCTAGTTTTATCGATACTGCGAGCATCGGCTTTTCGCGACCCTTCAGTAGCCTGAGATTCTTCGGTGACAAGATTGCATACTTTTGGGAGACGCTCAGGTCCGCAGGCTGTCAATCTTTAATGATAAATCAATCCCGTTAGGTATATGTGAAAACGTCATACTTTCTAAGCGCATTTTTCTGGAAGCCAAGTCTTTCTTACACCCTGTTTAGACTTTGTTCAAAATTACTCGGTATGAGTCAGTCAGGAAAGTTTTATCTTAAAAAATTGCCTCATGCGTAATTACTGTTCCGTAATCCTTCCTCGGCGATCGGAGATATACGTTTTCCCGATGTTCGTGCGCAAATTTGTTTTTTTTTTCCTTTTTCTTCCTTTTGGTTATCTCTGATCATGTTTATGACCTTAGTTTCTATGTCAAGGAAATGATTAACGAAAGCCCTGGCGGTTGTATTGGTTTCGTGGACTCCACAGAATGCGTTAATTAGTTTATAATATTTTCCCAGCGCAAACGAGTATTGGCGTTTAATCTGCGATCGAGCTCGTGGTCTGGTAACGTGACACTTAGTAAATGTCTTGAGTCATTATTACCGTTGCCGCACTTAGACTTGAAATAAACGAGCATGTTGCACGTCGCATATCGATGTTCGAAGTGAAACAAATGTTTTTTTTCACTTCTTGCTAGCGAGGAGCAGAAACGAAGGTGAATTAAAACCGCAATCGCCCTCTTTTTAATCGATTCGATTCGCAGTTCACCTTTGCAATCGACCTAATTGCGATTAATGTTTGCAAAACTCTTAGACCCGATGCTCAACAGGTGGATAAAACTTCATATTTCTCCTCGTCTTGCAGGATAAATATTTCTCTCGCCTTATCTTTGCAATACTCCGCACGAGCTTTCAAGACAAACGAGACTGCTCTAAATATCTAATCCATGATAAGTTCTCCAAATTGAGAAATAAATATTTATCTAATTGAAGTACCGAAGTTTGGTGTTAAGTATTCGGTACCGTTCCCTAATGCACTTCTAATGTATTTGGCGCGAGACTCTACCGAGTTTCCTGACTTTCGGAGGAGCCATTCACTAAATCAGCGAAAACGATTTCCTTCTTTGAGAACCTATTGCCTTTAGTTCCATATGATAAATAATGCAATTAAGGAACAAGTGCAGTTCGACCTTAAAATTTAAAGTCCATGATTTCCTGAGTGAATAACCCTTCCTGATTTTCGATATCGCGTTAAAAAGCAACAGGAGTTCGCCGGACTAGAAAAATAAAAATAAAAAGACTTCGCTTCTTGTCACCCCGGAAACTATTATGCAGGATGATAAATTAAAGATAACATTTCGGACAGGGACAATTTCGCGATTGATACGCCGGCAAGTGACGCACGTCCCGAATTGGACTTCTTACCCGTCACTTTAAATCATATTATTCAATAAGACCGTGCAGAACAGAACTTGAGCTCGTGATTTTTCAACTAGTCCTCTGCCCTCTCAGCTCTCCATAAACATCGCAAATTTCCCCAGCCCGAATGAACGCCATTCGTTAACATTACCATGGTTAATTCATGATACGGTTTCCCTTAAACTATCCGGTTCCATCGATTCCTCTAAAATTTCCCTTAAATCTGGCGATCCGTTGTCCAGCCCTATCGTAAATTCGATCGGCATTTCGGAGCCGCATATTCCTAAAATCGTTCCCATCGTGCGTTACGATTTACCGCAACGTAAAAGTAATTAGTGACAGGCAAAATCGAGATCGGCCGGTCTAATCTAAGCGAACGAATGTCCCTGGGAAGTCGTCGAATGGACGTGGAGGGGACGGAACGTTTTATATCCACGAGCAGAGCTCGAGCCGCTTCAGTGATCCTCGGTAGGCCTCTACGGCCACGCCATTCGAAATCAATTTTCCGCTTGTCACTAAAGTGCCACCACGAGATAACGCATTCCGTCCGGACTAATTAATCGTGCGAAACCCTCGGTAACTAAATCTCCCATAAGCAGGACGATGGCATTCGCTTGGGTTATTATCTCGCTACTGACAGCCATGGCAAGTGGTAATTGCCTCGCTATCTTCTATTAAATCCGAAGCTTATCGCGATCAAATAATTACTGGCAAATTTAACAGCCTTAGAAGAGGCAGCGACATTAAGGGTACACGATGTAGAGCGAATTGCGGCACAATTAATTATTTGTACAAACGGGGAGGCTATCTCTTCTCGATATTATCGCCGCGGTCGCGAGCTTCGGTATTTGTACCGTTGATACCCGAGTGCGTTAAAAATCGTAGATAATTCTAATCGTAGTCAATTGGTTTTCTGTTGCCAGTTTTGCGTTACTTTTCGTTGATGGCGAGGTGCCTCATGGCGTGAAAAAATATTAAACTCTACCCACTCACCCGGACACTAATCTTACTACCGTTCGCGCAAGTCGCAGGAACTGCCGCGTTACTTTCTACTACCGCTGATCCGAAAGGTACTAAAGAATCGGGAATTAATTCAAAGAGAATTATACGTGCTTAAGTAACGAGGCCCTCGATTAACGCTTTTCCTTACGAGCTGGCGACACCTTGGTATTAATCGCGCTTTTCGCTCGTTGTCTCGCGATAGTGCGCCCTTCGGTGGAGACCAAGCCACGTGGTCTTTGCGGTTTGTTTTTTCTTCTTCTTCTTCTTTTTTTTTTTATTATTATTACGGCCTTCGTCTGCGAGGTTCATTGAATTTTGCTCGCGCGATATGGGCTGAATATTCATGAAACGCTTCTCTCTCGGTCACGGGGCACAGGAAAATCAGATTTTTGGTCAACCGGTTCTGCAATTCAGACAATCGACTCGCCCACGCGTATAAATACTCCGTCTAGGTAGCGCTATCTGATAATAGGAATTAATTTCGGATTTGCATATCTTGGCTAGTTTTTCGATCCGTCATTGCCGCTAAAAAATCTTCTTAAATTTCTCTTCTGCTTCTCCAGGCTCTCCGGTTCCTCCGCATTATCTGTTATCCAAGCCAAGCGATTCGGAGAAGTTGCTGGTCCCAGGGGAAGATGTTTCCCCGGACGAAGATACTCTTCAACAAGTCACCGTGGTAAGATATCCTTTCGTTTTTAAGATCCTGAAAGAGCAGTCGATGAGATTATCATTTAACCTTGATTTAATTCGATTAATAGTCATTCATCGTGTACAGCATTAGTAAGTCTTGTTTTTTAAATGAAGCACGACTCGAATGACTATTGCTTGCCCGGCAATGATGGCAAACTTCGCGCGTGGGAATGTGAAACGTCAAACGCTGGGTCTCTCGTAAAGATGTTCGTCTTTGTCAATTATATCTGCATATCCATCTGCTTGATAATCGGCGTCACGTTTGCTATGTACTACGTTATACAGTGGATACAATACGGCGGAGAGCCAGCGCAATACGAGATCGACGGTTGAGAGAAACTGGTAATCCAACGACCAACCTCTGTCTCCGATTAAACACGAGAATTAGCCATAATCATTGCAGACATTATCAAACATCTCGGAGGCGCACGAGAGAGACGCTTAAGAGATACGCATGCATAAGAGATTAATGAAAATCCACGGCATAATTTAATCGGAAGAGCACGTTGCTTGCCTCGAGTTCAGATACGGAGACATTTAAGCAACACACGATACACATAGAAGACGCCGCGAGACCGAGACGTGCCAATTTTCTTTTCCTTCGATACGATAGCGGTGTTTGTTCGTCATCAATTATCGCTTACCCCTCGACGCTCATTTATCGGGTTTCGACGGTGTCGTTTTCTTCGCTCTTGATGACGTTTTTGGGCTTCTTTCAGGTCTTCCGACACGGTCAAAGAACCCCAGCGGACACTTACCCGAAGGATCCTCACATTAACGACTCCATGGCACCTTACGGATGGGGACACTTGACGAACGTGAGTTCTTCTCGAGGACGGAGGCAACGTTCGTTCCATCGACATACCTGCGGTAGTTTTTAACAGAGGCATTACTGTCTTGTGCTATGCCGCCAAACGAGGATGCTAAATGTTAGAAATATTGGAGGAGATTGTGACATTTTTGGCGTACGAGTCCTCTTTACCAAAGGTTTAAAACAATCCAAAGATAGGGTTTTAAATTAACATAAGTTAGTTGTGAATTGGTGCGATGCTGAATTCTATCGAAGACATTGGTTGATTAATTTGAGGGATTTTAGTATCGGCCTTGAGATAATTAATTTCTTCTCTTTAGGTGGGAAAGTTGAATCAGTACGATCAAGGGATTTACCTCAGAGACCGGTACGACAAGTTTTTGGGCAAAATCTACAGTCCGGAGATATTTTGGCTGCAAAGTACAGGAGCTGATCGGACCAAGATGTCAGCTTTGTTAGAAGCTGCTGGTTTGTGGAAACCAAATGATGCTCAGACTTTCAAAGACGACTTGCCGTGGCAACCAGCTGTTCTTCATTACCAGTCTCTTGACTTTGATACGGTGGGTCTGAAATTCAAATCAGTAGTTACGCTATGCTTTTAACTGAAGTTGTTTCATAACATATTATAGGTTAATAAAAATCGTACAATTACAGCTTCTTCTGGCTCGTTTACCGTGTCCTGCTTATTCCATGGAACTGGAGAGAGTGAAAAATTCTTCTGAATATCGGAAGATCCTCATTGATAACAAGGAGTTGCTTCAACAGCTGTCAAATTTGACTGGCTGGGATATGCAAAGCCCTGATGACATGCTGTCTCTCTACGGCACACTCAGAGCAGAGGTTAGATTTACTAATAACAGATCTACATTAAAAAATTTATTAGGTTCAAATTCTATTATATTAACTGGTCATTTTTACACACATTTTCAGTCAGACCTGAACTTAACGTTACCCTCATGGACAAAGGAATATTACCCTGAAAAGTTACTACCATTATCAACGTATAGTTTCACCTTAAATGTTTACAACGATTTGTTACGAAGACTAAAGGGTGGCCCACTCCTGAAAAAAATTCTGAGTGACATGGTCGACAAATCTCGAGACACTCTTAAACCAAAGAACAGAAAGATGTTCATGTACGCAGGACATGACAGTACGGTAGCAAATCTTTTGGGTACGATGGGTGTATGGGACAAACAGATGCCCGAATACAATATAATGGCCATTGTAGAATTGCATCGAGAGAAAGATAATTGGAATGTACAGGTATGTTGTTTAATTTTTTATGGTTATTCTTTCAGTGTTTCTACTGAAAAAAAATATGTCGAAGTATTTAAAGCAACATGATGTATGGACTTGATGTAATTTTACTTGTATTTTATATTGCAGATGTTCTTAAGGAACACAACTGAACACGAGCCTTACTCACTCACTGTGCCTGGGTGTTCGACGATCTGTCCTCTTGACAGGTTCATCGAAATAACGAAACCCGTGATACCTATTAATTGGAGCGAAGAATGTAAAGTAGACGATCCAAATTATGTACCACCGCCACCTCCTATGGTTTAATAAACCATCACATAACTAGAGGGGCAACGTAGCGTAAAGACCGTCCATAGAAAATTTTAGAAGCGCCAATTTGCTGCGCTGACGTGTCGATAATTCGATTTTCGACAAGAAATGTTTGCTCCTGAGATAAGCTACAAAGTAACGCAAAAGAGTACGACGAAATGATATTTTTCGAGGTTTAAATAAGTGTGACTGTAACTTCGGGGAAATTACCTTAGTTCACTTTGCATTGAATGAGCAGATTTCCTATAGAAAGGATTATAGAAGGCAGCAATTTATACCTCCTGTGATTTTTAGATTTTAGAGCAGACAGTTGATTGAAGATTGTAGATATTTTCCGATCGATCTGTATAATTGTGTAATAAATTTTATATATATACATATACTGACACTTGAACTCTAGACTATCATATTAATCTCCACTGAAAAACCTCGATTCTATCATCTTTGCGATCGTCTACAAACGATACTCTCGGCCAAAGAATTAATCAAAAATTACCATCAGCTCGCACTGACACAAGTAACTAATCGGAAACATATAAAACAATCGTTGAGAGGACTGACCGTCCCTTAAGCAAATATCTTCTCCTCGCGCCTCTTCTTGGTCACCACCGTTCCAGGTTTGTGCTGGGCATCTGGATGATTCAGGAGCTCTGGTGGGCAAGTTGATATTGGACTTGCCAAAATAGTTTGCTTCAGATCATAGAACAGATGACTGTCGTCTTTCGTGCAGAAAGATATCGCCAGACCAGCCTTTCCAGCACGACCAGTTCTACCAATACGGTGAGTATAGTCTGCAAAGATGGTCAAGGTTTAGTTCATTCAATCAAAGCCAACCGAATATAAATTACACCAATTATGTATGACAATGTCGAAGAGGGTTCGATGAAATGGAAACTGACCTTCAATGGTCTTGGCCATGTCATAATTGATAACCATCGAAACGTCCTTGATGTCGATACCACGACCAGCCACATCGGTGGCCACCAAGATATCCTTGCTGCCACTTTTGAGCGAAGCCAAGGCATACTCTCTCTGCTCCTGGCCTTTTCCACCGTGAAGTGTACAGGCGTTGTACTGCAAATAAAATATTATTATTAATATCATACCCAATACATTAGGTTTATTTATTTGGGTGTCAACGTTGAACTTGTAACTCACTCCAAGCTTCTCCAATCCCCTTGCCAGGACATCGGCACCTTTCTTTTGGTTGACAAAGATGATAACCGGTGGCTCGACGCCACGACTTAGGATTTCCATTAACTTTCTTCTCTTATCAGCCTCGCCCATAATATGTACTATCTGCTCTGTTCGTTCGGTCGGTTTGCCCACGCTTCCAATGTAAACCACGGCAGGACGTCGCAAATATGTCCTAGCGAGCCTTTCCACTGCAGGTGGCATCGTCGCCGTGAACATAACAGTCTAAAATACAGCACCATGTAAGCTAACGATACAGCAGAAACGTGACTTATTATAACAAATCCAGCAATACCTGTCTGTACTTTTTCTTCGTGTTATAATTAGCCAGGAGCTTCTCTTCGTTCTCGGCGTCTTCGTTATCCGGCTTCAAGTTAGTCACCGGCATGTATTCTAAGATTTTCTGCACATCTAAAAACGTGAGAAAAAATGATGAGTTTGGACGAACTCAATGACAAAAAAGAAAGAGACTTCTAGATCATTCCTTGATCACATACCTGGTTCGAAACCCATATCAATCATTCTGTCAGCTTCATCCAGAACAATATAAGTACACTGATTCAGAACCAGGTATCGGTTCTCCAACACATCTATCAATCTACCAGGTGTTGCGATGACAATCTATAAGATGAAAATTAATATAATCTGATATCAAATCCTTACTGTCATAATTGTTCCGTTAGTTGAATAATGCAGACATACCTCGCAACCCATTCTCAGTCGGAAGCCTTGCTCTTCTCGAGAGAGCCCACCGACAACTACAACGGTCCTAATACCCAATGGTTGGCCAAATTTATTTGTCTCTTCCTCTATTTGTTGTGCCAGCTCTCTGTAACAATTAATTGTTAATTCAGTAATTCTTTATTTAAATAGACACATGGGAATGAAAACTTGACATAACGGATTTAAACTTACCGAGTCGGTGCCAGGATGATACTGTATGGACCTTGATCAGCTTCCTCCAGTCTTTCTATTTTTGGAAGACTGGTGATCCAGAGCAGCAGTGGAATAAGGAAGGCTAATGTCTTGCCAGAACCTGTCTCGGCAACGCCGATGATATCACGATTCTGAAGTCCGATGGGTATTGCTTGCCTCTGGATCGGAGTCAAGTCTTTGTAACCAACTTTATCGATAATGTCCAAGATCTCCTTAGGGAAGCCTGATTCTTTCCATGAACGAATAGGATCAGGAATTCGACCCCCTTTAATTGTGATATTATAATCTTCCCGGAAGATTCGCCAGTCACGTTCAGTCATTTCATTCAATGCCTTTTCGGACCAGTGACGGTCGTCCCATTTCTGTTTCTCTTCTTTCCGCTTAACTTTTTTCAATCGCATCCTAAATTAATTCATCATTGTATAAAGAATGTGATCAAATAAACAGTAAAAAGAAAAAGAAGGTAAACACTTACTTCTCCTGTTCCTTCTCTGCTTCCGTTCGTCTCTTTTCTAATAATTCTCCATAGAACTTGCTCTGATCTCGCTTTTGTGCCTTGATGTCAATTCCAGCTAGATTACCTCTACCAAAGAATTGCACCTGATGTCGTTCCTTATATATGCTGTTGTAGTCTATGGAAGTGTCCTCGGAAGTATCCCAATCAAAGACAAACTTTCTGTCGTTTAGCCTCCTCACTCTGCGCTTCTTTTTCACTAATCCAAGGTAACGTTCCTTTATTGCCTCGACTTCCTTCTCCTTATCCTTATCCTTGATTTCTTCTTCACGTGATCTTTGACCTTCCCGCCATCTAATAACATAAATTCTTCATCATTCCCTAACAAAAAAATATTGAACAATGGATATATGATCTCTAATCAACTTACCTATCTCGATCATCCCACTCTCTGTCTTTTGATGAGCTGAAACCGTCAGTATGCATCAGTGATTTACGATCTTCCTCTCGTTGCTTCTTCATTGAAAGGACTTCCTGCTGACGCCTTTGTATCGCTAACGCTGCACGCTCTTCCTTACTTAAAAATTTTGGCTTAGCCCGAGCTTCTTCCTCCGCTTTTTTCTTAGCAAGTAATTCCTCCAAACTTAGTGGTTCTTTCTTAGGTACAGATTTACCCTTTTCTTCATTTTCATCTTCTTCTTTTTTGGCATCTCCCTTAGCATCCTTCTTGCTATCATCATCGATCACAAATATTGGACTTAGTTTACGCTTCTTATCATCTCTGGACTTGTCCTTACCATCTCGACGGTCCCTGGACCTATCGCGGTCTCTGGATCGTTCTTGATCTCGAGATCTATCAAGATCCCTTTCTCTTGACTTTTCTCTCTCTCTTGAACGTTCTCTTGAACGAGATCTCTTGCGGTCTTTCTTACGATCTTTTGATCTACTCCTAGATCTTCTGCGATCACGACGGTCTCGCTCTCGTTCTCGATCTCGTTCTCTCTCACGATCTCTTTCTCTTTCGCGGTCTCTTTCGCGAGATCTGCTACGTCTCGCAGTCTTCTTATCATGAGCCATTTTTCACACTTTCTTTCAATACTAAATGCAGCCCAGATTCTTACATTTTAGGCCGCAAAATGAACAGTGAACGCTGTGGAGTAACACAAATGTATTATAGGTTAGATTCGCGAAAACGACTCATGTAACATCTCTAGACAACGTTGTATTTACGCTTGTATTTTATTTACAACTTTACGTTACTTTTCCTTAAAAATATTGATCTCGGTAGAGTTATTTAATAGAAATTATAATCTAACCTTTTCAAACGTTCACAACAAAACTTGGTCCATAAAACTCAATTGACTCTTTATCAGGCTCTAGCAGAGCGTTTATTACGTAGTTTTGACGACCGCGCTCACTTCTCGCACTTTCATCTCACGTGGGTTTATTCGCCGAATTACGTGTTTGCTATATGAAAGAACGAGATCACTAGCATTTCCAGTCTAGTAATATTTTAAATAAAGGTACGTACCACGCAAATCGAAAATTGTTAAAAAGTAGTGGGTTATAGGAAAAAAAGACGGGAAAATGGAAAGCCGTTGAAAGTAAAGATCAAAAGCGAGCAGGGTCGGTAAGTGTTGGTAAGACTCTACCATCCAGTCGCATGGTATTACCATCACGAATACGTGAGCCGCCAATGGCGACTGGTAGATGGTACCGCCATCGCGAGTGCGCAAGCTCCTATCAGAAATTCGTTGCGCCGCCCTTGGGGGCAAAAAACGGTGAAAGCTAACGTACGAAACCAGAGGGCAGCACAGGATGCGATTGCACGATCCTGCCCGTGAGCAATCTCCCAACTCATCTCTGCTCTGCTCCCAATTCATTTCTCAATCCAATCGTAATTCCATGTTCAAGTTCAAACAAAAGAGCAGCAATTTCAATTGAACGAAATAACCGAAAACAGTTATATGCATTGTCTTTCGAATTTTTTTAGGAACCTCGACCATTTGACGAAATGTCTCTGAATAATTCGGAAGAAATAGCGAATTGCAAAGTGTTCAACCTTTCAGAAGGGATTCCAGATTTCATTATAGGTAGACTTTCAAGGTGTATAAATATCTGGGAAGTTCCTCTCTGATAATCAACTTTTACACTAACAACGAATTCCAATGGAAAGAATATTTTTATTGTAAAAAAAGTTTTTTTAATTGCTCTAGTTCAACAATGCTTAGAAACATAAATATGTAGCACTAACTGTCAGATACGAATACGTTATTGCTTACAGTATAACACAATAGAAACATATTTACATTTGTATATTTAATTAACTCAACAAGGAGTATTAAACTGGTTACGTACCTATTCATTGCAAGTAAAGTGACTTGGTGATATCATAACTCTGCAGAACTTGTCAAATGTATTAAAAATAAGACCTGTCATCAATACGGAAACATTAAAATATTTACATTGAAATATACAGAGAAAAGGAAATATGAACTTAAGAGAATTTTTGTTGAACACTCAGTAACACAATAATATAAATTTTACAGACAAGTCAATGCGAAAGGCCCTGTGCTTCAAAGAGAAATTAATAATTTATTTAAAGGACAATTCACTGACAGACTCAAAGCCTGTTGGTGATTACTCTATATCAGTGGAAAGCATCGGAAGGTGTGACAGGCAATTCCTCGTTCATGTAATCTCATCAATGAATATTGGCGGTAGCACTGGTGGATCAAAGGTCATCAGTTCCAGCACAGATAATCTGCATTGTCTAGAGGAAAAAAGAACCGAGTATTGTTATCCATTTCTCTCTCCTTATAATTAGTAATTAAATATGTAATGACCATCCATTCATCCATTTAATGCATCCAGATACATATATAAAAAGAATGAACTGCACGAGAAGGTCTTGTATGTGGCTGCAGAGAACAATTCATACTATGTGGAAGTAACTCGTGTCTGTCCTTGTGAAAAGATAACCGAGACAAAGGACTTGCCCTTTAACCATTGTGACAAATTAATAAGCGAGGGTGCTAATTTAATATTGATGAGATATCTTGCAATAACGAATTTTAAGGGAAGCCTGAACCTGCACAGTTTACTAATAGAGGGTTGCCTGGTTGACTGTAACTATGTAAGTCAATCCATTGTGCGTACTACATAACGATAAATAAAATTTGTGTTTCTGAAAATCCAATATTATATATTAGAAATGTTTGAAAGGAAAATTGATGCAAATCAATGGTCAAACCATTGAGGTTTATAAAATAGAGAGAACTCTATACAAAGAGGCGAGATCGATTCAGAAGATTCAAACATTTATGACCAGAGATGGAAGAATTTTGCAGCACGATTGGCTAGAGGTGCAATATTTACTTCAAATAAATCCTCTGATCGACCTGAAGAAATTTGGATCACAGAAACAATCAGAGGCATTGACAATGCGAACACCTTGGCATGAAGACATGGAACTGATATCCAAGTATTTGGATACAAAGGTAAAAGTAGAAAATTACACTGCCAATTTTATGTGAATTCCATCGAAATTTTATATCTACAAGACTATCGTCTCAGTAAATAATAATTCTCACTATGATTAATTTTGTAGACTTGTAAGGCAGCACAACAAAGTGAATACCTGGCAGATCAGCCACAAATGAAACAACTTATCTTCGATTATGTTCAAGCATTACTAATTGGTAAACATTATTAGTAAGACCGTAAAAATTCAATGATTTCAACTAAGATCGCTTCACTCCTTAATGTATAACCTGATTGTCACAGTAAAACCCTCCGATGTCCTGAACTTCACAATTCAACATTTCAAGTCTTTCGCTAAATATCCGGAACGTGGAGAAGTCAGCTTATCAGAAGAAGAGTCAGAAATAAATGTTTCATCACAGTTTAGAGAAAAAGATTCGACGCTATGTAAAACCTGCAAGATTTGTGTCGACTGCAAAATGTTGAAGACCGCTCCAGTGGTACCAATTGGAGAACAATTTGCTGAGCTGCTGGTAAAGCGATGAAGATATACTTCTGTCAATGATAACGGAGCAGCTGCTGGCTTGTTTTATATATTTCTCTCCGTATATCTACTTTGCAGCAATATCCACCTATTGAACCGGAGAGCCCAACATTCTCCTCTTGTTCCGTGCGCACCAAGTGTTCCAGCGACGCACTTTGCGTAAGACGACAGACTCGGGGTAATTTAAGTGTGACTTGTATCAACGATTGTAAGCCCTGTAATTCCGATGAGATCCACACCCACTTTCTTGACTGCGTAAAAACATGCGAAGGCTGCCAAAGACTAAGCAAGCCATGTCCAGTGCATAGAGTAAGATCTACAATTCGATCCTCTAAATCTATCCTTTGTTTCAATAACTATAAAAAAGTGTTCAAATTTTTAGTCTTGTCCAGAGTGTTTGGGCTGTCACAAAATCTGTGAAGAATCTACCTTGTGACCAGATTATCGAACTTGTAGTATTGGAACACTTCCGATTCACAGCTGATTAATCAACAACAAATAGTATGAGTTTAAATGATTACTAAAACTGCGATGCTTTCTATGAAGCATAAATACTAAAGGTTGCATAAATATATATATATTTTAATAAAATTAAATTGTCTCACATGTATCATTTTCTACCCGGTGAGGTGTCCTTTTGTGGATTGCATATCACACAGTTATCCTGAAATGCACAAATTATGTACAATTCATTGTCATAGTTTTAGAAAATGGTGTAAGAAAAATATGGACTACATTTACATGTTAAATAATTTCACTTACCAACAATTTTAAATTCGGTAAACAATCTTCATGAAAGGAATGTTTGCAATAAAATATGACTAGATTCCGTGGCTCTAAAAACAAAGATGAATTGTTTCAATACTAATATAAATCGAACGCTCAATGTCAGCAATTTTTAAATACCTCTCACGATGATCTTACGTTGACACGCGCCACACATCTGATCGTCTGAAAACGAATACATTTTGATTCCATTGTGTGAGTGAATACAACAAATATAAATAGATGCATTGCATACCATCCATAAAAATCCCTTTTTGGTGGGATCGAACGAGTCTATCATGTAGATTAAAATAGTCACTCGACAAGATTTTTTTGTACCCCTCTTGCACAGATACCTGAAGGTTGTAATCCCTCATCATTTTGACGAGCGCTTTCTTCAAGCCAGGTATTTCCAACGACGGTTCTATTTTCTGTACTATTAACCTAGGATCTACATACGTTCCTATTTTCTGAAGCAGAAACGTAATTGCCTCTGAAAACGAAATATGCTGCTGGAGGTGTTCTTTCATTTTAATATTCAACAAGGCATTCCCAATGATTTCTCTATTATGGAAAAACGGATAAGTAGAAATTACCTGGTTTATCCAAAGAGTAATTAACCAGATCGTTCCAGAGTTCTTCATCATCGTGTTCCTGACAGAAAGCAATAGCACTTTCCATGTCATTGAGTTTTCGAGTCATAAGCGCTAATGCTTCTGAGGTATTGCCAATCCTGCCCAGGAGATAAACCATTTCTGGATAAAAGTACCTTTGACTGCAAATATCCAGAGCCTGTTGTATTGGATAATTATCCGAACGTCTAAGCAATGGTAGTAATTTGTCTCTGGAGTAATCGGCATAGAGGCGAACTAAAAGTCCATGGTATTTCCCCTTTGAATCTTTCGTGTCCGTTTTGTCTCGAGCATCCAAATACTGCAATACATGTATTTATATTACACTTAACAGTTGTTTAGTAATTGAGATACAATTGTTCTAGGTTTGAAGGGGGATAATACAAACCATGTATAGGTACCAATGATTGTTTTTCAACTTTTCGACAACAACGTCCGATGGGATTCTATCTTTCTCCAGGAAGAACCGTATCGCTCTCTCTGCATCTAGGTTCATGAGCCCCTCGATCATGTCATGGATCGAAGAGCAGAGCTGATGTTTCTGAATTAGTTGAAACACATCCTTATGTCGAAGTTTCAGGTACATAGCTAGAGCTTTATCGTATTTTCCTTCGTGACTGTACAGAATAGCTAAAGCTTCTAGGAGAGCAGTCTGATGAGGGTTTTGGATGATGTGATCAATAACACCATTTACTATCGCAGCAACGTTATACAGTTTCGGTGACCATTCCTTTACGAGGTGCAAGAAGCCCTCAGGATCCATATTAAGATACTCGAAGAGTACCATTTCATAAACATTAGGGTCCAAGATAACGTCACCCCTAGGAAGGTATGAAGAGATTGAACGCAGTTGATGAACTCTTGCAAATTTGTACACCTAGGGCCGATTAAATGTTAATTGGTTAAGGCAAGTTCAACAAATAATTTCAGTTAAAGTGGAATTGAAGCATTAAATACCTCTTCCTCCCAGAGCTTCTTATCCCGACCCAAAACCTTCAAACACAGCTTACCGGCTTCGTCGTATTTGCCAGAGTTTAAAAGGTGATCCAGATATATTCGACCAACGTATATCAAAGAGTGCTTTTTACAATCTTTACCGTCGTTGGTCATCACGGCTTCCAGAGCTTCTTCAAACTTTTTATGAGCAAGCAACCATTCAATCCGATCATCTGCATCGTACAGACTGGCAATGACGATATCTTTCGGACTCACTATGAAGAATCTACACAATTTCAATATTCAAAACACAAAGCAGATAAAATAATATTATTGAGTTCTTAAATATATTAGAAAAATTTTGAAAGATCTACTTATGTAGATTAATTCATCTATTCACCTGTTTTCGTGGACCAAACAATCTAAATGATAATCGTTACATCCGTACTCTTTATAGCCACGCAGCGTGAGAGAATTTGCACAAATCTCGGAGAAGTCCTGATATTTTGGTTCGATGACTTGCAAGGTTGGACGCTGACTTTTGCCATTTTCATCCAATTCCTTTGAACAACCCAGCAGAACCAATTGATTATCAAGCGGGGCAATACCGGATATGTAAAAATCAACTTGGAACGTTGACACTGTAAAAGGTTACATTGGAATTTTTAAAGTATAAATGTAACAAGAAAATTCAGTTAATTATGTTTGAACTAATAGTCCATGCTAGAATTACCTGGATCCACGAAGTACTCAGGCAAGTCTCGATTTGTAATGTCCTGCATGAGTCGTTTTTTTATTTGACAGACACGAACAGTATCTACCCACCCGATGAGTAATGTCCTATCACCCGACCATCGAAGGTTACACCTGTAGTGCTCTGGTAAAGCACTATAAAAAATAAAATTACAATGTATTTAATCACTAAATTAAGACGTAAAATGTTCTACGTACTCTGCCGATCGAGTCCATTTAATAAGTCCTAAGGAACAGCATGCATTTAAGTCATATATCCTGACACCAATGTCCGATGCCCAAGCTACAAATTCTCCAGCCCATGCTGTAGATCTGACACCACCTTCGGCCTCGCAGAGAACAACAGGCTTCACACGTGACAGAAAGGTCTTCTCGTATAAAACCAGTTTGTCATCACCTGTAAATAATTTTATTTGTACAAAACTAAAACACTAAAAACAAATCGGTAAAGTAATCAATTAATCTTACCTGTAATAAACCGTCTGCCACTACCACTTTTGTAATATTTTGGATCAATCGCTATACTTTTTACAAGCCTACCCATGCTCATATTGAGATTATCGTCAGAACTATATAGTCCATAAATATAAACTTTTCCATCATCACTGCAAGAGGCAATATAGTCTCCATTTTGATCTATAGATATTTCATTGACAGCAACTGCGTGCGCCTGAAGCGTTTTCGATTGTATATTATTACCCTGATGGTCAAGAAGGTGGATCATGCCCCAATGTGAACCAAGGCATAGGAACTATAACAAAAATTAAATGAAATTATAGCTAAATTACATTGAAACAAACCATTGTGGTAAGGTACGAAACACATAACCTTAATGGGTCAAAGATGAAATAAATATAACGAGTGACAGAAGTAAATAACCTTTGTATGTACAGCGATGCAGCTGGCAGCATCATTTTGTAAAATCTGTTCCAGATCATTTCGCATTCTAATGTACTTTAACCTAGGTTCAATCTCGTCTACTTCTGAATCCGAGTCATCCTGATTGCCTTGTTCTTCCTAAAAATTGCATAAACACGATTAACATAAGCAAAGTAAAACAAAAACCAGTAACATGTCTTAACCAAAGATTACTTTGTCTGCACTGTTTTCCATATTATCAATTACTTCGAACAATAATCCAAGTACTCTATTGGAGTTATCAAAAATGTTCACTTGGAGATTAAATTGAACATAAATGTCAAACTACTGTCAAATCGAGTAAAGACAAAAACTGACGAGACTATCACAGTCCATTGGTATTATGCGCCACAGATTTTTATTCGAGGAACTAGGTCGCTAACTTGGACAGAATGATTGTGACAGCCTGCAAAGATTTTTTCCTTAGAAAAAGATTTCACAATAGCCGATAGATGGCATGTAGGTTGTTTTCAATCTAGTTAAACTCCACTCCGTAAACCAGTTAAACTCCGATTACCTTGAATTATAAAATGTAATGACATTTCAGCTAATAAAAGAACACACTCGAAAACTATATATATGTATGTATACGGAAAGTAGAAACTGATTGGTTGAAAGCTGAAATTTAAATTTGAAAAAGCGTTTGTTTGTAACGGATTTGATGTCGATAACGTGACATTTCATTGACACGTTAAAGCAAAACTTGTGACATTATTTTTAATTACACGTTAATTTCTAAAGTGTTGTATCCTCTTTATCTGTAAATATACGTAATAACATGAAGACCACGTAAGTCGCTTTAAAAATTATATTCCTTGAGTTTAACCTCAAAGGTTTTGATTATTTGTGCTCTCTTCAAATATTCTTTTTGCAATATAAACCACTTTATTAATGAAACCTACTCATTTCAGAAAAATGAAACCACCTACTTCAACAAAGAAGCCAACTAGCCGGCCTCGACACCATAACATGGTAACAAAGGATCCTGTGCAGGTCTATTGCAGATTGCGGCCAATGCAACATGCATCCGACATATCTTGCATGAGGGTCATTTCAGACACAACAATTATTGTGACACCACCAGAGTCGGCAATGAATTTTCGCAATGCTAATAGCAAGGAAATCCAAACAGTATTCAGTCGAGTCTTTACAGCTGAAACCAAACAAAAAGAAATTTTTAACAATGTAGCTTTACCTTTAGTGGAGAATTTAATTCGTGGCAGAAATGGTTTACTTTTTGCCTATGGTGTCACCGGTAGTGGCAAAACTTTCACTATGACTGGTGAGCCACAGGATAGTGGTATAATGCCTCGTTGCCTTGATGTCATATTTAACAGTATTGCAAACTATCAGGCAAAGAAGTTTGTTTTTAAACCTGATAAACTGAATGGCTTTGATGTACAAAGTGAAACAGATGCCATGCTTGACCGGCAGAATGAGCTACATGCAGGCCTTATGACTCCCCGTAATGGAAAAACTGGTAGAAAGTAAGTAAAAGGAGTATAGGTAAGGTAAGGCAGTTTAAGGACATCTTGTCATGTTATTTTTCTATTTCAGGAAACCAGATAGTGACAGTGACAGCAATCCAATGATAGCTCGAGAAGCAGATGAGTCTCAAAGTGTGCTGGTAGAACAAGATAATGTGTATGCAGTCTTTATAACATTTGTAGAGATATATAACAACAGTGTTTATGATCTCCTTGACGATGAAGATGTGCGAATGAAGTAAGCAACTATTTAAGACATTTTTAAAAACTCTTAATATAATTTGGAAATTCAAAAATATTTAAAATCTCATGTAAAAATGTGCAGATCGATGCAGAGTAAAATTGTCAGAGAAGACGGCAACAAGAATATGTATGTTCATGCTGTAACCGAAGTAGAAGTGAAAAGTTCCGAAGAAGCCTTTGAGGCTTTTTACCGGGGACAGAGAAAACGACGCGTTGCTCACACTGCTCTTAACGCAGAATCTAGCAGATCTCACAGTGTCTTTACAATAAGACTTGTACAGGCTCCATTGGATTGCGAAGGAGAGCAAGTCATACAGGACAAACGTGTGGTATGCGTAAGTCAGTTGTCGCTAGTTGATTTGGCGGGAAGTGAGCGCACGAATCGTACCAAAAATACTGGACAAAGGTTGAGAGAAGCTGGTACATGGTTTTGAAACTTAAAGTTACTTATTCTTATTGTTATAGTTATATAAATATTTAACGTCACTGAATTTGCAGGAAATATTAATAACTCCCTAATGACTCTTCGATCTTGTCTGGAAATACTTAGAGAGAATCAGACTCAAGGCAGCAACAAAATGGTACCTTATCGTGATTCTAAATTAACGCATCTCTTTAAAAATTACTTTGATGGTGAGGGCCAAGTCCGGATGATTGTATGTGTGAATCCCAGAGCCGATGACTATGATGAGACAATCGTGAGTTCAGTTGCAAAAAATATATATATTATGAATCCAGCAATGCCTAGTTAATTCAATTGGTGTCATGGATCGTAACTTGGTTATACCAATATTAACTTTTTTGTTGGTCTGTAGCAAGTGATGAAATTCGCGGAAATGACTCAGGAAGTGCAAGTGGCTCGACCTGTAGCCGCCAAACTTGACCTTGGTTTCACGCCAGGAAGACGACAAGCTAACAGAGTAAGACTTTCTCCAATATAAGCATAGGAAACATTTAATTATATATATTAATGCATTACTTTGTTCCTTCGATTTTTCCTTAGATTTTCAAAGAAGCTCGCAGCAGATTGGAGAGAGAAGGCAAACCGGAAGCTGCTGAGCTGGAGATAGACTTAGGACTGGTTTACAGGTGAATTAGTGAAATTAGAATTGAAGATTTATTTGCCTTTCACGACATTCAGTTAGTAAATGTAGAAACTTGTTACTATTGAATGGTACTGACTCCCTAATTCTTTTAATATTTAGCTTGGGTGGACCATTCCCTGAACTTGAAATAAACAGTCCACACAATGACCAAGTAATTTCAACTTTGATGCACTTCTTGGAGCAGCGCATTAACAAAAGGAACATTCTGCGTGCTGACCTGCAACAGAAACGTGCGTTACCACCCAGTGCTTTTTTACTTTTCTTCTTATGTGTTGCCTTTGATCTATCATAATTACTTTGTAATTTTACAATTTCAGAAAATGAGTTTAGAAAAATGCTGTTAGCGATGGAACAGGAGAACATCGGTTTAAAAGTTGAAAATGCTTCGTTGAAAGCTGCTCATAGTCAACAAAAGAAGAAGGTATGTAAATTGAGATGTATACACTTTTACACGTAAAATTACAATCAATTTTTATCAGGTTGTAGCCATGGAAGGTCATTTGTGCAAAACTGAAGCACAGATCGATAGCTTACTTCGCAAGCTGAATGGTGCTAACGATACGATTAGGACTTTACAGCAAGAGGTACGTTTGTGTGATATCGATCAAGAAACAAAAACACTTTGATTAGTAATCGATCAATAGATTTAAAATCATTTAAAATCTCACAGCTGAGAGACCGAGACATGGCTTTGAATCAAAGGATCATCGATAAGCAAAGGGTAAAGCAGAAGTACAATAGCAAGATACAAGCAGAGGCTGATAAGATGAATCGAGAGTTGGAAATTAAACTGCGACAGCAACGTGAACATCTTCAGGTAAATACAAAAGAATTAAAAGCTGATTACACCTGTTTTTGACGAATATTTTTTTTTTTATGTTTAATAGAATCAAATGAAAGAGAAAGACGACAAGCTACGTTTAGTTAAGCAGATACTAGTGGATGATAACGGTGTAAGTACCGTAACAATTCCTCAAAAAGAATCTGTCCCATCGACAGTCACCGAGGCTGGAGACGCTGCTAGTGCAAAAACCCCATCTTGCACAGAAACTCGTTCCAGAAAGGTAAAGACAAAATTTCAGGTAATATGGACTCAAATTCAAACTGGAAATACCGAGATTTTGTTTCCGCAGGATAAGATCGCAGTATCGAATCCTAGGTACCGCAGATCACAGAGTGCAGAACGATGGATAGATCATCGACCTGGAGCTCTAGTTCCCCTTGGTACAGTTTTGCAACCGATGATGCGCCGAAGGCGCAGTGTAAATCGACTGACAGAAGCAAGAGATATAACGGAGGGTGCCTCGAGATACTGCCTGGTGGCACAAGAACACGATACCGATGGAGAACTTGAAACAAAATTATACAAGGTATATATCCAGATCAAGTTTCGCTTTTCTTTACTTTCATGACGATAGGAAATAAACTTTATCACTATTCATCTTAGGGTGATATCGTACCAACGTCAGGAGGCGGGGCACAGGTTGTCTTCAACGATGTGGAATGTCTGAAGCAAATGTCTCCGACAGCTAGGAGGAAACGAAGTGGTTCGTGTGCACCTCATCAAACCAATGGCCACTTCGAAGGCACTGACCGAGGTTCCATTGGCACTGAATCAACTTCGAAAAGGCCTCGTATGTAGAAACGTTCCCGCCGTTGGAAAAAAAAAAAAAAAGGTTATTCACTAAGTATTATGCTGGAGAATAATATATAAGAAAGTTAATATTTGAACGTTTGACATCGATACAAAGTGAAGATTGATTTAACTCATATGAGTCGATACCTTTTGTTTAAGTATTCAATGATTATTTTGTAAAGCAGGAGTACTTATAAAAGTCCTAGATATGGAATTAGTTTTCTTAAAATAAGACAATAATACGTAAATAAATGGCTTTGTATTAATTGAGTCGGTCTCTTCCCCAAACTACTCGGCATTGGGAAAGCAACGAAGATCCTTTGCTTTTTACTTTTCAAATATGATAAACTGAAAAATTTTGTTTACGATGAATGATCGTGAAGGGATTTGTGACAAAGAGAATTTCCTTTATCTCCAGCAATTTATTACACTGTTCTTATTAACTCTGCAGACAACTCTTCTCTCCAAACGAATGATTTAAGCCGCTAAAAAGAATGACTTGACGCCTGATATAGAAAAGCCTTTTTAAATTCAGGACCATCTGTGACCACTTCCGGTCTCGCTCGACAACTTTAACAGAACTTACAAAGAAACCTTGCCAAACTATAGTGGCATTGGATGCGTTTGCGTTACAAAATAACCAAAGTGTATACAATAAGGTCTTCGCAAAGAACCTCTGAGAACTCGAAGAAGAGGATTAAGCGCAGTGAAATAATTACAATTTAATTATATTTTATCCATCACTGCTCTGACATTAACAGTGAATAATCTCTGTGAGAGGCTCACTAAACTGTTAATCGTCAAGACCAGTCTCTGACTTGACAATTTAATGGAAATATAAAAAAAATCTCCTTAGCTGCGAAACATCTTAAGATGAAACAGAGGTCCTTCGAAAGAGCTCTCCTAGTCAGAAGTAGCTGCTCTTACGCCACCACACAAAGTGCACGCTGAAGATCTTACGGGCGAGCCAATAAGTGATAAAAAAAAAAAAACCCTCGTAGGAACTTAGAAATTTTATGCGTTTTTACACATGGTCATAAGAAATTCTCAGCAAGGAACAAAAGACACCCACTGGCGAGTACTTCGAAAAATAGAAACGCTAAGACACATAATGGGACTTCTTCAACGCGGAAGTCATTGATTATTCTTAGTTCTTTCCCCTGGTGTCCCTCCTCCTGTGACCCCCTAACGCAGACCTTACTCGGTGTTTCAGAAAATCTTAAGAAATGATCGAATTCGAGACTAGACGTTCCTTACTTGATAAAGCTAATCGATCGTCGGACTTAATCTCCACTAACAAATTACAAAATTGATTATTTCGTTAATTAGAGACAGGGTGTCGTACGCGTCCTCTCCCTCTCGTTCGTTCTTTCTTGTCATTTCTCTCACGCATTCTCCTTACATTAGGATTAATAGACAGCGAGTGCGCTTGCAAATAGCATGCCAATGCTAGAGTACGCATTAAGATTTTACACCGATCTGTACTACAGGGTTCCATCGAACCCCATGAAAGAAGGTTTGGGAGGTTGTTACGTTTTCATCGACGGATACAGCGTTAAGTTTCATCGATACCCTAAGAATATTTGTGGAATTCGATCAAATATATCTGTTCCGTGGTGCTTGAGATCGACGTGGCTTCCTTTTGCCCTAACAGTGCGTGTCACAATGGGTTGTTCTTAAGGTGATATGAAAGTGGCGTCAAAGAGGTCCCGTTTATGAAACCTCTCTGAACCGGGTATATAGAATCGTTTCAAAGTTTACAACCTGAATATGGAGGCTACAAGGAGGGTCCGGGCACCCATGGAATTTAAATTGTTAAAAAAATTCTTTATAGGTACTTTAACAATTTTTTATTAAAAATCAAATTTCAATCAAAAGTGTCGGGACCTTCTTTACAGCCTCCGTATTCACGTTGTGAAGCTTGAAAAGATTCGGTGCACTCAGTTCAGAGAAAAGTTTCATGAACGATTGAGCTTTCGGATGCCACATTCGCATCCCCTTAAGACAGCTGTTCGGAGTAATGTACGAAACAACTTTGGTCTACAATATCTTCCGGTACTGCGATCCGTTACAACTATGACACTCTATTTATCCTAGAAGGAGGAAAATACAGTTATGATGTTTTCGATGAACGCAGCAGTAAGCACTTTAGTGTCGCTGAATTCTCGCCGTAGATTGGACACAGTCTTACAAGCTAAGAAGATGGCCACTCTTCCGTTGCGATAACGAAATCCTATTGCCGTAAAGCAGAAATCAGCGTTAACGCAGAAAGAGATTTCTGACATCGCGATCGGTGTATTAACGGGGACCCTCGACTAATCGCGGCACGGATCTTTCCTATTAACGCATCCCCATCCGGCGTGTACAGAGAATACGTGGAGCTTCAGGATAAATTGTTAATAAATCGATGTATTGAGCAATATTTAAAGAAATAAGAAGGGAGGCGATCGACGCCAATTGCCCCTCGATTCTCTTAGAGAATTGACTGGTGTGCGACTTGGACGGGCAATGAGCGCCGGTCGGCGTAGAGAACCGAAGGTACGAATTTACAAAAGGTTTACGATAACTCGACGTCGCACGCCTAACTATGTATATGTATATCCTTATCCTTACATGCTAGTTTTATATATATGTATATCTCAAAGCTCTTAAATATAATATAACATTCGCACATACAGTATTATTTATATATTGGATCCCCTCACATCGATACATGGAGACCCATCGAAGCTTTCGAAGGTTGAGAAGCTTCCTGATCTCCATCGAAGCTTGTTAGAACTCAAGAAGACTCGAATGAGATAGACATTTCATTGGCCTGTGCCTCGATCCATTTTTTTATGCTTTCATGCTTCGAGCACATTGTATCAATGGATTCAATTCGACATAATTCAAGTGCGCCGAGTAAATCCATCGCTTCGAGACTATCCAAGGTAACTGTCTAAGGAACTCCAGAAGTACAATCGATTTGAAATTACAGAAACTCGTGTCACGAAGATAAGTGCATTGACGCGATAAAAGTCGTGCATATCGATTGACTCAATGCTCTATGAGGATTACGTGTGCAAAAGTTTGATTTAAGAGCATTGACCGCATCGACGCCACATCACTTCGAGGATTCTTGCTTCTTTTCCAGATTTACTTTTGAATCGAGCCTAACGATACCTAACTCTTAAAATACGCATTCGAACGCGGAATGCACTGTGCATAAAGAAAGAAGGGACTCGCAGTGAAAGATTTATTTGTCATATCTGCCACCCAACGAAGGAACTGGTTCGATGTGTTGAAAACAAATAGATCTCTCACAGTTAAACTGCAGTCCTTTGTGTCCGAAGGTCTCCTAAAATCTTGCGACGTTGAAACGTTAAGTAATCTCTTATGTTTCAAATGGATCGCTACGAAGAGAAAAGGAAAACTGTATCTTTACACTGAGATCACATGCCCTTCGACTCGCGTAGAAAATTAAGGATCTCCAACAGCGGCTCGTTTCTACATTAAACATTGTATAACTTCGCGACTAACCGGAAAGAAACTTTGTACTCCTCCTTTGTCTCGACAAAACTGTAAAATCCACACTTCTACATTTTCAAACGAATCTCTGACGCGGAACCAAAGGAGGAATACTTGTCTCTTCTTTGCACCAATATACAAGCGAAATCATATTTCTCATTAATGGAGCAAAAGTGTTAGTGAAACATCAACTTAATAGAGTTTCAAATGTTTCGTTCAAGGTGCCTCGCCGCAAAGAAGCACCCCTTTGCGCTCCGATGCCATCGTAAGGAAGCAATGCTGCTCTCCTCGGTTCCTATCATTTAAATCGAACGATCCAACCTCACTAGCGCTCGTCACATACGAGCCGCCAATCACAGCTTATTCTATCGCCTTGCTCATAAACTCTATAAAACGTTTCCCATACTGTTCTGGATCGCAGGTTGATATTCCGTCGACGTTAGCCCCGTACTTAACGGTCTTGGCAGCTTTCGCCGCCTGCTTTCTCACGCCATAGTGCGTCAGCACGTCGATTATCGCCAGAAAGTATATCTCCTTCGTCGGTGCACCTAGAAATCGAACGGTTCCATTAGGAAGGACGAAAAGCAACATGCATTTCCCACGAAGGAACGGTCTAATGGGTATCGATCACATTGATTTACGAGCCAAGACGAAGCGAAACCCGCCAGGGGCTTTAAGGGGATCTGCAATGCGGCATGTTACATTTATGCCCGGTTCCACGAACCTCGGTTACGAGTTGGACGTTTCGCCACACTTAACGGTTTAACGGTTTAAAGCTATTCCGTAACGTCGGACCATATCAGAGAATCAGAAATACAGGGGTGCCAAAGCATATGTGGACGAGTGATCTTTCGCGTACCTTCTGAACTGGGAATGGCATAAATGTCTAACTCGGGAATTATAGCGTCTTCGTACTGAAGGCTGGTGTCTCGCATAAGTGCAGCGTGAGGTGATTCCGGAGGTGTGGCCATTCCGGTTACTCCGCCCCAGCCCCAACCGCGACTGTAAACCGCAAATCCAATTAATCCACTTTACAGAGTTTGAATCAATTTGGGAAGTTTCGAATTCCACCTAATCACTAGGGCGTGGTGGTAACGATCAAAGTTAGAGAAATATATAATTTATCGCCTCACTCTCCCATGGGCCCCCTGGAGTCCAAGCCGCTGCCGGACTCGCTGTCCTCCTCTTCCTCGTGATTGTCCTCGTCTTCCTCTCTCTCGGCACGTTCCCTGTTTTCCTGCTCGGCGCGTGCACAGTCATGGAGACCCAATAACAGCGAATAGTCCATCAGGTGCAACCGAGTGAGGAACTGTAAAATTCGTTAGAAGGAACTGTACATTCCTTACCAAACTCCACTTACAGAGGACTGGCCGATCTCGATTTCGCAAAACTCACGTCGACGTCCGCGGACAAGGTCTCTATGAGCTTTGCTTTAGCCTCCTCCCCGATGTAGATCTTCATTCCCTCCTTGACGAAGTCGTTGTCCTTGTAAGTCGGTAGATCCTTCTCCTTCTCCTTGTCGGAGGCCTCTCGGTCCACCGTCGAGCCTTTCAGATCGAACTTCCTGTGGGTCGTTAAATGATTCGAGAAGACGTTCCTGATAGCGACGACGTAGTGCTCGACGCCGTCCACCGTCAGCCGATACATGCCCAGGTACTGCGGTAGCAGAGTCTTTCCATGCCTCTCGACGATGTACTGAAATTTAAAGAATACCGTCAAAGGGTGCGCTTGCCGATACGTATTCGAAATAAGCGTAAATATGTAAATCTTGTGGGCAGTATGATAAATTAAAAATGTAAAAAAATTGACAAAATGGGGTCTCATTAAAATTTAGAACGATTCTCCACGTAGTCACATACGAACGTAACGTATATCTCTTCTCCGAAGGATATTATCCGACAATAAAAAATGACTATCGCCTTAGAAGAAATTACATAAAAATTCTCTGTAACCTCTACAACCGTGTAAAAAACACAAACGCATTTAAAAGCACTAAAGCGTCCCAGCAATGTATCCTACATATATTTTGCGGTTCAGTCGGAGATTCAGTCCTGCTGATTTTGTTTACACAATGCCCATAACACGTATATAGTACGTCCGAATGAATTGACGTTAATCTCCACATCTAAATAACGGATATTCGTTTCAGAAAGGTGTCTGCCTTCACCGGATGGTACTGCTTCAAGAAGGAGTGCATCCTCTCGACTTCCTCGCTGGTCAGGGTCTTGATGATGAAGAGCTTGTCATAGGACTGGTAGAACTTGGCTCCGCTCTCATCCAGAGTGGGCTGGGACCTACAAAAGAAACGACTGGAGTCAATTTAATACATTGTAGCTGTTCTGTCCAGCTGGCGGAGGAGACGGTCTCTGCACTAAGGGGCGCTAACGAGTAGGCTAGAGCGACGTTAAGGACGAAACGCCATCTGCGATTCGTTTTGGGAAGCATCCGGTTGGAGGCGGTCCAATCCGTAAAAATCGTGGACAGGGTCCTCGCTTCCACGATAAGGGACAAAAACGCACAAACAATGTTTCACCACTTCAAGACACTCTGCGCCATCATACAGGGATATACAGGATCATTAATGCATTAATGTTACCATTCTCCTAGCAGAGTCGGACCGAATGTTAGCAGACTCGGCCACTGATGGCGCATCGATCGCGCCTCGCCGTAGCGCAACAATCGTCATTTGCTCCGCAAGACCGCATATTAAGCGAATTCGACATTACTAACTCGAGGAATCTAAAGTGGGCATTCGGTAATGGCAACCGTCCAGCTGATTCCGCGATGCACCAGGCTGGTAGGCAACAATTTTTGGCCAGCCGCCCGCCTTTTCTAGTATAACGTCAATAACGGCATCGCAGGAGGCGAAATATCGACCGACGCGGTTGACGAGGACCTCGCAAAATGCCCCAAGATCAAATGCAGTAATAAAGTAGTAAATAGGTCACTCTTCGGGGGACGGAATGTACACATTTCAACGGCAAGACCTAGAGACGTTAACCGCCTCCTTCCTTTTCCTGTTCGGATACAAACTGCATTAAAAACGCATGAACAATAGCACGCGTTATCTCGGAATATACTACACTGCGGGGTTAAGGTGAAGTGAAACACGTCGAGGAACTTGATCAACGTCGATGAAGAAGATTTTTCTAAATGCCTACGTTGCCGACATTCGTTTTTATATTGACAGCTGGGTCGACTTATATTGGATATTGTACCAAATGGCATATTCCACCTGTCGTTTTCGTACAATAATTATAAAGAAATCGAAGTAAAGCTCTAGAAATCCTCTGGATTCATGCCTTCTGGGGCCCTAATTGACTGCGGAGGGACCCCTTGCGCCATCTGTGATTTCCAGGCCAATTAAATTTTCACTCCGAGACCTCGTATTACCATTGTTTTAGCAAAGAAGCGCATACAACACTTTTTTTTGCCTTTATCCCGTTCAAATGCGAGTTTATCGATTACCAGAGTGTTCTAAATTGTCGTAAAATTGTCCTGAGCCTTCGATAATTGTATATCGATCGAAATATGAGAGCTCGACGCCATTTTGGTTCTGGCCTGGACTGAGTTAAAAAATTTTTTTGAAAAATCCACATTTTGAATGTGTCAGGACAATTCTTAGGTGATCAGGAGTGATGTGTCAAGGTTTCGGACAGTTTGGTCTAATACCCTTAAAAAAAAAGTGTTGTATTCGAATCGACTGATTTGAAGGATGTTTCACTTCACCTTAAGAGTTAATGTAACGGACGGGAATGAATAATTAATGAATGAAATCGGTTGCGAGGCGGGTGACAAATATGGAATTCTCGGTCGCACGAGTCTCCGTGTGCTTCGAGTGCTAATCAATGTGGCTAGTATTATTATCGCAGGATAAACCGGCTATGGCGCAGCATTAACGTTAGTATCGGCGCGCAATATTGGTTCGAAGCAACGTCGAGCCTGATTTCCGTCTTAACCCGAACTTCTTCCTCTATTCTAATTTTTCTGGACCCGCTCATGCCTGGTTTATGTTTCCGTCCTGACTCAAGCTTAATTATCTACAATAAGAAATTCACAGGGGGAATTTATGATAAAATTTGAAGACAAGGAAAACGTAAACGCGCTTTATGAATTCCTTACGGTGAACAATTAATTTAGGATTAAGTTAGATTTAAGACAGAAGCATAAATCAAGCTTCATGCGCAGTACGTACGCATCTTGATATGCCCCTAAGCATAAAATTCAAACTGCTCCTGATGAAAACCGTGAAATGAACAGGCGGCGTCATTTAATTACGCTGTAATTACTGCTGCTAAGAATAACGAAAGCTGACTACATTGTGAAGGATAAGCGCATATTCAAACTACGCGCATACGCTTCCCCTTAAAATCACGGTATAAGTTAAGATAAATGCAAACTTGGGAATTTTTCTGGATTAGAATAAAATTTAGGGTTAAGGTAAGAAAAGCATAAACGCTTCAGATGAATTTTGCATCGGGTTAGAACGGTACATAAACCAGACCTCGAGGACGGCTTTGCTAGGATCCTTACGTAATAGAGCCAGCACGTTGATACGTAGCTGCATTATGCAGTTTCCCTAACGTTTACAAAAATACAATACATAAATTATAACGTATATACCGTGAAACGATACAACCATGGCCCTGCGAAACCCGATGGGTCGTTTCGGCCTAATGGGATTCCCGAAAACGACTCTTCGGGTTCGGAGAAGAGGCGCTCGTGGCGCTCGCGTCGCGGCGAAATCCTCTCGACCAATCGCAGGCCCCAGGCACTGTCACGTGACCGGCCGCGAGAACATGGCGGTGGACCGCTTGCAAGTTAGCCACAGGTGGACACACACGGAACACGATATATAAAGATGAAAATCCAGCTAACCTCAATCGCTTGGGCTTAAAGCCGTAGGTGCGCTGTGGTCTTTCGAGGAGAGGGACCAGGGATGCGGTGCAGGGAGGGGAGAGGGTTATCGAAGGAGCTGTAGCGGATCGCTGGACCAATTGGCGCGTCCTTCCCTTGGATGCCGCCAACTCATTGCGGCGCGTCGATCGCGAAGGACTAAACGTGCGACATCTGCCGGCAGAGTGTACCAGTTATGTGGGGGCGATACTTTTTGCCGAAACTCAGAATGTGGAGCAGTCTCTCCTAAACCGTCCTCTCTGATCCGGTAGATATGCGTTAACGCGATAACACGATAACGTCGATCAGAATTTTCGTTACAGATCGAGATTACAGGGGAAGATTAATCTGAGTCACGTTTCATCAATTATGAGGTGTAATTGCAGGCACCCGATATCTATACAACAGGGAGCTTTGTTTCCCACTCGGGAGAAGATGAATCGATGCATTTAGACGTATTAAATGCGAAGGTTATTACGCTCCAATGGCTGCACAATCTCGATTTAGAATCTGATCGTTCTTCCTCTGTAGTCTTTGATGAATAAACTAGATAAGACGTAACTAGAAAAATTTACTAATGTCATCACCTTGTCATCGACTCCTTATAGTCGAGATCGTCGATCCCGAACCTCTCCCGCAAATTCCGGAAGACTAGAGGGCAGTACTCCTTGATCTTGAAGTGGGAGGGCATGTTTTCTCTGGAATGAAATTGAACTCATGAATTACTGATGAATAGCGATACGACTCGGCGAAGGCGATCAACCGAATTCTAAGCTGCTGCTTCTGGACCTAATTTGTCCAGAAAATGTTAATAATTCTTGGAAATGCCAGCAGGTCTTACACGGCGCATCAATTACCGTTCTATGAGTACAGAAAGGAGCATGGTAGTCTATTCTAAATATATCGGTTAATACTAGATCGGCTGGTTAGTCGCTACTTTTAATAATAGAATCAATGAAGGTCTCTTTTCCGACCGACACGCGATGACGAACATTCAGGGAAACAAGCAATGCAGCGATACATTTTTTTAATAAATTGCCCAATATCGACTCGATTATGTACACTTTTTCCTTTTACCGGTAATTCACCAGCAATACACAAAGCTGGATTTGTAAAAAAACTTAATGTTTGAAAATAAAATTAAACTATATCTTCTGGCTCTACTCGAGTACACGTGAACTTGAGAATTACTAAAGGTATGATGCAATGATTTGCAATGAAATGGAGTACTGTATTATGGCATTGAATGACTCACTTATTAAAGAGATGATTATCAACTTTTAATTTACTGTATGCCCTGAAGTCATCCGGCAGGAGCATTACCGGTATGTTTACATGGCTCAGTTCATTTATCTGCAACAAGAAGAAAAAGAAAGGAAGTCAATTTCAGGCTAAGCTGCCACCTGTACACTGGCAAACACAAACGTCTTCTCATTATATACGCATAGCAGAATATCCATAAAGAAAGCATTCATGTTCGTCAGTGTACATAGTCCCATATTAATAAGAAATAACGATTCTCCTCAATAAATTAACAGTATGGAAGGAATGATCAATACCCTCTCAAAGACTAGGGCTCATCTTCATACCTCACTTTCATTGTTAAGAAATGTATTTCGACTATTTAAAGGCTACAGATAAACGACAACTTTTACTACCACCCGAGGTATGAGAAAAGACCTAAAATACAAGAATTATGGATGACGAATAATATTCCCATAATCACATCACACTTTCGTTTTATATCTCTATCCGATTCTGATTACCCTTTGTCTTCCCTTGATACCAAGTAGCGATATGCTTACTAAATTTCATATTTAATTTCCAAACATCGCAGGTCTTGCCAGAATCATCGAGGAGTGCTTCCCGATATTCGAATCCCTCTTAGATGCCGTACCTTACTAACCGTGTTGACGACAAAGGTTATAGCAATAGCGATTCACCTCTACACATCCATGATAAACAACAAATAGAAAGACTCATTGACCTGGCAACTCTGATTTTGTGGTATGCCATCGAGTGCAAAAGTGCTCTAAGAACGTCTTTACCTGTAAAGTGGTCTAATGAGAGAAACGGAAGAAGAAAAATAAATGGCGCTACAACCCACCGTGTGATTGACACCCCACATGAAGACGCTCAGGAGGGGCTCGTTCGCGCGGAATAACTTGACCTTCTGATGCTTGACGCGAAAGTGTTTCTTCTTGAGCTTGCTCAGCCCGGCGGCGACCTGCGGGACGCTCGACATCTTAGAGTATCGTCAGCAGTACCGTCGTCCGAAGCTCGAGCGATAGTTCGTTGCCGTCAGGACGGCGAATCAATTTCGGTCGCCACTGGTTCTCCACTAGGTCCTTACTGGGTCAACTGGGTGTCCGCTCGCTGTCGGCAGGCCAAGGGTTAATGGGAGGAACCCGCGGTGCCCACGGAAGTGCGTGTGCCCGGGACGCGCACCGACCTGCACCGACCGATCAGGCAGGCGTCATCGCACACGAGACGCCTCGAGCAGTAGCGATGCGCGAATCACACAGGGCACGCAATCACCGGGCAACCGCGCGCAACCAGCGACACGGGGACTCGCGGCCTCCGAACGAACGATCGGTCGAAACACGACATACGTCGCACGGCCGACCCGGCCGACCCACTGCCACGGCATGCTCGATGGGGAAAGCGCGAAGCCCACGAAACGCGCCGGATGGAAGACACGCGCGCCGCCTCACGACACACTTTCGAATCACTAGAAATATCATGCGAAGACGTGTCACCAGATGGGGCGTCAATTTAACTGGACTTCCTCTTATGGGCCCGGTTCCACAACTCGGGTTAACCGGGGTTTAATTAGTATACAGCAGGCTTAAACCGGGAGTAAAGCAGTTAAACTTTGGTTAACTCAAGTTGTGGAACCGGGTCTCCACCGTCAGTATTTATTCAATACCGGATTGGATAAATCCGGCTTTGGATATGTCTCCACACATATGAGTTGGGAGATTACTCACGGGTTGGATAGCGCGATCGCATTCTGTGCTGCCCTCGGTGGAAAATGCGGACGGCTCGTGCACTTGCCACCTGATACCCCCCAGTGGCGATCTAATTCAGAGACAAGGAAGATATCTTAAAACGCCTAACAATGCCTCCGAATATCTCAAAACGCCAAAAACCCATATCTCCTTTGAAAAGAATCACAGCTACTCGCTCGAAATCTTAATTTGAAGAGAATATTGTTCCCTGTTGCTCTGGTGGTCTCAGTTGTGAAAAAAATTCACCGGGGACTGGGCAGTCCGAAAACCGGTTGAAAAAGTCATGGACCCCTCATAAAAGCTTCAAAACCCTGTATCTATAATATTATCGCGATCGCACGAGCCCCCACAGAGGAGTAACAGGTGGCACGTGCGTTAGCCGTCCGCATCCTCCAGCACAGGACGCGACCGCGCGATCCTTCCTGTGAACAATCTCCTAACTCATTTCTGTCGCTACTTGGGTGACGGTTTCGTATCCGCTGGGTAGTTCACATAGTTCTATCCTAAAGCCTTGTATTACACGATTACCATACAAAAATGTCGTTTATCCCACAAATATATATGTATATATATATATGGATGTGTATATTACAATAATTCATTCGAATATAACATTTGATGTTACATAACGTTAACCTTAAAAACCAATGTCGACGTATCTCCACAACGATAACTCTTGTGCTCAGTGACGTTTAGAGGTTAGTCGAGTGTCTTCCGTCGTGTTGGAATCGAAGGCATTCTAGGAAATTCAACTTTATACAAATCATCCAACTGGCTCATCGGGAGATCGATTACCAGTTTCGCAACAATTGACAACAGTCTCTCCACAGGCTCTTCGAGCTAGTACAGTCCAAAGTGACGCAGCCTGGCCCAATGAGAATCGAAAGGTCCAGGAATATTCCGTAGCTACATTCTAATGATAATGAACGATATAGTACAAATCCTACATGTTAACTCAAGTTTTTTGGGTATGCAAGACGCGAAAAGAATGCTTCACTCTCGTGGAAATCGATGTACATATTAAATCCCAGATTACTTACGGCTAATATGGAATATGCATTTCGTAGGCGTATAATTAATATGAAGATCACAGCCTTCGTAGGCGATATCGCTGAGCGTATGATACAATCGCCTGCGCAACAAACGGCCACAGGATCAGAATGGCAAACACACGTGGTGAACATTCTGGCAGTGGCCACCACTTTGGATATTTGTTTCGTGCTACTGTCTGGTCCTGAAAACAAAACAATCGGTATAACAAATACAATGTATTAACCCATTCATTGCCAGGAAAATTTAGAGGCAGTCTTGGTACATATGCTTACTACGAGATATCTCGTAGTTGGCAGTGAATGGGTTAAACTATTTGTAAGTTTCTCTCCAAACAGCATTTTTACGACATCATGCTACAATTGTTACTAAATATGACACAGTTCGGAAGAATGTCTAAATGAAAGTATAATAATTCTCATAAGTTTATAGAAGTTTAAAGAGGATCCATACTGAGACCAAAATGTCACAAAGTTTAAATGCATCAACTGCCACCATCGAATGTAAAGGTATTAAATAACAGTATATGATTAACTCACCGATTCTGGTGCAAGAGCCAGGAGAGCCTGACCTTCTAGACTCCGCACCCTGGCTGTTATCCTGTCAACATCTTTTTGAAGGTTCTGCATAGTTGTTGCAATTTGATTAAGGAACTCTTCGCTCCTTTTCTCCTCTTTTTTTCCACGTGACCGTCCTCTGTCTTGTTTCGTGTCGGCAGTGGATGTGGTTGGAAGATTTTCTTCTGCATACCCATTAGTCAACTTGGAAGAATTTTCTTTCACCACAGGGGCTTGACCATTGGATTTCTCATGGGAAGTGACAGAGTTTGTGGAATGTTGTTTATGGGTAGTGGAAGACTTCGTCATATCCTTATTTGATCGTTCCGGGGCAGACTGTGGAATGAGTGAATTTATGAAGTTTTCTTTTAATCCAATTGCACGAGGCGATGACACGTGTAATAACACTAACTTCAACGGTATCGATGAACTCTTCTTCTTCTCCGTCGGTGTCAGGTGGTAAAGGGCTCGCACTGTGGCTACTCGCTGGACTCGTTTCCAGGCTGCTTGTTATGCGCCTAGATGAATTGCACATTCTGTGGGGCGAAGTCTCTCTGGATCCTGTGCACCGATATAAATAAAATGTAACACTCTGACAGCTTTCGACAGACAAAAACACGCAACAGGAAAATATCCTAACAAAAAGTAAAAAAGTGGAGAATTACCAAAAAGCAGTCAATCAAACACCGTAGGTGTTCTGGTGTCAAATGAACGAATCTTGTTACACTTTTGATATAAATATTTTCCAACCACTATCGTATTTATTTGTATTTGAAAGTGGGACAAACCTAAGGGAGATGTATGGAGCGGAGATCCAGGTTGAGAACGCATCCTCTCCAAGACGGGTCCAACAAGGAGTTCGAGATCTTCTGCAGGTACACTTTCATAAAACGAATCCAAGCAGCCCAGAAAATCCGCCACATTATCCGTATAGGACATTGTTTCGACTATCTTGAAAGTAAAATTGCATTCGTCGTAAGACCGATAACCAACAAAGAAAAAATGTGTATCCATGATTGCCACCTGACAGCGGGGAGTTTCAAGATTTTTCTTGTTACCTTTTTCAATTCCTCGACATAGTTGTTCATGGCTTCGATTCGAGACATATTCCCAAGTCGAGTCCATGCGTCCCATTTGGCCTTTTTCATAACTTCCCAAAATGCTGGCTTTGGTTGTTGGCAAGGTCCTTCCGTTGCCTGCTTGTAGTATCCATAAAAGCGCAGTTGAAGCTCGTGACTCGGCTGAAATGCTCCTGAAATCAAAAACATTAGGTAATCAAACATCGTTAGGTATAGTTCTCAACAACTGTCATTCGGCATAATCCGGTCGCTCGCTATGGAGAATAATTTTCTCGGTATGCGGACCGTTCTATATTGGACGCTTCTTTGATAAGATAGAAGTTGACGTCATTTCATATCGCAGCTGTGCTTTCATTTTATAAGTTTAATATCACGTTAAACAAAAGTGTTGATTTTTTTAACAGTCGACAATATTGACTATTCATTATAATCTATGCAACACCGCGTCATTGATACATAATAATTTATTACAAATAACCCAAGAAAGAAGCGTGAAACAAATCTACTCAATCCAAAGGTCTTATCAAGATTGTACAAATCATTGTCAATACTTTCTCATACCGAGTATTGCGTCAAATGTTATCAAGCGTCAAACTCGATTAAGGAACGGATTTGTCTCTGAACTAAGAAACAAAGAACATAATCAATGATCTTGAACTTGTACTTTGTTCGAGTTGAAATTTTCTTCAATGAAGTTCTTTGTCTCTCTCTGCAGTTGAACTTGACTGCCGTCTAAAAAAAACCCGATAGAAAAATCTTTAAACGCGATTAATGATCCTTTTTCTTCTTTGTTATTGAATCGCTTGAATGATTTCTACGAAGAGACCTTTTTAATCCGCGTTTCATTTAACAAAACAATGTTACATAATACTTGTGCGATTTAATATACTCCCATCTGTCGTTTCCTCGGAGCAACGGAAAACTCTTTTCTTCAAGGAGAGAAAGGGATCATCGACTGGGAAATTGAATGAATCTTGAGCAAGACGACACTTGTATTTTCGCATGACCTCAATGATACTTAGATTAGGCATGAATAATGTCTTCAGCAGTGGTGGATTGAATACGTCCGAAAGGAGATCTCCCGACCTCTTTACTTTCCGTTTCACAGTAATTGCGGCTGTGAAAGTGTCAGGCTGTAGTCGAGCCTTTACTACGAAAGTAAAATTATTCACGGCGAGCCATTCGAAGAAAGTACTTCGCGAATGTCTACGATTATCAATGAATTTTCAACAAATGGAATTATAAGAAGTACCATTACCGTCTACACCATCACCAGAAGACACGTCAAAGAGTCATTATAATTGTCTATCTAATGATTCCTTGGTGTTATAAATGGAGTTCTTTGATCGATGGTTGGGGGAAAAAAAGTAAAAAAGAAAATAACTGTCTTCTCGTAAGTAATTTACATCGCAATGGCAAAATATACATCATCTCTTGACACAGGTTTGCTTTTTTATTGGAATCTCGGTACGCAAGACATTTATGACCATGGCAACTGCTGATTAGAATAATGGCACATGGATGATCTGGTCACGATCAAAAGTACAGGGTCTTCGGTTACGTGCGCTCCAACTTGGCTCGCCTTTTTTACAATCCATTTGATAATTTCGCAACGATTTGAATTTATAATAACGAATAAATGGATAACTAAATGTAAAGAATATATTTATGCTTGAATAATTGAGTGGGCAATGTTCTTAATAATAAGCTCTGCTTTTTTTATATGCAAACGAAATAGTACACGTCAACATTCTATTTTGTGAAAAGTCGGCTACCGTACTAATGCTCTAAATAAAAAACTTCAGTACAAATCCAAGTACGACTGGTCTTCAAATCAACGACTGCGTCTAAACCTGTCTCGTCGAGGATGACCAAAGTCCGGACACAAAGAAATGAATATTAACGAATGCTTCGGATATAAGATTTGCATCACGAGTGCTCGGCGAATCTCTGAAATGTAAAATATTGACTAAATGAACATAAATGCATGAATTTCAATTACGTTAAATCCATCGTCACGGCACTTTTAGCGTTAAGGTATTTCTCCATTGTTTACAAACGGAAAAGTACACATCGGCGTCCTTGTCCCATTCGCGAAAGTGCAAGTATCGCCGTCTCCTTTCTCGCTTAGGGGGGTTGCGAATGGTTGTACAGTACGACAGGAAATAAAGAGAGAGCGAGCGTTGGAGTGACGCAAAAGGTCGCAAAAAGACCCAACGCATGGCGAGAGGGGAGAAAGGAGAGGCGGTTTACCTTTACTTGGCAGATTCCTTATCACGTTCGCTGCGGCGAGGAACTTCTCCTCGGTTGTCATGATGATTGTTCCGTCGTGTCAGCCACTTGCGAGGAAATTAGGAGAAGTGAAGGTGGATGATGCAGGCGTGGCCTTAACGGCTGCGACTTGCGGAAGACCACAGAAGACACTCGGAGAAAATTCACGGAAAACTAAATCGCGAAACTCCGAAACTCCACCTTCAGCTCGCGAGCGGCGACTCGCCAGTCGCCATACGATTGCCAACGGAGCGCGCATGCGTACACGTCAATGCGGTACTAAACGCTGATTGGTCGCCACTCTCCCAGGGACGTGCATTCATTGGTAAGAGCTGATAGGATGCCGCCTCGCGATTGGCTGTCGTCTCCGGGAATACTCGATTTTGATTGGAGAATGTCGACTTGGCGCGCCGTGGTGGGAAATACAAATTGCTCGTAAATAGTTCTGCCACATTTTAAACGTGGGTACGCAAAAAAAATGTCAGTCTTATTTGTTGCTATCCGGGCTCTTTACCGGTGCCATAAGTTTGCATAAAGCAGAAATCGACGTAGATGTGTCGCGTTTATATTGTTATAAATCGTACATTGTGGTGCCGAAACATTTCACAACATGAACGAGACAACCCATCTTTTAAGTTAGCTATAGACGTTTATATTTTGGCACCTCCGTTCCGAATAATCACGAGCCGCCACTGGGTCCTGTTCAGTCATTTTTTCATCTTTGAATTAGTTATTGGTTTACTATGTAATACTACTTGTGGAATATAATTAAGGAATGATACACACTCTAGTAAAATGTCATGAAATTGCAGTGCATGCAAAATTTACTCCAGAAAGTTTGCGCAATCGCGATTCTGTCCGTGGCGCCACCTCAAATTCGCGACTTGCAATTTGCGCATTCTACATACCAAAGAATTCAGAATTCTCTATATATGTGTACACTAGTGAACATGAATGCTTCCTATTGTACATTGGCAACACCATCTCCGCAAGGGAGGCATTTATGTTCGCCAATGTACCTCCCGCTATTATCTTTAAACCTAACCTCAATTTCCACTTCCGCAACAGCCACGGAAACTTGGCTGGGTGTTATCATTTTTGTGACCGACCTGGTAAATATGACTTTTTGACTATTCCAGTGATTAGGTTACTCGATTGAAAATATCGTAACCTAAAATTGATCCAATTAATTTCACTGATTTAAATTTTATGATGCTTTAAATGAACCTTTAAGGAATAAGAATGTAACTGTAAATGTACTATCGCATGAAGTAAACCTTTTATTAAAGTGCAGTTGTCACAGTTTGATATGCTATTTGAAATTCAAAGATTAGTTTATTTAAACAACATGTTGGTTTAATGTTTGGTAAATTGTGTTTTAACAGCTGAAAAATGCTTTCTCGTGGTCGTGGATGGACAAGGCACGAAGATCACGAGACTGTGCTTCGTAGACCAGGAAAAACCGTCTCACAGGATACAGAATTTAGCAGTCTTGTCAATGAAATCTACAAGCTTGGTTTAAGCAGTTCACCCTCTGTAGAGGAGGTTAATGAAATCGCAAAATTGATTACCAGCATAGCAGACAATAATAAACTACAGTATAATGGACTTTTCTTCATTCTTTCATTTAAATATTTAATTCTAATGAAAGTGCTTCTATCTTCTATAAGTGATGTTTTTTCAGGCAACTTATCGAGCAGTTGTACAAGCAAGCTCTAGAGGATCGAGACTTTGGAATAAAACTGGCAATAGTCTTAAGTGATAAATATATTTGTTGTATTTCCAACACTGATACTATGTTACGTTCCTTATTATTGACTGCAATGCAGTCTGATTTCAATCGTAAGGAATTTGTAATCTTAAATACAATGTTTTTCTTATTGTATATAATCACATTGCCTTGCAATTTGTCTTCAGGAAAGGAAGAATTAAGGGAGCAAAATAAACAACAATTTCTTAATGCTGTATCATTTCTGGGAGAAATATATTATCGATTTCGCCTTTGTGGGACACCAGTGAAAGTACTTGCAATTCCTCTATTGAATTATATGAAGATGTTACTTGAAACTGCTTCGGAAGAAGATATTGAGCTTGCCACGACTCAGGTAGCAATATATCATTTTTATTTTAATTTATTTATTTCTTCATTTTCAATAATTTTTTCAGGCTTCGATTAATGGCAGAAAAATTTATGAAAAAAATCAAGTTGAACTGGAACAATTCCTTATCAATGTTCGAACAGTTCTCATAACTCGTAATCTTAGTGCACGGTCTAGAGGCATGCTACTTTTCATTCTTGACTTAGCCAATCAGCGCTACTGTCCGCTTTCTGGTGATCTGCAAGACTTTTATGTAGAACAGCTTGGCACAAAAGTCTTGATACAGATTCAGCGACATGATGAGGATCTCACAATAAATACAAAATCTAAGGATCGTAATGTTAAAGGTAATGATTAAGGTTATTGAATTTCCCTATTTGTACTACCAATAATAACTAATTTTTGTGTGTTATTTCAATTTTCATTGATTTTTGTATTAATTATCGATACATATAATTTATTATGTTATTATGAAGTATAGAATTTGTATAAAAAGTCATTCAATGTTTTTCTGACATTGAACTTGTGATAAATATAAGCACCTCAAAACTGTTACTCTCTTTTTTTCTTTCAAATGAAAATCCCTGAATTTTCCTCTGTAAACTTTCTTTTCAACGTTGTTTTGTTAACAATGTTTAAATTATTTTATGTTTTTTTAAGATACACAATACTTTTCATTAATTATGAACCAATTGAATATCATTTTTTCTATTGTACTGGAAAGAAGCAAACGAAGGAATTAGTGGTCAAGTAATATTCTAAAATAAATAATGAATATTTGTGGTATTCGATTAGAGTATTAATAAGTTTTGTGCATTTATAAAATGCACATTTTTTCAGTTGCACCATTAAAACAAATACACGCAGTATAAGGTTGTTAATTGGATAATGTGATTTATTTATTTCAGATTCAGGAATTAATTCAGAACAAGGAAGTGAAAAGAAGAAATCTGAGAAGTCCAAACCAGAAACGAATTCAACAAACAACACTATTGGAATTCTTATGAGAGCTCCAAAGAATAAAGGAAATACCCAAGTTGAATCAAAAACCATTTGCAGTGAACAATCGACTACTGTCGATGATCAGAAAAATACTTATACAGATCAAAAAGGTGTTCACGGGGATCACCGAAATTTTCAAGCTAATGCTTGTATGAAAAACTTCTCCGGTGCAAGTGCTCCAGTGCCCAGAGCCATTCGTGGTTCTGGGGTAGCAGATAGTGGCAAGGAACATAAAAATGATAAAAAATCCCCTAGAGGAAAGAAAGATAAGTTGACAGATGAACAAGTTTGGTCATCGAAACAGGTTACCAATAGCAAAGTGTGGGGTCATGATGACCGCTTTGAAAAAGATTACAATTGAAAAAAATATTATATTGATAAAAGCTACTTCTAGATGCGAATTAGATGTATCACATACCTAAATTCCATTGACTAAATTTGAAGGGCAATCATGTTTAAAAGAATTAAGTTTAACGACGTAGCAATCCTGCTTCTTATGATACATTGAATTCTACTGACATCTAAAGGAGGTCAAATAAGGCGCTTGTATTATTCTCTGTGAATAAGTTAAGTAAATTTTTTATTTATGGTGCCAATGGAGAGCCATATGAAATTGTACTATATACACTTATAAGGATATATTTATTAAATTGCGTTATAGCTAATTATAAGTATGATTAATAATTTAATTTAATAACTCGCATTAATAGGCCAAATTATTTTTATTCTTTACCAGTATATAGATACCGTTATTAATTAATCAATTACGTAGATATGTAAAATTATAAAGACTTTGTATTAATAGTAATCCAATATAGGTAAGAACCTCATTTTAATATAAATATATCATACATTAATTAAAATTGTTCGACTTGTATGTACGAGAGATTAATTTCTGACTTTATACTGATATAATACATTTTCATCACAGTATTTATGGTTGAGACTGTGTAACATTAAAAATAAAAAAGAAGATCGAGAGGATTGAGAGTAAAGAGGTAACCAAAGAGAGTACATTTCGTCACGAGTTCTATTCATCAATCTCTTTTCGGAATAAATGCACGGATTTTTTCCAAAACTTTATCATGGAGATGTTCGGTCTGACATTTTTGGGATATGGAGATTACATTAAGGAATGTGTAAGGGAAGGTAATAATCATGAGATTAAGTTAAGATTTCTTTTACTTTATTAGTATGGGTTAGTAAATTATATGCATAGAATTATACCATAATAATAGATTAGCATAAATAAGAATAGTATACATATGTGCACTAAGAATTTTGCTTAGATTATAAAGAACCAAGGAAGCTTCCGTGTATGATGGTCATTTTGGAAAATCGGGTACGAAAAAATCCAGGAAAAACTTTCTGCGAATTGTACAATACCCTAGACTCGATTGTTGGTACTGCTGACGGATTTTCATACGGCAGTCACGAACGTTTGCGGTTACAGAGAAAGAAAGGTTTATTAAAACTCGTTGGACCAACAGACATGTATCGGCTTTCGGTAACGCGTGCACAAGATATTGGTTTCTGGACAAAGGATTCTCTTTTGAAATCGGCAGAATGGACAAAATCATCTCGTCGTTTTGGGAATCGGTCCAGTGACGTAACGAAGTATGCCTAATTACGTAGACAAGTAATGGCTCTTAATAGATCGTATAATTAAAATGGCATTTCAATTTAAAACATTCATAAAATGTATGATAAACAATTATCTTCAAGGCGATTAAAAAAATAAGAGCGAGCGATCCCTTTGCTATTATTTAAACCAAAGCAAATGGAAAGTATTTTATAGTTTCAAAATGTCGCGCTGTGTCTTTCGATTTATCGAGTTGTCGGCGAATCGAAATAATCGAAATTGGTAAATCGAGATAAGGATTCAAAAACTGCAACGTCTCAATTTTAGCCAAAGACAACTACCCGATTACAACATTGAATACCAAGTGAATCATTTCGTCTTGTATAGAAATACAGAATATACGCTTTGTTACGTTAGTAAGCATCGATTATGTAATTTCAAATGATCGCGGATTGATCTCGCTGCCAGATACCCGACCTATCGAGTTAAAACTATCGAGATGACAAGATGGCGGAAAATTGGGGAGTATTGACAGAGATTCAAAAACTGCGTCGGCTCCAAGTTCAGCGAGGAAACTGGCTGGCCACATCGCGGAAAATCGATCGACCTAATTCATTTTGAACGGAATTAAGGTAAGACATATTAGGCCGCACCTTGCCACGCAACTAAAGCGTCGCAACGTCATTATTGAAGCTTTAATCGAGCCCAAACTTCCAAGCTCCTCGAAAGGAACGGATACATCGTATGTAATTGTATTTCCCGAAATTTTCTAAGATTCTTGACGGGTGAAAAATTCCAGTGTCTTATGCGACACCACGAAAGAAGGCAATCTTTTTCAACTGATGAAACTTTGAGGTTAAGACTTAGTGACATCAAAATCCGCAGGACGTGCATGTTTTCTTTTTACGTTCTGATTATTTGATACTTCACTTTTAAATTATATTCAATTAACGTAAGAAAAGTTGTTATACTGATCGAAACTATGTAGTTTATGATTACTACATTTGAAAGGAAGTATTTGTTTCTACTGATGTGTATATGATTTAAAAATAAAAAGAAATGAAAATAAGTAATTAATACGCTATTGCTGAAATAAGCACAATATAACAGTATGCATTGTTTGCAGCATAACGCCAAGTCTGTCATCACTGTGGCAGGAGAAGGCTTTTGGTATCTTCACAGGGCACAGTTAGTTTTCTCAATGAGAGCCGATCTGTCATGTCTTACACTGAACTGGAACATGGCTACCAGGTAAATTTATAATTTTTAAATCAGTTTTTATTATTTGTATTAAAGTAATTTTCTACTTAAAATGAAATAAAATATTGTCATTTATTAAATAATTTGTCTTACGATCTTTGATATCTGAATCAGCAAGTATTGCAATTCAACGAATTGATATAACATGTTTTCTAGGGTCTTAAGAATGCAAGCCGACCGATCTTCTACGTAGGAGACATCAACGCAGGACAACCAACTCTTGTAGGTTCCGTTGGTTCTTCAATCTACCGTTCATCTAAACGAGTGAGTTGGTTTCTCTTTTAAATTTTGCTACTACTAACCTCTGTTATTGATGTCCTTTAAATTAATACTTAATTAAATATTCTGTTATTTTATGAATCACTTCACAAATTTATAACCACATTTTATACCCTGTCATCACATTATTGAAAGTTGCCAAGGCAATGGTTGCTTAGCACCAATGATTGTTACTAGATCGTATTCCTCTGTTGCATTATGTAATTTAGTTACCTTGAATATAAACACGGTTTTTAAGTAAAATGTTGATCTCTGACTAAGAATTAGAATTTAAATATTAAACGTTTTTAATATGACCATTTTTCTGAGAAAGGAATTAAAAATTTACTGACAACACTTCTACGTATAAGGAATTCACTCCCAGTGATTGTAGTATATTTATAATATCTTTCTGTCAGTTATTAGTACTGTCGTCCTTTCTTAACGATAACAACTTAGGACTTGATTTCTCTCAGTCTTAATAGTAAACCACCTCGACCAATTGAAGAGCCGGAGTAGAACTAACTCGCGTCCAGTTGGCAAATTAAGGGTCGTTGCCACATACCTCTAAATATATCCCTTCTGAAAAAAAGCCCCGGACATCTGATGTCAAGTGAGGCCTGCCTCAGTTCCTCGAGCCAGCTCAGTTCCCAGTATACTTTAAAACTTTAAAATATCAAGGTGAAATAATCAGTGACAGTAATAGAAAATTATTAAAAATATATTCAGTTTATAGTGAAGTTTGGTGAGGAAGTTTTCAATAAAAGAACTATCGTTTTTCTCACAAAGGTGACACGTGTTAATCATTGAAATGCTTAAAAAGTTTTCTTAAGATAACGAAGTAGTGAAACCCTGTGAACTTATATCGAAGATATTGTGTCACTGGGAATTTAATATACTAAATATAGGAATATTATACAAAAGCTAACAAATTGATGTTTTGACTATTCCGATGGCATGCATTGCACTCGAATACGTTCGATAAAAAGTGCTCAATGAAGAATACTTTTTCAGTATGAAGTGATAGTTTGTAAATAATTAATATTAAAGTGCAAATATTTAAGGGACCTAATATGAATTAAAGCTGCAAATTGAAAAACATCAACCAGTGTCGAAGAGATGGATCAAATCAATTCTCTGACAGAATCCGAGGCCTGCTTGACAACGATTCCTGATGTTTACATCGTTGACTGTGACAATGAAGCAGAACCGTACTGGCAGATGATGGTAGTTTATTTATTACTTTATAAATCCAATATAAATATATTTTGATTTTACTTTTCATGATTACAGGATAATAAGAGTTTGTGAGACTTTATAGCTCTAACATCTAAGAAATGAGAAGCAATAATGTTTACTTATGTTGTTTGAGTCTTGAGATTGATAATTAAATTTAAATTTAGATAGATGTATCGAAAATATGGAATTTTTGTTATCAATTGTGAACTGCGACAATCGAGCTCGACCATGTTGACAATTGATTATAGTCGTTTGTTATCGATTTTAAATAATCAATAAGAATTTGTACTGGCCCAGCTATTATTGGGCTTTTTCAATCAAGGACGAATCAGATTAACCTTGAGCTTGGACATGAAAGGGTCTCATAGTCGCAGCAATCATTATTTAATAATGAAGACTAATTGATACTCTGCATCACAGATTGATGTGATTTTATACGACTCTCTAGTAGTGGATTTAAAACATTCAAATTCAAGTCGTATTGCTGATCGGAAGCTGTTCTATAAAAAGTTAATTAAATCTATATTCAATGATTTCATAGCGATTACGTCCTTCTCTTACAAACATGCTCAGGCGATATCTGTAATCAGTTACATACTAACAGATGACTTGTGATAAGCGTAAAAGAATCTGAAGTAACTTTGTCGCCCGACAGATAAGAGCATTGTCATACATTTGTGACCTTCGTTTACCGATACTTACAAGTAATAACGAAACGGATTTGCGATATGAAAGCGACGATCCGAATTACCTTTAACTCGGCCTCTTAGAAATGAATAATTCTATCATGAGCTAGCATTAATATTCATTCGTTGACTCTGTGCTACATTCTGTGAGTCGCGTGTGACGCAACCTTGGTAACTCATTTATCGAGTTCGTAGTTCGTTTTAGGCCATTTGGGAGTTATCGATAAATAGTCATTCGGACTCGCAAAAAGAGACAGACTGATGGTTAACCGATAAGTAGAGGACCACGTGCCAGAGTTCAACACTGGTGCCTCGCGTTCGCCGTCGAGGATTACTTAAACTCAGTGCTAATTAATCCGGTCGAAGAGCGACAACGGTACGTTCCTCTCCGAAGATGTTTGACAATTACGAGGATATCTTTCCTTACTTGTACTTCAGCCCTTGTCGAACGACTTTGATGGTGGGTGGGTTTTCGACGTTTATATTACGCATTTATGTATGATTCGCGTGTAAGTCTTTTTTCGGTATCAATGTACGCACTGTTAAAAATATTTCGATATTTCGAACACATTCACAAAGGTATCCAAATTTTCGTGTGTGTCTTGTGACAGTAGTGCACCTGTTATGTACCTTCGTACACAATCGCCATTAAATTCTCTCAGGTGTAATCTAATGTTAGTATAGGAATGATTTCGAAATTTGTATACTCGTAAAACGAAATCCGGAATAGAATTGTATACGGACATTTCGAAATATCGTATCCTGAAATAATGTCGACTTCATGTATACTATGGATATTAAGGATAAAGTAATGGATATTATTAACAGTGGATGTAGCGATATCTCCCGTTAAATGGTAATAGAGGAAAAGCATCGACTGGAATTCATCGAATCTCGACGGAACGTACCGCCTTATCCAGTGATATATATTTCAAGATTAATGATTGCCCTATTACTCCCGGAATGACTGTTTTACTCGCGTTTATTACTACTGACTCAGTTGCATCCGACAAGTGCGGCGGTGCAGTTGGCTTAGGCGATAGCTGTAGCAGGTGTTAACTTTGGCTGAATCGCCAATTAGTTGTCCATCGATGCTCGACAGGGACGCACTGGAGGCACCTCTTAGGACTCCGTATCTAATCGGTCTCTTAGAATATTTTGTCATTTCGCGTGACACGATGTTAAGTGAAAACCGATAACTCCATTAACGTCCCTCGAAGATGTGATTGTACGGAAATGCGGAAACAAGGCGGTACATACTTCTAATCGACTCGAATTCATGGAAGGACATTCTATGACGTCGGTGGAAAAAAATAGCGTTATCCTTAATTGAAAAATGTATAAATGAGAATATCAAGCAATGACGCGTTAAAATATAAGTGCACTTGTATCCGTGAGTTTTGCAGCCGTTATGCTCAGTCTTCGTTGTTGCATAATCGTAAACATTTGCTACCCTCGCGGGTGATAGTGGTGCGTATAATCTCGAACCAGTTTAAGTGATAAAAGTTCGTAAGTTGTAAGTGCAAGTAAGGACACATTCAGTTGCCATAAGTGCGTGTCGTATTTGTAAGGTCGGATTAACGAGCTTTGTTAACTAAAACGAGAACTAAGGCGGAGAATAATTTATATTCCTCATAGATATACGAGACCGAGGAATGGAAACTGGCTCGAGGCCTTGATCATGAAATGCTAATGGAAACGCAGATCTGAATTACGCCAAGAGCGGAATGGTGCACCACACAGACAGTAACGCGTTCATTATCGTTGCATAATGCAAGCCATCTGCCGGGTTTAGAAAAAATTATATGTACTTGTTCCAAGAGGCGAGAAAAGAAACCAACGTACTTAATGGCTCGAGTGCCTTTGTAGTTAATTAAACAGCAAATAAGGTCGAGCGTTGACATTGGCGAATACGCGAGGATGCGGAAAAGACTCGTCTCGTAAATTACTAGAAAATAATGATTTCGCTTTTGCTGGTTTTCGCAACCTAAAAGTAAGAAAGAAAAAAAATGTGTAACCGTGCCGAGCGAGGGATAAATTACTCGATGACATAATTTACTAAGAGCATCCAAGGCCGAAGGAATTTATTAAGATCAATGGAAAGCTTTAACTCTGAAAATTCTAGCGGAAGTTTAATTCCTACCGACCGTAAACCGCGGGTGGAAGGCTGAGTCGTTCATAAAGCCATTGCATAATGGAAAACATTTGCTGGAATCGTAGAACGTGACACGCTCTCCGCCGTTCCTCGGTGCAATTGAAGGATACGTGCGTTCGTACACGAGGAATTGCTCTCCACGATGCCCTAGTCCGTTTTTTATTTTTTGACGTGGTATGCCTTTTACGGGGATATCTCATGGGCAAATCCCAGCGGCGTGACAAGAGTCTATTACGCGTACTCGCTAATTGTCGCTCACCTAATTGCACGAACAGAAACGAAATATACGTCGTTCGAAAGAAATAGTCTATATCGTAAAGATGAAATGTGTGAGAAATTTTGAAAATCGACTAAATGGCATCATCTCAAGCTTGACATTGATTTTCTAGCCAGTTGGCATCGTCATTTTCCTTGTTACATCCCGATACAACAAAAGTATTCGAAAATTATGCCTTGAAAAACTTCAACCCGTCGAGCGAAATATGATTTCGAAGGACGTATTCTATCCGAGATTTGCGGCAGAGGTGAAAGTTTGAACTTTTTTTTATTACTTTCGAGCTCGTCGGCACGAGGCATTAATTCGGGAAATTCTTTCTCAAGCTTGACATTGATTTTCTAGCCACTTGGCATCGTCATTTTCCTTGTTACATCGCGATACAACAAAAGTATTCCAAAATTATGCCTTGAAAAACTTCAACCCGTCGAGCGAAATATGATTTCGAAGGACGTATTCTATCCGGGATTTGCGGGAGAGGTGAAAGTTTGAACTTTTTTTTATTACTTTCGAGCTCGTCGGCGCGAGGCATTAATTCGGGAAATTCTTTCTCAAGCTTGACATTGATTTTCTAGCCAGTTGGCATCGTCATTTTCCTTGTTACATCGCGATACAACAAAGGTATTCCAAAATTATGCCTTGAAAAACTTCAACCCGTCGAGCGAAATATGATTTCGAAGGACGTATTCAATCCGAGATTTGCGGCAGAGGTGAAAGTTTGAACTTTTTTTTATTACTTTCGAGCTCGTCGGCACGAGGCATTAATTCGGGAAATTCTTGACCCACTTGTTGACAGAATTAGGCGCTCTTGTTGACTGGGTTCGAGTCCACCGTCACGGGATTGGATTACCCAAATTTTGTGTTAGGTCTCGTAAGCTCGTCGAGCGTGTCACAGGAAGTGGCCCGCGGAGTGTCTCCCTGTGGTTTGGGTAAACAGCTGATGAGCTTTTCGCGCGAGACGCACTCCGAGAGCCAGTCGCTTCCACGCACTCGCCGGGGCACGATAGATAAACTCGCGCTCGAGTTCCCGATTCCGAGGTTCACCTAAAACTCTCCGTTTTAACGCGATAGGGCAAGATTCTCGCAGCCGGAGATACGGAAATAAAGAGGGAACAATAAGGCGTATAAATTGTACCGACAACGAGCACCGGACGACGACCTGTCGTTGATAAAAATTGATAAACGATCTTGAACACAGGACCCCGGGTAGAGTCTTATCGCGGTTTTTTTCTTGCTGAAACGAACCCCGGGATAATCATTTTTCCCGCTGTAGAAGCCTTTTTCGTGATAAGAGGTTGACAGGTAATCAGGAGCGATCGGGGATCTCGTTGGTGAGAAATTAAAGAGAAGAATGTACTTTGGATTAAATAGAGGGATAGAGGGTGCACTGGAGGAGGGATACCTCCTTGTGGAGGAAACTCCGGAACTAAGAAACCTGGACTGCTAGAGGAGGGGCTATGAAAAGGTGAAATTAATTTCGGAAATGGTGGAGTGAACCTCGGTGCCGATGGAGTGGACCTGGTGGAAGGACTGGTGGAGGCTGAAGAAGTGGAGGAACCGGAACTCTGGAAAGGACTCGACGATGTGCTCGGAAAACGGCGACCCCGAAGACCTGGAGGATTGCTGTTTCTGCGACGATTGCCTCGTACGTTGCCAAACGATGCGCGATGTGCGGCTCCTCTCCTCCCCGGATTTGCGCAAATTGTTATCGACCGTTTATCGCGTTAAAAAACGCAGGCTCTATGTTATCGCGATTTTTTCCTTTTTTTTTTTTTTTCCCCCCATCGCTGGCAGTAACCGTTCACCTTGCGAATAATCCAACAATAACAGAATGTTGCGTTTCTGGCGTGATGAATTGTCTTACCAGCCAGCAACCACTGAATTGCTTAAGTGTGAGTCGTATAAGGAGATTTTGACAGGCGAAATTTACCGCGATAGTTCTTGGCACGAATAAGCCCACGTGGCTCTTCATTCACTCGTCCTGCGAAGTACCACTTTGGTCCTCGTCGAAGAACTTGACCTTATGCTGGACCACCTCCTAAATCCGTTGTCTCTTCGTTGTCTCCCAACGGATTTAGCCGCGCTAATTTGGGACCGCTTCAACGAATTCATTAATTCCTCCCACCTTGACGCCTCTGTCATTGGTCGCAATAAATTGTGCAGATGGTTTCTACAATTACGAACGTTCTCGTAACGTTTTGCGAATTTGCGGTCTAGACTGCGTTCTACCGTGAACTTGATTGTGTGGTTATACTTGTCGAAGGGGTTGTAAAAATATTTTTCAATTGCAGGGCGAGCTGTCGGACGGGTGCATCAGCGAGGATGGGTGCATGGGTGGATCGGAGCTGGAGGGCGAAGGGAAGCAGGTTCTGGTGGGTATATGCGCTATGGCCAAGAAATCTCAGAGTAAACCGATGAAGGAAATCCTAACCCGCCTCGAGGAGTTCGAATACATCAAGATCATTGTCTTCCCTGAAGAAGTCATTTTAAAGGTAAGCCACTTTGCCAGTGTCGATAAATATTTTCGGATTTAACAATATATTCCTATTCTCATCTTCGGATGTTTGTCATCTTCTATTTTTGACTGCGGTCTGTTGTGTTCATTGTGCTTTGTTATAAGAAATTCCGAGTAGAGATAATGACATTTAGTATTATAGTCTTTCTTTAAGACGTTACTTAGTAGTATACAATTTTATTTTTACAGGAACCCGTCGAGGACTGGCCTATAGTCGACTGCTTGATAAGCTTTCATAGTAAAGGATTCCCCCTCGACAAAGCTATTAGTTATGCTAACCTTCGTAGCCCATTTATTATTAATAATCTACCGATGCAGTATGACATTCAGGTGAGGCAAATGGAAAGGAATGGAGGAGAAATGATAGATTTTGTTTAGTTCCATCCCCGAGTGATGTATTGATTTTATTATTATCGTTGAGGTTTCAGTCATTTCTGTGTCTTATTCTGTACGGTAACTAGATTATGGAGCATGGTAGCTTTATCTAGGAAATTAAGTCGGTCAGTATTCGTGAAAGAATCAACGCTAACAATAATAGAATTTTGCATTATGCTAAGCAGGATCGAAGGAGGGTATATGCAATCCTGGATGGAGAAGGAATCGAGATCCCTCGCTATGCAGTCCTCGATAGGGATTCAGCAGATCCAAAACGTAAGCCACTTTTTATTATTATTCCTTTCTGACCGATCCCACTAATGTTTGCAGTGCTCCGTAAGGCCCAGACTTCTTACTCTTCGATGACCATTCGCTGTTCTTCGATGAACTTGAACAGTGCTTTTCGATGCTTGTCGATGCTTATCGATACATAATACTGTGTCATTCCTCAAGTGCTAAACTCTTCGAGTCTCTTTAATTCTAACATGTTGCATTGTCCTGTGTTGAATGTTCAATTTTTTGACATGCGAAGAACAAAGGATCTATTTCAGATCATGAGTTAGTAGAGTCCGAAGACCACGTAGAAGTTAACGGAGTGACGTTCAATAAACCCTTCGTCGAGAAGCCAGTCTCTGCCGAAGATCACAACATTTATATCTACTACCCTACCTCCGCTGGCGGTGGTAGCCAAAGGCTGTTTAGAAAGGTAAGAGACTCATTAAATTAATAATTAAAGTATAGGTGGTCTACACGAGTGTTTTGAATCTAACAAAGAATATTCATTTAACAGATAGGCAGCCGAAGTAGTGTATATTCTCCGGAGTCTCGGGTTCGGAAGACTGGTTCTTACATTTACGAAGACTTCATGCCCACCGATGGCACCGACGTCAAGGTGTACACGGTTGGGCCAGACTATGCCCATGCAGAAGCCAGGAAGAGTCCTGCTCTCGATGGCAAAGTTGAAAGGGACTCCGAAGGGAAAGAGATCCGCTATCCAGTTATACTCAGCAATGCGGAGAAACTTATTAGTAGAAAGGTCTGTTTGGCTTTCAAACAGACAGTCTGCGGATTCGACTTACTGCGGTAAGAATTGCAATATTCTGGAATATTAAAATCACGCATATCTTTAAACATTGCGCTGTGACTACTGGAAGTTATTCTGTATGCAGTAGTCATGGTGCAAAGTACAGAATCGGAAGGATTATTCCGTGACATTGATTTGAAACTCTTTTACGTCTTCTCTCAGATTAAGTAAGGTTCTCTCTTGTTTCCTCTCTCTCGAATTACGTCGCGAATAAGGAGTGTGAGTAATTATTTAACTCACCATCGTAGAGTACTCATTCCAATGATAGTATCAGTGTTACCTTAGAAGGACTATCACGTTACAGTGACTGCGAAGAATACTCCGAAGCACCGGGGCTCTATGAGACTTCCAGAAGAAGTCGACACAGTGCCTTCGGAGTGTTTTGTGCTGTTCCAGACGAAGTGCTCGCCACTGTATTTATTTATCAAACGATACGTTTTAATTAAAGATTTTGTTTTTCTTTGTCTTTCACAGTGCTAACGGCAAGTCGTTTGTCTGCGACGTCAATGGATTCAGCTTTGTGAAGAATTCCAATAAGTACTATGACGATTGTGCTAAAATCCTAGGGAATATGATATTAAGGGAGCTGGCTCCCACATTACACATTCCCTGGAGCGTACCATTCCAGTTGGATGACCCACCAATTGTACCTACAACATTTGGCAAAATGTAAGTAACCTCTTCGCTGATCCTCCGATGATGTTCAATAATCGATTACCTGCAGTCTACTGATATCTATAATTTGATATTTCTATTAAAACTGTATATGAAGTAATGTAATTAATTCGGTTCTTGCTGGGAAATTATTTACAAATAGGATGGAACTACGTTGTGTCGTGGCAGTAATCAGACATGGTGATCGGACTCCGAAACAGAAGATGAAGGTTGAAGTGCGACATCCCAAGTACGTTTCGCCGTAGTATTTATTTTATTGTATCTTCTACGTAAATTGAAAATCCACCAGATTAATCAATCAAAAGGTCTCAAGGATGGGATAATAAAAACAGATTACACGTGAAGGAATCGCCCGAAATAGATGAATGCTTTTGTTACGTACCAGATTCTTATTGAGATTTTTCCGTGAAATAGGTTCTTCGAAATATTCGCAAAATACGATGGTTACAAGCATGGACATGTCAAGCTGAAGAGACCCAAACAGCTGCAAGAAATCTTGGATACAGCCCGAAGCCTACTCACGGAAATACAACATCGAGCTGCTGGTCCGGAACTTGAAGAGAAGCAAGGCAAATTAGAGCAACTGAAGAGCGTTCTAGAAATGTTAGGATCATATCAGTTTATGCTAAATTAATTGGTATATCTAGTAGTACTAACGGATAGTAATTCTTTTTAGGTACGGACACTTTTCTGGAATTAATCGCAAGGTGCAAATGAAATATCAACCGCGAGGTAGACCGAGAGGAAGTTCCTCCGACGATGGTAACACCTATAGTATGCTTTATTTTTTTATTCCACTGTCTTGATCCTATTACTTAAAAATACTCTAATGGCAGAGTTTGCTCTACGATCGACGAACCGAAAGCTAAGTGAAATATATTTAACTACGGTAGCAATTGTGTATATATCACTTTTAACTTTGACGCTGAAGCCAAATCATCATCAATTCTGCTGGATTCATAATATTGCACATAATTACATGCATGAATATGTTTATTAATAGAATTTCGTACGTACAGAACGGTGAATAATTTTTTCCGTAAATAACTGAATGATTAACTTTAATGCAAATGTATTCAGCCTCCGTTACAATAATATTAAGTCAATTGAAATTACACCTTTGAATATTTCAGTTATGCATTTTCGGTGTGTTGATTATGTAGAACTGGCAACGCGTTACTGATTCTCTTCGTATATGTACTTAAAATTTGGATAAGAAATTAACAAGATAATTGTTTATTTTGGTGTTACTATAATTTAAACGTTTTGTTTTCATCTTAACTAAGAAAGAAAATCAGTCTCGCAGGGTATTTCTCAGACTTTTGCATTGATCGATGAAGTTTGATATCGGATTAAAATAATTTCAGATCGTCTTGGAGAGCCTTCCCTGGTCTTGATTTTAAAATGGGGTGGAGAATTAACTCCAGCCGGTAGAATCCAAGCCGAAGAATTGGGCAGAATATTTCGCTGCATGTACCCTGGTGGTCAAGGTAGACACCTTAGTGGTTCGTATCTTACGCTCTTATGCTTGTTTTGCTTGCTAATAAGTTGATTTTGCCAAGAGCATCAGTTCGACTCTTAATTTGATTCCTTTCGAGGAAGTGCACATTTTAGGTCGACTTCGAGTCTCCCGTCGAGATCAGCCTCAAGAAACGTTCGACTTATGGCAATATACGAACCACAGAATGGCGCAGATAACGCTTCTCGACTGAAACAGGAATTGAGAGATCTTGTAGAGAATTGCTAACTGTTCGATAGGAAATGATAGAATCCTAATGCTACTTTTTTCCTGTATTTTTTCATCGACTTCCGTGCACGACTCTATTAATTGCATTCGAAGTTTCCAATAACTCCTTCGTAACGTCACATTTTTATGAATATTTGTCAGAGGACACGAAACTGATGTACGGTGTACATACCTTCTGCAACATCTTTGATCATTTTTATTTTTGCAATTGTATTGTTGGTTTAATACTTCTACACTACACTGTATAAAAGGAATTGTGTAGTTTTCGTTGTAGAGCCCTTAAAGAAAAACAGTATGTGCTAACGTTAAATCGCTTTTAAAGTATGTGACAGAGATGCATCTATTATATACATATTTTTTTTTTCTTTTCACTCGAACGATTTCCATAAAAGTGTGATTTATGGTTAATTACTAATGTTATTTCAGAGGAAGACTCGGAGATGTTACCAAGCCACGGTAACTTTCCAATTTCCAGTTTTTTGCTTCCTGGTAGATTGATGTAGGTCACCTCGATGTGTGTTTAGAGAAATCATCTTTCTTAAACCACAAATCTACTGGTAGAATAATTTTAACGCCTTTTAACCACGAATCGCAAGGTCGACTTTGACAAGTCTATTATTTTCGTGAATACAATAGAATTATTTTACAAACTTTTCGATAAACTTGCGATTCGGGTATATTTTTTTGTTAATAAATGTACATAGCGTAGTTTTCTGCACGATATGATGATTTCAGTTTCAAATTTCACCGCTAGTTGCTTGTAGTTGAAAAACAATTCAATATCATTTTCACATCGAACCGCTTATTAAGTACGAATTACAACCATTCTAGGATTCATCATTTATCACCATTCCGATTCGTACATCCCATAGAGAAGATATCATAAATTCTCACTCCGTGATTACTATTTATGAAAGCGAATATAAATGTATACTATGATTACACATGGGTCCCGTCTTTAAACTTTCAGCTAAAAAATTCCTGGCGTAGCATTATATCATTGAAAAGATTGTCCTGAAAGTTCATAGAATCTTTTTAATTATAAATTCTGTTTGTTGTTTTGACAATTGCAAACCTGTTGAATATAAATATACGATATTAGCAGAACTTCTTTAAAAATGTAATATTATTACGCAGGTGACTACGCTGGTGCTCAAGGCCTTGGGCTGCTTCGGTTGCATTCTACCTTTCGACATGATCTGAAAATTTATGCCAGCGATGAAGGAAGAGTTCAAATGACTGCGGCAGCTTTTGCCAAAGGTTTATTGGCTCTTGAAGGAGAACTAACGCCTATCTTGGTGCAAATGGTGAAGAGTGCGAACACCAATGGCCTGCTGGACAATGACTGCGATAGCAGTAAATACCAAAACATGTGAGTGCATTGTACACAACATTTGTAAAGAGATGTTACATTTTATAAACAATTGTAGTGCCTTAGTCCAAAGAAACAATTTTTCATAGATACCTTTATAGTATTAGTTACCCTGCAGGGATGTCAATGGTATTCAACATCGTTGTAGGGTAAAGACGCGACTTCACGAATTGCTACAACAAGATCGTGAATTTACACGGGAAGATCGCGAACAGATTAATCCTGGGAATGCCTTAAGCATCAATGCGGCTCTTGATTTTGTCAAGAATCCTGTAAGATGTTGCCAACACGTCCATTTACTCATCCAGAAACTAATGGATATTGTCCGATTAAAGAAAGATGACCCGAAGACCAAAGGTGGGCATACAATCATTGGATTACATTTTATTAGTTTACGGGCTAATGTCAGATGTATATTTTAAATTGATTTGTAGATGCTATACTGTATCACGGAGAAACTTGGGAATTAATGGGTCGTCGATGGGGGAAGATAGAGAAGGACTTTTGCACGAAACACAAACGCTTCGATATTTCGAAGATCCCTGACATCTATGATTGCATAAAATATGATTTGCAGCATAACAATCACACGCTGCAATTCGATCATGCCGAGGAACTGTACATTTATGCAAAGTACCTCGCCGACATAGTGATTCCCCAGGTAATTATTTGTGTGGATTCTCAGCAGAAATATGTGTTAGGTCATGACGTTTAAATTGCTCTTAATAACTCCATAATTGATAATCAATTTTCTTTCAGGAGTACGGACTGACAGTACAAGAGAAATTAACCATCGGTCAAGGTATCTGTACTCCGCTGTTGAAAAAAATCAGAGCCGATCTTCAAAGGAACATCGAAGAGTTTGGAGAAGAAACTGTAAACAGGCTTAATCCAAGGTATTGAATGTTTCTTAGCGTATCATATTAATTTAGTCTCTCGGTACCAATGTTATTACTTTTATTAACTTCTAACAAATGATTTTAGGTATTCGCACGGAGTGTCGAGTCCTGGTCGACATGTGAGGACTAGATTATACTTCACCAGTGAGAGTCATGTTCACTCTTTGCTCACTGTACTGCGTTATGGTGGCCTTCTCGATGTAAGACTTATCTAATTTACTTTTGTAATCCTCTTCCTGCAAATTTAAAGACTTAAATGGCATTGAAAGGCAAATTACTTAACAGGTGATAAAGGATGAACAGTGGAGACGTGCAATGGAGTACGTGAGTATGGTGTCGGAGCTGAACTATATGTCTCAGATTGTAGTGATGCTCTACGAAGACCCAACGAAAGATCCAAGTAGCGAAGAACGTTTCCATGTGGAGCTTCACTTCAGCCCCGGAGTGAATTGTTGTGTGCAGAAGAATTTACCACCAGGACCAGGCTTCAGGCCACATTCTCGAAACGAGAGTAGTCACAATCTGGTAAACAAATAATCCATTCATTTATTTTATAGGTTCATATATGAAAGGATATTTTTAAACTGTAGGAAAATATTCTCAATTATAATTTTACTATTCGTTGAAGGGTGATGGTGGTTCGGGGCAAGACAACACATCGCAGTGTAGCACTCGCATCGAAGAAGAAGACGTGGAATTGGGTATACTTGAGGACGATGTATTGACACCACCGATGCAGCTTGTAAGTTCAAGATCGCATTTTTTTTCTTCATGCATTGTTTAATAATGTCAGCACGAAACAATGGATGGTCAGTGGTTTACTTTAGATTTATTTAGAATTTCCGTTTAGTCTCTATAATGTTTATGAGTATATGTGCTGCATTATCTATGCATGTATTCTCTTTCCAATAGGATAATTTGTTAATTACAATGATGTCCCTTTGTTTTTAGGCTCAGCCTGTTCCGCCCAGATTCTTGTTCCGAGTAATCACTAACATAATTATTATTTCGTTATTTCATCATATTTGCATTTATGTGTATATATTACTCTTTGTAGCAACTTTTAAGGTGCTTAACGATTTATCAATTTAACGCTTTGTATAGTGTAGGTTGAAGTAATCGAATAATTTTGTTAATTTCTTCTAATCAGTAGTAACTAGATTCTAATTAATAGTAATTAAATTTACTTTGTTTCTCTTCGATCTCGCGCCATGTGTTTCCAAATGCAAAACGTGCTAATATAATTTTCAACTTTAAGACTACCTCTCCTCCTCTCATGGAACCCGAAGTGATGGACCCTATATTGGATAGTCCGACAACTAGTCGAGCCATCGACATGATGGACCTGGATCCAAACATGATGGATGAACCATTTGATAGTGGTTTCTTACAAAGTTCAGCACCAATCCCTATTAGGTGGGTCACCCTCTATAATTATCCTTTATTTTTTTAATTAAACATAATTTCTAGTTTTTCGTTCAAATGAAATGCAAATTCTCCTGACAGTTCAGCGATAAAGGTATTGATATGAAGAAACATATATTAACTTAATCATCTAATCCAGTATATCGTAGTGCCAAGACTGAATACATTAATTATCATAATTACCGAGACTAAACTAAAGTTCTTCTTTACAGTGCTAGAACTGTAGCTGGTCACGAAGCAGCGAGACTTGGCAGTCAATTGGCAGCTAGTCAACGACAAAGGCGAGAACGAGAAGCTGCAGGAATTAACGAGCCCAGAGCTCGCAGTTACGATCATCAGCGGCAAGAAAAGCCAGACAAAAGTAAGTGTACCAGTCTTTGGACTGAGAGACGAAAGAAGGAATTATGCTGGGAAAAACAGCATTATTTCATCTTGTCGCTGTACAGTGGGTGCACAATTGATTTAACAATCCTAAACTTAATTGAAACATTTCCCTAGCATTGCGGGGAAAGAAAAAGTGTTTTGTTGAAACTAGTCTGAAAGACTGTGTCGAAGCAGCTTCCAATCGGCACACTCTGATTAACCTGCTATTAAGGTTAACTAACAAATCTGCCAAAATGAATGATTACGAGATAAAATAACCCCTTAATTAAATCCCATTTTCATTGATTTTGTAGAATGGAATAGCCTGCGTCGAGTGTTATTATTAACAAGTTTTCTATAATAGCAAGTACTTGACAACCTGGTTCTATTTGATTACGTAAACAGTGAGGAACATTGATTGGTCAGTGTGCGTGGATCAAAGATTCTGTTAAAAAAAGTATGCAGCTAGGTTAGGTGGAAGGTATTTCCCTCTCGTATTTTTCTAAAAGAAGGCTAAGAAAGTATACGTTAAAAAAGAAAACAAGAATTGCAATGATTACAGAAACATCGCTAGCGCCATGTGAGGTATCGATGCTTCGAAAGCAAAATTCATAGTTCTTTAATGGCGGTCTGAAGAAACGTTAAGTTCAGAAAAAGTATGCGAACCAGTATCCTCTTTTCATCGCTGTATTTTACATTCCTTCGCAAAGTGACTGCGTAGGAATGCAGAGTAGATGGTCGTAGCCCATGAGTCTGTACGTATCAGTGGTTCGAATCATTCCCTTGAAAGATTTTCACTGATTTGCAACTGGAATAGAAAGAGGAGATCTGAACTAGCTGACGTAGACACCTCTTTGTCCTCTTTCGTGTCTTTTTTTGTAGCTGCGGACAAGCTGCAGTATCAGAGCTTGGACGCGGTCAACAATGAAGGTATGTCACTTCGCTTACCCCACAGCACGAACCATGCCTTTGGGAATAGCTATCACAGGTGCCAAAATTTCGTGGGTTCGCACCGAGTCCCTTACACCTAAGGTGGGGGAAAGCTTTCCTTCGTATAACTCCTTCGTATCGAGGAAGGGTCTCTAGTTCCCAATGATCTCCATGCTTCGAGCAGACATCTTCTTCGCACTGCTGAATGTTCTTCGATCCACCTTATTCCATCGAAGCAGCTTCGAACCATTTAATAGGGCCTTGTGTTCTTCCAAAGTGCAATATATTATACAGATGAGAGGGAAGGAACAAATAAGGATATTCCTCACGGGCTCCAAATGTATTCCCATTATCAGGCGACGAAGTAAGAGTGCTTTCGATTCGTACGACAGAAGCTAATTTGTTGACTTGCCAACCGCCCAATCGAGTGAAAAAGTGTCACTGAACATTCACAGCGGACACTGACACCTTTGTTATGGAACATCCCTGGTTCATTCTTTACGCACTTTAAGCTCGACGCACCGTACCTTGATCCCCCTGCAAGCAAATGCTCTGTACATACTTATGAATTATCTCCGATCGAACTTTTCTAATTTAGTCTCCCAGGTTAACCAAGGTTCCGCTTTTGTTCTTCGTAAATACTTCCTTTTTAAGTTTTTTTTTTTTCCCGTCCGCCTGTAAATATTCTACACTGTTTCCACCTTTACTATTCCGCCTCGAATACCTTTGAATCTCTTATAAGTATTTTTTTTTAAGCAATTACATGTATATATATTGTATGTAGATTGATCCTGACGTGGTATTACATCTTAGTGGAACAAAAGAAAAGTATGATTTTCGACGTTTAGTTGATAACGAAGAAATGTAGGACTCAGTTGAAATAACTCTTTGCTCAGTGATAGATGTGCGCGTGGAGGCCGACAGATTTTCAAGTAGCGACTGTTTGGACCACAACGGTAGCGTGATCCATCCAGCCGCTCTTAATCCCGATCCAAAACCTCCTGAAATCATTTCAGTCATGATTTCTCCACGTCACGATGTCTCTCGGTGTCTTCGGCTTTTATTCGTTTTTTTCACTTCTCTCTGTCTCTTGCCGTTTTTTTTTCTCTCTCTCTTTCTCTCTTCTCCGAGCCCCCTGCACTGACCTTCCGTTTACGAGTTTCGCATTGAAAATGTCTAAAAGCCATCTTAAGTTTCAGAAGCAATCTTATTTAACGCGTCCTCCGAAGCGTAAGTTTATGAATTATCATCCGTTCAGGTTTCACCGGTATTTTCCGATTACTTTTTTCGCTTCCTTATTGCGAATGTCTAGTCAACGGGCGGTCTCTTTTCTCCTGGTTTCGCAATTTTCGTACTTGCATGGTTAGCGTGTGCAGTGTGCTCGTTCAAATCTCTTTTGCATTTAAGGTGAAGCGAAACCCGTCGAGAAACAAATTGATATACCATCTGAAACAGTACGCCACGTTATCGACGTTTATATACATTAATTGCAGCTATATCGTACTACATTGCTATTGTGATACCATTGATCAACTGCAGGGCCATCTGTTGCATTTAGTGCCAACTAAATTTTGCCTCCGAGAGCTTCATGCCCTACTCTCGTTATTTTCATCTTAGCACAGACGCTCTAAAGACACTTTTTTTGCCTTTATCGTGTTCAAATGCAAGCTCGTCGATTACTAGAGTGTTCTAAATTGTTTTCCCGACAGCCCTGACACTTTCGTATCGCACATCAGAGTACACAAAAATCGTATTACGATCGAAATATAGAAGCACGGCGGCATCCTGGTTCGAGTCCAGGCTAAAGAAAAAAATAATTCTTTTTAGATCAAAATTTTAAAAGCGTCAGGACATTTCTTAGGTGCTCACAATTCGCGTGGTAAAATTTCAAACGGTTCGGTGGAACACCCACAAAAAAAAAAGAAAGTGTCATTCTAGTCGACTGGTTTGAAAGGGGTTTCGCTTCACCTTGAACCGTCAATTTAACTAACCACAGTAAACTACTAGTGTATTTCTATTCTATTTGCATTTCCGTTTTTTTTTTCCGTCCGAGTTTTGCGTTTCCGCAACGAAAGCTGCGGTGCTCCAGAGACGACGTAACTGACTGATTTCTCTTCTTTCTTTTTTCTTCCCGATCACTCTCTCCCTTCACCGTCCACGCCCCGCTGTCTTCGCTGACACTCTTTCATCCGATCTCTGCATACGTGACGACGCCCCAGAAGAGACACCGGTGATCAGGGTCCAAGCGGAGGCTGACTTCGAGGACCCACCGGAAGAGAGGGAAGTCCTCGAAGTCAATCGCCTCGGCAAGCCGGTCACCCTGGCCCATTCCGTCAGCTCTCCGGAGTTTCCGATTCCGGTGACCCCCCTGATAGCGGCACGCACCGAAGCAACCGGTCCTCTCGTAACCCTGCACAGCGTCCCCCTAGCTTCGCCTAGCAACAAGTGCGGCCCGCCCATAGCGAACCAGGTTTCACAACCTAAGAACACTCCCCGAAACCTGGCCTGCGAACCCAAGGTCTACCATAGGTCGCACTCCGAGATGAGACTGCCCGATATCGAGGTCACCGGTGAGTCGGACGTCACTGTTCAGGAAACTCGGAAGCCGTTGTCATCGGCCTCCTCGCTGTGGCCTCGGCAGCACCTGGAGATCCTGCCGGAGGGAAGCCTCCATCAGGTGGACCCCGAGAAGAGGTCCCGGTCGCTGTCCCCTGGGCTGTCCAGATGCCTGTGCTACAACTGCACGGTATCGGAGCTGATACTCCAGTGCAGGGACCTATCCCCTTCGGAGAGGTCCAATTTCAGGACCTACTTTGCCAGGTCCCTCAGCCACAAGTTCTTCAACTGCTCCTGCTACTCGTTTGGACCTGACGAGGCTTGGGAAGGCGACGGAGAGGAGTACCGGTGCTGCTGTCCGGGGCCCTGCGAGTTTCTCGCACCCCGCCTCAGGGAACATGGGACTCCTCGACGTCGATCCGCCTCGCCGAATTTGCCGGTTCCCAAGGGAAGGAACGGCGGTCACCCCGAGCGGAACAGGAATCACTCCTCGACCAAGGCTGAATGCTCCTGCGAGTACCGCAAGCCGCTGCTCTGCGAAGGGCACTGCGACGCTCTGAACTCTTGGTGCAAGGATTGCCTCGGGGAAGGTCGCCACGGGAGGTCCGCTTCGCCGAGTCTGCCCGATTCCCTGGAAGAGAAGGGAAATCGGTACGATCTGAACGAGAACCTATGCGGGGAGAAGTGTAGACCTTACGACGAGAACTCCCGGAACGGAGGAATCGGCAGGAGCGTCTCCGAAGGGGGTACGGCCAAGTCCTCGCCACCGGAGACTTCCCTCTGCGGGATCGCCAGACCCCCGCAACCTGGGGGTCGGTGCAGGTCGAGGCCCACCGCGAAGAGTCCGCTGGCGAACGGTGAAGAGCCACCGGAGACTCCACCGATCAGGTCAATGTCTTGTCCGGAAATGGGTGCTCGTCTCGATACCAGTCCTTCCCTCCGTCCTAGACGGTTCTCCTTCGAGCCCTCCATCCCTGGGTCGCCTGGATCCTCCCGACGTGCCCCCGGTGCTCCAGGGCCGTGCTCTCGCAGTCATCAACCGAGACCTAACTGCTTCGAATCGCATCGATCTCATCCGTCTCACCTCGGGTCGGACGTTCCGCCCGCCCATCGTCACTTCACCCTCCTGCGTAGACGCTGCAGCGCTTCGGAACTCGACTCCGGGAACTCTTCCGGCCTCTCTAACTCGTCTAACAGTGAATACGATCGTCCTCGTTGTCGGCGCTGCAGGCTAGACCCGGCCACTCCTAGAAGACCATTTCCCAACCTCCAAACGCAACGATCCTTCTCGTCTCCAGACACGCGACCTTCGATCATTCAACCTGACCCTACCTGCACAGCGAGGCGCCACCGACACAGTATCTCCGGACAGATGAGTTATTTCAAGCTGTTGGGATACAACGTCAGCAAGAAACTTACCGGGTCGGCTAACAGCCTCTTCAGCACCGCTGTCATCAGCGGCTCCTCCAGCGCGCCGAACCTCAAGGACATGGTGCCGCCCCACGCCTCCGCCGTTGCCGGTAAGTCGCACACCCTTGACCAACGTCTTCGTCCCTACAGGTACGTCTCGATCGAACTCCACTGGGATGTAACTCCTCGCACCTCCCCTGGACATCCGGAAGCTGCCTATTGTCCGGGACCATGGTTTATTATTTACACTTTTCTACGGACTGGGTGTAACGAATCGTACCAAACTTCACAACGTGAACGTGGAGGCTGTGAGAAAGGTCCTGACACTTGTGACATTTCATTGATTATTAAAAAAATTGTTAACATACCTACAAAGAAATTTAAAGGGAAGAAAAAAAGAAATGAAATTTCACGAGTTTCAGAATTTAATATTTAATTGTTATATTTTACCGGTTTACGGGATTTCTTTAACAAAATGAATTCTTCTGCAGCACCGTATCATTGTTAAGATCTATCTGGCGAACAGTTGTTACGATGATTCACAGCGATCGAAGTTTAATACTTACTTTGTGCCGGTTTATACGATTTCTTTAACAAAATGAATTCTTCTGCAGCACCGTGTCATTGTTAAGATCTATCTGGCGAACACTTGTCACTATGATTCACAGCGATCGAAGTTTAATACTTACTTTGTGCCGGTTTATATGATTTTCTTAACAAAATTAATTCTTCTGCAGCACCGTATCATTGTTTAAATCTATCCGGCGAACACTTGGCACGATAATACTTTGTGCCGGTTTATACGATTTCTTTAACAAAATTAATTCTTCTGCAGTACCGTGTCATTGTTAAGATCTATCTGGCGAACACTTGTCACGATGATTCACAACGATCGAAGTTTAATAGTTACTTTGTGCCGGTTTATACGATTTCTTTAACAAAATGAATTCTTCTGCAGCTCCGTGTCATTGTTAAGATCTGTCTGGCGAACACTTGTCAAGATGATTCACAGCGATCGAAGTTTAATACTTACTTTGTGCCGGTTTATACGATTTCTTTAACAAACTGAATTCTTCTGCAGCACCGTATCATTGTTAAGATCTGTCCGGCGAACACTTGTCACGATGATTCACAGCGATCGAAGGATTCGGTGGAGTGCCACCTATCAGGCCGCTGGAGACTCTGCACAATGCCCTCTCGCTGAGACAACTGGATTGCTTCCTGGAGATGATGACCACTGGGCCTTTGTTCCGCACCCCGGCTTCGTCGCCTCCGAAGTTCCCGTCTCCTGGGGGCTCCACCCACGGTTCGGTCATCCAGAATCTCAGTATCGGTGGCATCAGTCGCGAGTACCACTCTTCCGATTCGGAAGCTGTCAGGTACCGTAAGAAATTAAATAAGAGATCTTTGTGAGTATTTTCATTTTGTTTATTCGTACCCTTAAGCGTCGCCTAGTGATCGGTCCTCGCATCTAACAAAGTACTACCATTTCCTGTAGATCCAGGAGGTAGCTCTACTCCTAGTTCATTAGTATCGGTAACTTATCCCATGCGTCATTGCGTTATCAGAATTTAAAGGGCAACGTTGTGGGCGGAAGAGCCGCTTTTAATAAATTTAAGATTTCAGGGCGATTCGGGCGACCACGAAGTCGTCCTCACGGGCGATCCCATTAATCTCTTGAACGATACCTCCAACGGGGAATCGAAGAAGTCCTGAAATCTGTCCCGGAACATCTTTTGCACCAATTTACTCTTTGCAAAGTCCCCTCCGTTTCCGTAGCCATATTGATAAATGATATCATCCAGCTCGCCATGTTTGTCCCACTCGAGCTGAACGTACATACAGTCTTCTCGAGTCGCCTTGGGGATGTCGACCGGCCATTCTTCGCCGACGAATTTGATCTGCATGCTTTTAAACCGTTTGTCGACGTTCATTGTAATATCCGGATAATCCTTCAGGATGCTGTCTCGCAATTTGGATACGCAGAGCATTCTCTTCATGAAGACGTCTATCGCCTTACAGGTCCTCTTTACCATCCCCAGGACGTTCTTGTCGGTGGGGTCGTAAATCTCCTCTTTGAACCTTTTTTTAAAACTAACAGTCGGCGGCAAAAAACACCGACCATTACTCGGATACCACTTCCGTAGTAGTCGTACGTAGACGAAAGCCATCTTGAATTTACCGACTATCTTCGACTCGTTATCCGTGACGACGTATATGTAACTGACGCGACTGCCCCCTAGCGTCACATCCGCGCCGCATTCGGATTTAATTCTTTCCTTCAAATCGTAATCCGGATTTTTCATTTTCTCCAACCACTTCTCGTGGATCATCTCCTCTTTCTTCCTGTGCTGGAGCCGGCGGTAGAATGGTCGGTGCGTGGGAGAATTTCGCAATTTTAACCTGGCCTCCGGATTGTCGGAGTCGTAGTAAGGCTCGCTGTCTGACATGCTTTCATGTCGGGCGTGGTACATGCGCGTGTTTTTTAATGGCGATAACGCGGAGGCCTCGGTCCCAACAGTTGGAAGGTCGCTCGAGTCGGACTGCATGTCTGGAAAATAAAGCGAGTTGTATGTAATTTTAACTCCATTTTTTTTCGCGTTATTTTGCTCATGCGTTGTTTCCTTCCAGATACATCACCGCTACACCGAACCAATATAAGTTGGGACAAGATGGGGAAGTTACCGACATCAGGAACCAACCATCACCTACCAGTCCAAACAGTAAGATTCCCTCAATTATTCAATGTTAATGACATTAGTAGAATTATTGTTAATATTGGTCCCATAATCTTATTGGAATAATTGAGGAGGACATCTGTTATCATTTTTCTATATCTCTCCATTAAGTGCTTCAGGTTCAGAGAACATTTCGTTATGTACATACAAACGACGAACAATAACCCTGTAGTAGAGGGTAACTGAATGTTAATGAAATGGTAAAAATTGCGATAACGATAATTGGATATCTGGTGCGTTTAAGGTACAGGCTGGAGCAGCGAGCCGCAATCTTTCCTATCTTCTGAACCATCCTCTCCGGCTCCCACATCTGCAGGAGAGTGCAGCATGTCGATAAGCTTAGTCAGTAACGACGGGTGAGTCGCATGAGTTGGAAAAGCGAAACACTAGAGACAATTTATCTGGACACCCCAACATTTCATATTGCACAGTGATAATAAGAGTACTCAAACTCATGGGGTGGAATTCTTAGTCGAGGCTCGGCAGCAGAATCTGGGTGAGGTCTGAGTAGAGTTCTAAATCCAGTAAGTTACGTCAGAAACGAAGAGAAATTCCCGGTCATTTCTCGGTCATTTCTCCAAAGCCTTTTTTGTCGAGAAATTATGAGAATTTGAATTTTTCAACAGAGCGAACGAGAGGTTTCGATTAGCTATAAAGAAACATCGTAGAGGGGAATTTCCGTTGTACGTTCTCCGTAGCCAATGAAAACCTCCCATTCGCTTAGTCGCAGAATGAAATATCAGTTCGTTTGAAACAAATGGCATGGAATTTTCCGTGAAGTTGTACATACGTGAATATTTTTAGCTGGAGGTAAATACGACCCTATAATCAATATTTTCTAATAGTAATTATTACTCTTTAGGTTGAACTTTGAAGTTGATTGCAAAAAAAAAAAAGTTATTTAAATGAAGAAACCTAAAGTATAAATAACAAAATTAACGTTCTCTTAAATTCTCAATGTTCCCGGTAACTTACGGTATGTTTTACAGTTACCTTCTCCAATTTAATGTTACCGAGAATTTTCGAACTCTAGGTCTGAGTTCTCGACTTGAAACTTACGTTAAATGCGAAAGATGGCGCCGTTGGTTGCCTAGAATATCAAAAATCATGATTCCAACGGATTTCTTCAATTTCACTTCGGTCTCTTTATAATCATTTTACTGAAATGACGTACGGAGGGCCTCGTTTAATATAGTTTGTAATGTAAAGCGTAACAGACGTCAACATAAATATTAATATCGGTAGTATGACATTCCGACTTTGCAAAAACGTGATCGTTAAAACGCTTGAAAGTCGAGCTTCAGTCGAGGACGTAGACTCGACTCAGATTCCCCTGTCGAGTTTTGACTAAGAATTCCATCCAAATACCCTGGGTAAAAAGTGGGCGTCAAACACTTCAAGACCCACACTTCCCAGAGATCGTTTGCAAGGTGCCGATAAGAATCGCCGTTATTATCGTTCCGGATCTGTTTTGCAGTTCGCAACCGTTCGGTGCCGGGCCAAAGTTCTCGACAACGCCGGGCCTGGACATCGACTTTCACGACATGTACATGAACCCAGGTCATGACTGTCGTGAGAGCCGTGGCAGTATCTCTTATACGGATTACTACAGTAACGAAGATGGACTGATTCGCAGGAGTGGCACTTTTGGCAGCCTCCAAAAAACCGTCTGCACCGGCACCGGGGAGTTCGTCGTCGATTCCCTGGACGACGACGAGGACCACACGCTGACGTTGAAACAAACCGAAGAGCAGAAGAAGCAGGACGTAAAGTACATTTTCGAGCAGCGCGAAACCACCGGTGCGTCGAAGCCCAACCCCAGCTGCAAGAAGATCGGAAGGTGAATAATAACTGCGAACCTGTCAGGGTGTTGCGAAAGTGTATATATATATATACGACATCGTGACGTCATAACGTCAAAATATTTATAATACAGGTAACCCTCCTATAACACGGTATTTAGGTTCCTAGAAAATGCCGTGTTGTGTGAAACCGTGTTGCATGAGACCCAGAGCTAGTATAAGAAGGGGGGTTACGTTCCAAAAACTTATTAAAAACAAATATATTTTTTTTAATTCGTCATAAACAACTTAATTTTTATTAAAAATATAAATGTATGTACAACACAAAGTATAGAAAAAATATTTTAATCGAACGCAACCATAATTTAATGAATTTATTCGTCGTCACTGCTCAGTATAATCAACCGAGAACGTTTTTTCGGTGGAACGATATCGCCTTCACTTTCAGAACTTTTTTCTCTATTTAAAGTTTTTGTATGTTTTCCCCTCTTGAAAAAATCTGTAATCGAACTTTGCTTGCTGGTTCTTACTAGGTCATTGTAAATTTCGCGGTATGGAGATAAACAGTTTTGCAGCTTCCTTTTGAATTTTCGACTTCTTTCCATGGAAGGGTCTGTATTCAAGAAAAATGACTCGTTATAGCGAAACCGTGTTATAGGATGCCGTGTTGTAGGAGAGTTCCCGCAATTTACGAATCGTGTTATAAGATACCGTGTTATAGGAGGGTTACCTGTACTTTTCTCCAATCCGGGTGCACCGAACGATTTGAAACTTTAACTAAGCTAAGAAGACAATATTCGATATTTCACGAAAAATGTATACATGAATTTTACTTTATCTATGTCGATGTATGTATATCATGACACTTTTGTAACACCTTAAAGAGCTCGCTCGGTTATCCCGGAGTGATACCCGTTCTAGGTTCCGGGTGGAGAGTATGGAGATATCCGACGAGGACGTCAGGATAAAGGAAACTGTCTCGCTGAGCTCGAGCCTCTCCAAGGAACGAACTAAACTACCCGGCCAGAAGCTGGAATCCTCTCGTACCGGAGACCAGGAACAGACTCAGGATTCGAAGAAGACAGGTGCCTTCGGGGGGAAACGCAAGAATTTCTCTCGGTCGCAGAGCGTATGCACTCCTAAGTCGACCTCGTCGAAGACTGAATTTGATTTCGGTGCTCGGTACAACTCCTCGAAGCAGAAGAGTTCCTTCTCGACGATGTCCAACGAAGAGCTGGAAACTCTTAAACTGTCTCTCGGTGATCCTGCCCCTGTCTCACCTGCTGATAAGTCCCCGGAGGAGCCGCTTTTGACCTTGGCTAGCAGTCTCACCAACAGCTCGAGCGTCAAGATAGGCTTCGATGTCCAAGACGAGAAGAAGGAATAAAACCTGACCGGCTGTCTAAGGGAATTTTTTTTTTCTCCGATTTCTATACACCTAGAGGAATCGAAGGATTCTCTGGAACCTGTTATATGGATCGTTGATGTTCCGCTGTATTTTATCTACGTAACGCAGAGTACGGAAGGAAGTTTAGTTGAGAAATACTCAGAGGAATACGAGATAAATTGCAAAGTCGAACATTCCTTCGGCGAGTCCGGCTTGAATCTTTAGCCACTATTTAACTTTGTACATCTTACGTATTTAGGATGGAAATGTCGACTGAGCTAAACCTAAACAACGTTCGAGCTAAGAGGTGAAGATTAGTTCTGCAATGGAAGGCTGTAATCGATGCCGTTACATTTCAGTAGTCGTCATTTCTTTCGAGCTCGTATTTGTTCTGCTTTCATGTGAACACATTTTGTGTATTGATTTTTCCCCAAACTCTTTACAAGTGGTATTATAGACAACATAGTGGAAAGGTAGACTTACCAATGGCATATTATGATCGTAAATCAAAACTAAACTTCCCCATTCTTTTCTTCGATGTCTCGACTTTAAAGACAACTAGACTTTACAAAAAAAAAAGAGAAGTATCAATTACGCTTTCCTTTTATTTATTTATCTAACCTTGTGTTGTTTCACAAGTAGATAATCGATTTTAAATAGAGAACGAAATTGTGTGTGACTTGAGGCTGAAGTCTCGACGTTAATTGATGTCCATCTACTTTGTTTTTACAATGGGACCAGGTTTCGTGAATTTCACAGCTGCTATAGTTCTTTATACGGATATCGAAGAATAGAAATGTTTATTATTCCCGTGTGTTAATTGAAGGCCGAAGGAAAGTAGGAGCGAAGAAAGAAATGAGCGCCTGTGTGCGCGTTTATGGGTAAAGACGTATAGCTCGGTAAGAACTTATTAACTCTCCTGTCTGTTCTTAACAAGGACTTTGAGAAATCTTAAGTGGGAAGAAATATATTTTTTGAAGTTTTATAATTTAAGAGGACATCATGTGTTTCCCTTAGGTCGAGGTTAAAGACAACGAGGATAATTTCTAATGTTCGCAGAGCGGCTGATTTAATTGAGTAATCGTACCTCGGGGCCGAGGTCGTAGTTTCTTTCAATATTTCCTTCGCTTACGTTGGAAGTCTTGCAAGGGAAATAGCATAAGGCAGTACATTCCTTAAGGGACCGATCTCCACTTTCCATCCTAAGAGTATTCAGAAGATCGCTAAGAACTTATCTTCGTTGCCCAGAGATGTTAGTCGAACCTTGTTGCCTCTGTATCTGGTAGAGATGGATCGTTTAAACTAGACTAGACTTTCTTCTCGGACTTCTACTAAAAACAGTACTTAAACCGAGCAAACTGATGCCGAGGTGATATATATATATTTCCTCCCGAAGAAATAAATATTAAATGGAGAAACGCGCGACACGTATTACCTATTTCTTTTTACTAATCTTGACTCGTACGTCAGTCTGCTCTTTGGTATGTAAAATAAGAGTGGGGAAAAAAGTTACTTAAACGTTTACACGCTTTATTCGAAGAAAGAAAGAAAGAGAATAAAATGGAGTCCTGCTCTTCGAGAGCAGACCGGTACGTAATGTCCTTTCTGATATTTCCGCGGGAATTAGGACATGTTGGCTTAGATTCTTCACCGAGTGGATAATTAATAACGGCACTGTAAATATTCAATTCGCTATGTATGACTCTTGGTCGATCGTAGTTCCGCTATATCTCCTCCGCAATAGTTACCGGTTTGCTCCGACAACACCGCTGATAATAAAGAATTAAGAGAGAGAAAGTATTTTCATAAGAGTCATTTAAACGTCCATCCGTCTCCGAGGGAGACTAAGTAGGAGCTGATATTCAATTAAACTAGCAAAGTACAAAGCTCGTAGTACTTATGGCGAATTGTGCACATCCTTTGCATCGGTCTAGGTCAATCCAACTCTCTGCTGTACGAGATATATCGTAGACATATCGTTGATAAGTGTTCTGGTGTTATAGATATCGTCGTTAAACCAACTATTGTAGACCGAGTCGAGTACAGCAGAGATTGCTGGATTTGCACGGTTTAATCGAGGAGAGTATATTAAGATTGTACATTGTAGAGCTTTAAGTAGTCGGTGATAAAGTGCCTAGGAAGATGAAATGCCTAAATTCTGCCTCTCTCGGCCGAATATATATATATATATATATGTTTTAGTCAACTCCTCTTTCTAGGCACTTCCTTCGAATGAATTTGGCGATACTTAATGATTGTAAAAACGGGCTGGTTACCCTTTCATTTAAGTTTCTGAAACATTTGCACGAAGTAGGAGTACTTCCCTACCTGATTAGGAACCCTGGAGCCGTGATTTTTAATTATCATTTTTCTCCGCCGTAATCTAACTTCATTAGGGAATCCGAATCATTGATTTGCACTACTAATGCACCTGTGTTTTATCAGGGATCATACGAACCATGTGAAACCCTGTTATATTTTCCTAGGATTTTAATTGTCGTAACTCTGAAAAGTTTCGAATCCGTTTTACTTCCAGTTGTTAACCCATTTCCTTGACTGGCGAAATCGACATTACGCGTACATTGTAAATTGCGACGACATACGTGTATAATATTTTTTCTTTATCCTCGATTTTCGAAAACAGGGTGCTGTAATGGCATAGATAACTATCCTTAAACCGTCGGTGTACAGCGTAGAGATTAAGTGGATCTTTCCCTAGACTTTGACCGCGAAAGGAATTTCCCATGGAGGGGGAAAAAATGCGAATCCGATATTTCACTTGGGGCTCGATTTACATCCGATTATAAAATGCAAAAAGCGAAACGCTCGCGTAGTCGAACATCTTCGAGATTTGCGGAATCCGCGATATATATACTGTAAATGACGTACGCAGAAATATACACGTGATACCAAATGATTCCTGCATTGTTGAAATTCCCGAAAATATAAGATAAGCGCAAACGAGGAGATAAATAATCGGGGAAAATGAGGGATTTCCTCGGCTTTTGTCGGCTAGAGATCCCGTCATGAGAGCCGCCTGACAGGAGGGAAACTTGGAGAAGAAACTGTCAAGGCGTGACCCCATTGCGGCGGGGTTTGTCGGGGGCCGGCCATTGTTGGGACTGCATCGCAATTAGATCGGGCGAACACGTGCAAAGGGATGCAAACCCTCTTTAGGACCGTTTACGAGCTTTCTCTCTCACTCTCGGACGGGGGGGACGTTTTCTTTTTCCCCTGACCTTTAACCAAAACGGATCGAGCGATTATCCCCGCGACAAATCCGATTAACCAGAGGATCATCCAATTTTACTTAAAAGTGCTCTCGACGTTTCTTTTTTTTTTTTTTTTCATTTACTCGAAACTTTTCGACAGTCTTTACCCGATACTTTTCATGAGTATACACGACACATCCGCTTTTCAAGAGAAGCGGAAACGTCTCAGGCAAGTTGACCTCTTATTTACACCGAAAATGTTTTTTTCTTTTTTTTTCCTTTTCAGATCGTCTCATCACGGATCGACAGAAAATTAGCGTTTCCTATAAAATATGTGGACCAGCAATGTCACCGAGGCGAGATACTTACCTTATATGGGCTACATATAAAATACAAAATGCATAACATAATTCTCGTATGTGAATAATAAAATTTCCATATCAAATAAATGCGCAGGCGCTTTGTATAGACCCCCTTAAGAAAAATATATATTGTAATCTTGCGACATCATTGTTAGACGCTGTGTACTAATTTTATAACATTTTATTCAGCTACGATGTACTCTTTTTATAATACACGTTACACGTAAGTGTACTCATTATCCTAGATAATTTCACAAAAATTATAACGCGATGTCATAGAGCTATAGGTCTGAAGAAATAGATTACAATGTACTGAAAGTGTATGAATTTTATTAATATATTTAATACTGTATGCAAAACCTTGAGCGGAGTACCTGTAATAAGTCGCGAAGTACTGGTCATAAGAATCCCTACGTTAAAGGGTTTCAAATTTCGACTAGGATAGGACGTCTTGTTTGTTTTTTTTTTCCTTTGTTTCTGCTTGAAAGTATGGTCGGAGCTGACCGATCTTTACTTTTTGTCTTAACGCCTCGATGTCTAGGTTTCGGAGCGCCGACGCTTCGGGCATTGATCCGTGGCGTCAGCTTGCAGTTATGAGTACGATCCTCCACCTCTCTCTCTCTCTACATATATACATATATATACGTTATACATACGTACATACGTTCTATGTATACAGTGGAAGTTCGCGAATCGCGGAGATCGACTCGTTCATCCGTTGATTTCAACGATACCAAAGGACAGCCATAGAGTTTCCTAAAACAGCCGCCATCTTGAATTTCGAAGTTCGAAAGAAACTAGATGACCGATGACGGATAAAAATGATAAAAATACATCGATACGTGGTGGAACAAAATGTTATGTGTCGTAGAACGTGCTAAACAATTATGAAAAATTTCATCGAACGGTTGACCGTTTGCCGAAAGGGTTGGAACAGTCGTTTAAATAACGTTTCACCTTTAACGTCCTTGTTTGTACGTTGGGTCGAAAGAGGAGTGTCAACGATTCTTCAGGAGTCTCTCCGAATGTAAAATGGCAGCTATTTTTGCTATATCTTTATAATTATTGTACGAAAATGACAGGTGGAGTATGCCATTTAGAACAATATCCAATATAATTCGAGACAGCGGTCAATATCAAAATTAACGTCGGCAAAATAGGCACTTAGAAAAATCTTCTTTATCGATGTCGATCGAGTTCCTCGACGTGTTTCAGTTAACCTTAAAGCTCGTTTCGAATTGGCAATCCCCTCCGAAGGGAGCTTACGAGCTAGGCGTGCCCCCCTAATTGGGCGAGATCTATTTTCAGGGCGAAAACGCGGAAAATCGGGGGATGATCGCTCACGTGTCCCCGAAAGGGAGACGAGTTGAAACATACGCGACATATTAATAAATTTATGCACCCCGGGGGTAGATCCGATTCGACGCGGCGAAATTGCAGGACTTTTGCCGAGGGCGATCCTTTCGCGTCAAGTGACTCGGCTAATATCTATTTAATTAATTCCAGACTTATTCGAGCCCTTTGTTGTTCTTTCGAGCGGCGAGGACGATACAGTAGAATCGTTACGCCGATAGTTTAGACAATATTTTCTTCGTTTAACGCGACTCCCTGATACATACGATAAAATGTACGTACACGTAAAAAATTGACAACGTTGCGCGGATTTTTCATTGAAACGTTTTTTGCCACATACAGACAAAATTTGTACCATAAATTTATATATTTTATTTATGTTTATTTATATTTATATAATAAATTTATATATAAAAAATAAACCAAATTAGTAACGCTTCGATTGTTCGATTGTTTCAATCAAATAAAATGTTTTGGTTAAATCGTGTTGTTAATTTCGAAAACAAAAAAGAACAAATTATGTCTCATAAAATAAATGAAATATTTCGGTTACATGTAGCATATCAGTTTAACGTTTGGGGTGTTCTAACAAAATATTTCATGAATATGAAGGTACGGTTTGCGGGCTCCATATATACTTCGTCCATGAGCGAAGGCAGAGGCGGCTCGACCTCCGCTCGCGCCTTCGACCAATCAGCGCGCGCGGCGGATCACGAGGGGCGACCGCGGGCCAATCAGGAGCCGCTCCTCCGAAAGGGGGCGTGGCCAAAGTCCGGAGGGACTCGTTGAGGTCCGCTGCGAGGTCGGCCGCGTCACTCGAGGTCTCGTCGTTGCCGACGATAGTCCGGCCTCCCGGTGTGTCGCGTCCTCGACGCAGCTCTCGGTCCCGCGGTCGTGTCTGGCGCGCGTAGTCGGCGCGGCTCTTTTTTTTTCTTTTTCTTTCTCGAGTGCATTGAGTCAAGCCGCTCCCTCCTGAAGAATCCCCGGGATATGAGCTACCCGGAACCTCTCTGGGAGATCAACGGGAACCAAGCGCCAGTACGTGCCAGCGAGGCCGCCCTTTCGTCAAAATCCTCCCGCAGTCGACATTTTGTATTTTTCTTTTATCATTTGGTACCTGGGTCATATTGTCATATATTTCACATTTTAATATTGTAATTTATTTTCTTTCTAGTCGTAAATTTTTTTTCTCTTTCTTAACGTCATAATTTTTTCCGTTATATTTTCTCAACGTGAGTCCATGCTACGATAGGGGACTCTTAATTTTGTTTTTTTTAATCATTTGGTATCTGGGTCATGTCATATATTTCACATTTTAATATTGTAATTTATTTTCTTTCTAGTCGTACATTTTTTTTCTTTCATAACGTCATAATTTCTTCTGTTATATTATCTTCTTAACGTGAGTCCATACTGTGTTGGGAGACTCTCGATTTTGTTTACCAACGAACAATTGGACCCATCCACCGTTGGTGGACTGCTTCGATCGATCTTTCCTCGAGTTACCGCGAGATGCCTGAAACGCAGTCTTCTCCGGGGAAATAAGGTCTTATCGAAACCTCGTTTACAGGTGATAACGAGCGAAATGTCGCAGTACGTTGGAACCGAATTGACGGGGTATCCGATGTGGGACAGCTCCGTTTTGTATCCGGCACCGCCCCCCTCGCACCCACACGTTAGCGAGCACGGATTGTACAGGCAACCGTGCGCGTTGCTTCATCAAAGGTAATAAAATCCATATATTATCCGCGCGATCGCGTTCTTCAGATTTCATGTCGAAAAGTCCCAGAGATTTGAACGCTATGGGCAATTGACGGTGCACTAGGTCTGTCGAAATTGCGCGCTTTTCCTTCTCTACTTAGCACGAAAAAACATACTCTGAGAAAAATGTACAACTGGAAACGAATACATTTTCGTCATATATGAACCTAGTAGACTGTTAATTATTTCCACGTTTTTCGTTTAGTTAAAAATATTTCACTTTTAATTCCCGGAAAGAAACGATTATTTCAAACGTTGAAAATTTTCACTTTAGTTAACTATCCGATATTTAAATAGTCACGTTTATTTGATTTTAAAATATTTTCTAATCGATTTCAGCCGCTACACCCCTAATGGACGTTCGCCGAATGTTCCTTCCTCTACGTCGAAGAAGCCGAGGCGAAGAGTCGCCACGGTTTCGCAAAGAAGAGCCGCGAATATCCGAGAAAGACGCAGGATGTTCAACCTGAACGAGGCCTTCGACAAATTGCGGAGAAAGGTTCGCACAATAACCTCTTACGGCGCGCAGAAAAAGATTCGGCGGAATGAGTACAATTTTTATTGCTTCCATTATATCGGGTCGTCAGGGATGAAATTTGTAGAAAAAAAAAAAAAGACAAAGTTGGTTGATAACAATGAAATTTCATCCTTGCCAATCTAATATAATACGGTCGCTAAATGCGGTAAAAATTCTTCGATCAACCTTCATTCGATTAAGTGAAAAGTGTGGTAGGTCACGACCACTGTTAAAATAGTTCGGTATATTTAATCAAAATGTCTGGGGCGTCGAGTGAATTATCTTTTAAAATGAAGAACAGGATTTAATAGGATGTTCAACCTGAACGAGGCCTTCGACAAATTGCGGAGAAAGGTTCGCACAATAACCTCTTACGGCGCGCAGAAAAAGATACGGCGGAATGAGTACAATTTTTGTTGCTTCCATTATATCGGGTCGTCAGGGATGAAATTTGTAGAAAAAAAAAAAAAAGGGCAAAGTTGGTTGATAACAAAGAAATTTCATCCTTGCCAATCTAATATAATAGGGTCGCTAAATGCGGTAAAAATTCTTCGATCAACCTTCATTCGATTAAGTGAAAAGTTGTGGTAGGTCACGACCACTGTTAAAATAGTTCAGTATATTTAATCAAAATATCTGGGGCGTCGAGTGAATTATCTTTTAAAATGAAGAACAGGATTTAATTGGAATGTATTTGTTGATCGAAGCGATTGAGCTTGGTCTGGTGTACTAAAATTTGACTGGACCGTCCAGAACCGCTTTCTGAAAATCAATTAAATGCAGTAGGATGATTTGATTAATTCTCTTCATTCCTATCGTGGATTCTTAAATTTGTTGCACTTGTTGGAAATTCCAGGTGCCGACCTTCGCCTACGAGAAGAGACTCTCGAGGATCGAGACCTTGCGCCTGGCGATAACTTACATCGCCTTCATGGGAGAATTGTTGGGAATCGAGCCGACGAGTCCTAAACCCGAGTACATCCCCCGGGAATATTATTTGCCAAACTGAAGGGGATTAACATGCCGGCGAAATCGAGTCTTCCCGTTTCTACGAGGGTAACCGTGGAGCTGCCGACGAGTCCGGAAAATTTTTTTTTTAATCTCTGATCGATTAATTTCTCACTTGAAATGATAGGGTCGCGGAATCAGCTGTCGCGAGGTAAACGCTCGGAATTAAGAAACTCGGTAGAGTTTCGCGCCGAATATATATATAGAGGCGCGAAACTCAGACCTAGTCATTATCTGCGATGTTCAGCCTGGCGTGTCAAATTGGACAATGAATGTTGTTTTTTGAACCTCTTGAATGAGTAAAGTCAACTTTAACGAGGTCATCGAGAGTAGACGATTTTTCTGCATTTTTTTACAAATTGTATTCAATGTTCTAGTCAATGACACGAGTCAACTATCGCGAGAGCAATGCTCGGAGTTACGATTGTAGGTACCTTTTCATTTGCTGCATTGTTGCCGAATTGCACTCTGCAAAGTGCCATCATTGGCTCGCGACTCTTTACGTGTCATTCGTGTGTGCAGCGTTTTGGTGCACACGTGTTTACAGGAATGCGTCAAGTGAAAAGGTGGCGTTATATTTCATGTTCTAGTCAATAAGGAGCAGAGTTTCCCTAACTCGAATATGTCTTCCAGTAATATGTTAATCGAGTTAAAGTCGTAATGCTACTTGTTAAGAACAAAGTAAGGACTGTTTCGAAGAAGAACTTTTCTCATAACTGTACGGCATACTCTTGTCTGACAATAAGTGATTAATATTAGGGTCGAGTAGGCTAGGATCGCTTCGTATGCATTTTGACGAGACTAATTTAAGGCGTAACATTGTATATGTCCATGTCTTCCAGAATTCAAATTAAGTCTGTGAAATACTATTACCTACCCAGTGTTCGTCAACGATGAAATAAACGTTATGTCTACGTTAAGGTTAAATTTTCCTCGGGATTAAGTAAGTCGTCGTATTCGACGAGAAAGCTCTTTTTCTTTTTTAAGTATAAATATTTACCGAAGGCAAAGAAAAAAAAATCGTCTCCAGTGATGAAATCGTGAAATTCAAAATTGACTGTTTCGTTTTTATCAATTCTGCCCAGGGGGCACCACATGACACTATCGCGCGACCCTGCCCGTGAGCGATCGCCCAACTCATCTCGGATTGCTCTTACTATACAAAGCAGAGATGAGTGGGGAGATTGCTCACGGGCAGGATCGTGCGATCGCATCCTGTGCTGCCCTCTGGTTTCGTACGTTAGCTTTTACCGTTTTTTGGCCCCAAGGGCGGCGCAACGAATTTCTGATAGGAGCTCGCGCACTCGCGATAGCCCCAAAGCTCCGCATATCACGTCGACTTCGTGGCAACAATGTACTTAATAGTAGTGGATAAGTAGATAAAGTCAAATGGAGCGTCACGAGTGTTCTTCCCTTACCATCAAAAGCGAGCAGTGTCGGTAAGCGTAGGTAAGCCACCACGGTCAACTGCCGCATGATATTACCATCACGAGTACGTGAGCCGCCAACGGTGACTGATAGATGGTACCGCCATCGCGAGTGCGCGAGCTTCTATCAGAAATTCGTTGTGCCCTTGGGGGCAAATAACGGTGAAAGCTAACGTACGAAACCAGAGGGCAGCACAGGATGCGATTGCACGATCCTGCCCGTGAGCAATCTCCCAACTCATCTCTGGGTATAATATAGTTACCGTCCGTCTGTCGGCATCTTTGTTCTCTAGTTTACCATACTTTTATCTGCTTCGAGCGAGTGTCACCCGATGGCGCCACGTTTCTGTTCGATTACGAAATTCATCTTCGAGATCGCTCGTAAACTTCGGATGACGCCCTTAGCGCGCCTGGCGGCAACTTCTCGAATGGCAGAGAAATAAAAACCACTCCCAGGACCCGGGTCGAGATATTAAACTCCGCGGGCGCCGGCGCACCTGCCCTTGAATAATGGAGCGTTATTTCGGCCAATAAAATCCGACATATCCTCGCAGGGAATGCCTCGCAAAAACCGGCGCCGCGTCTGGGGAGATTTCCCGATTGGCGAGCGTTTTTTGCCCCCGAACGAGGAAACGTTGATACATTACCTTCCGTCGCCAAATCGATATCGAGGACCTTGATAAAAAAAAAAAAATCTCTCCTTTCCCAATAGTCCGCACTTTCGATCCCAGATGGCGCGACCATGACGCGCAGTCGGAACATCTCTAAAAATATCGTTTACTGATAGTCCCATGTTGACCTGTAGTCGCGTCATTATACCTTCCTCTTATTTCCAACATGTTTTTGCTTAATCAATGCACGAAATCATCGAAAACTTTGAAATTCGCCCAACGGAAGGGTCGTTTATTCGAGAGACCTGCATTTTTCTAATGCGAGTATCGAATTTTATCAAAGAAACCACTCGGGCGCAGATATAAGTTAATCGTAAAACCTGGTCCAGGGAGAATACAAGATGGCGGCTCGGGTCCGCTATTCGCGCTCACTTCCGGCTTCGCAGCGCTCGGTGTTCCTCGCCTATTTACAGCTCGCCATAAAGCTGGCCGGGCGCGTAAGCACGGCAGGCGAGAGAACAGGTTTATCATCGAATCAGCGGGGCCTCAGTACCGTATCCCCGGTGGTCCATAAAACGTACTTTTCGCGTCCCCCGCGCGCCTCGCCGCGCCGCCATCTTCCGGTCGCCATACGAAGCTCGCCTTCGCTCCGGCGCTCTCTTCGCAACATTCAACGTGCAGGTATATTCAAAGAGGTACTCACTCGACGCGTTTGGCATTGTCTCGACGAGAGGGGATCACGTGATAGAATTTAGACGATTTCATTGGCTAAGTTTACATACTAACATGTATCCCAACACAGCGTATATTTACACGCGTCAATACGTAAATTTACTAGGTAACCTAAGATATACATACATGGTAAAGGACTTACATGCCACGAGAAAAATGACAAGGTAACGTTACACTTAATTCAAGCGAAAATGCAGTGATGCAGTAAATATACAATGTCATGGGCATTAATACATATTCCGATTTGTAATCTTTCCAGTTAACGTTTCTTATTTATATGTAAGGCTTCGGTTATACAGGGTGTAAAGGTGTATGTAAATTTGCATGGATGTTTCTTTTTGGGGGTTTTTGTTTTAAAAATGAGACCGGAAGATAATGTTATTTATAGATCGGTGTGTTTTCTCCGTGCAGATTCAAGATTACTCGTCCGAGTCCCGCTATCTACGTGGGAGACCCTCGCCTCTGTAAGGACTTATTCGCCGAGGGGCGATAACAGGGGAAAAGGCGATTCGGAAAGGAAGCGCGCCGATTGGTCGATTCGCTTCTACCCCTCGGCCATCCGAGGAGGTCCGAACGAGCGGGACGAGGTCGACGGGAAGAAGGGAAGAAATTCCGAGGGATGATTCCCCTCTGATTTCTTTTACGAGGCCCTTCCTCGGCCCGACTTGATATAAGAAAGAGCTCGCGAAGATGGCGACTCTCCCTGGCCAATAACTCCGTGATAAAATAGGGAACGACCGATCTCATTTCGGAAGACATCAGCGGACCAAGGAGTGCTCGGAGTTTCAGAATTTCTGGATTCTTTAAAATAAGAAATCTACATTCGGTTCTCATAGACGTGAGCAAGATATCGTAAAGGGCACTGTTAGAAATATTCATAAAATTCATGCACTTTTAGTAGATAAGGTCGTAGTAGAATTATAAATTTCATGTCCTAAAAGTGAATTGGTATATATTTATTACTCATAACTCGATGAGATATAATTTTCTACAATTACGTAGGCAAATTGGTGTACACCTATGTCGTAAACTTATAACACATTTTATAAATCTCTTGAAAATATTTTAGAAAATCGGTACACCATGTCTGAATAATACTTCCAAGAGGGATATGATAAAATTAGAATATTTTTTGTTCAATGGCTTAATATTTAAGGAGCCTCAATATTGTATATTGTCTTCGATGTAATGTGCAAAGTATAGTGACTTCAAAGTGTTCTAACTGCGGCTGAATGACGTACCGAAGTCGTACGATTAACTCCCTTGCCTCCCGATTAATAACTATTAAAAAATGCTTTCAAATTGGGTAGTCGAAAGAGGAGGGGTCCTCGCTTCGATTCAAGGCGGATGAAATAGTCGTTGCTGCGAGAGAACGTTTCGGCGACAAGTGTGGTAGAAAACGCGAGGACGATTAATCACGCGTTGTCGCGACCCCCCGCGAACGTTCTGCACGGTAGTACATTTAGATGCATTATTGACAAAGCCGGACTTAACCGAAGTGTCTGAACGAGGGGTCGTCGAATTCCCGGCATATGTTCGAGCCTCTGGACGAATTTGACGGCAGCCAAAGGGACTAGTATATTTATCAATTATTATCGTATATTCGTCAATTATGACCTTACCCGGGAGAAAAAGATGACATTCTAGAAGAAATGAAAATCTTGTATTGACTAGACACTGGAGTAGATTTACTGGTCTTGGAATTAATTTGCAGGAGCCAAGAAATTTCTTTAACGAGATACATTTCATGGCCGCAAGTAATTCATCTCACCTGGAAAGTTTTTTGCTCAGTGTAGTTATTATTATTATATAGTTATTATGCAGAGAATTTTTCTTACTTACGAACACGCGCCGGAGAGGACAGAGATTTAAGTCGGAATAACGCGAAAAGGAAGAATTCACTTTGCTTAATGAGCAAGTGAGCCCTTTGAACGATTTTGTCAGTGGGTGGTACACGCTACATATGGAACGGCCATGGAACATATCGGGGGACTTTTACACTTGCCAAAACGGTGATCCGAACCGCCTGTCAACCCTGAACAAGGGGACGGACTTTCGGAAGGGTTGCCAGAGGTTTATGACGCTCGATGAAATTAATCGGGCATGAAACACACTCTACACGGGGATGAGCGACCGATGACGATTGTCATCGGGGAGTCAAGGGGTGGAATCTCAACCCTGAATTAATTTAAAAAAATCTAGTCAACGCGGAATCGTTCATGAGATTTTTCTTCGAACCGGGTGTACCGAATTGTTTCAAACTTACACCGTAAATATGGTGGCTATAAGGAAAGTGAAGATACCTATGAAATTTCATATCTTATAAAAAAAATGGTGTAAATATCTACAAACAAATTTAAAGAGATTGAGATCTCATGGGTGTCAGAACCTGCCTTAGAGCCTCCATATGCACATTATAAAGTTTGAAGTGATTCGGTACATCCAGTTAAAAGAAAAGTGTCATAAACTAGACATCCATGACGTCGCTTTCACAACGCCTTAACCAAACAATGTCGTCAGTTCATATAAACATTTTGTTATCCGTATCGTAATGATATTCTCTGATCGACCGAAAAATATTTCATTGATTAAACCAAATAATTTTCTAATTGCATAATACGTACACAATGAACTAATCCCAATGACAAGCTGTCGATGACTGATCCACCTGATTTAATAAGCTCCGAGAATGACCCTTTGAAATGGACTCCCGACAAATAAGGACAAGTGCGTAAAGGGGTTTGCATTCGCCATGGGGAATGTCACGGGGAGCGATTAGGATGCCGAGGGGAAAATCCGAAGTGATCAAATTCCAATGACAAAATGCTCTGTACATCATCCACAGTGATGCGCGCGCAAACAAGGGGACCCCCCACGGAGCCACATATGTCCTCCACGCGATACGACGACTTTTACACGGTGGCATTACGCTTAACGCGATAAGCCTCCTCGGATTACGGGCCCGTTCTTTTCTTTTTTTTTTTTCACCCGCATTTTCCACCGGAGAAAAACCGAGGGGCGGCGATTTTGATCGATCACCCATCTAACTCACTCCTGGGACTTTTTTATTTCGCAGTTAGCATCGACGGCGCCCCTGCGTCATTATTTCGTTTAGGTCCAGACGAGAGCTTTAAGAAAATTTGGATGACTCATCGAATGATTTTGAATTAATTCCTTGGTTTGGTCACAAAAATTGCATGATTTATCTAGTAAATAAAATTACCGGGGTATTTAATTAACCGAGTATAACATGCTCTTCTCCATGGTATCGTCAAATTGGCAGGAACGTTCAGCATCCTCTTAGAATCTCGCTATAAAATATTATTTACCACTTCTGCAAACAGGAATTATTTCAAAATAAGTACAAAACGGGTTAGAACAACGCCGGGCGTAATTTATAATTTATACCGAAGTTCTCTTGCGACGAAATAATAATCATTAAGCACCGTAAATAGATCATACCATATTGCGCACGCAGTATCTGTTTCTCTCCTTGAACGTTTTATATCCGACCCCTAGCAACGCTGGGTTTTTCATTCTAGCACTTCGATGAGCAGAGGTTTATCGCCTTAATTTCTCCCTTTCATCTCTTAGAATATGCATTCGTAGGAAGGCCGGAAACGCGAAGAGAGTGTCCCGGAATGTTTTATCCCGCGCAGGATCTCGGCCGGTAAAATAGGTTATGTGCAACATCGCTCATCCGGCGATCTCCGGGAATTCGCGGATACACGAGGGAGCGTTGAATGCTTGATGATGGAGTTTCACGAGTGGGGCCTCCCCTCTCCTCCATTTTGAATTGATACCCCCACCCGTGCGCCCCCCTCCCCGGCTCTTATCTCCCTCCTTATCTGTTGCATGCCCCTCTCTTCGGGAGGCCCCTCGACCAATGGGCGTCGAGGAGAACCGGATCCGCCCGAGCTAAGAGGGAGCGAGAAGGAGCGAAGCCCCGCGAGCGCGCTAGACGAGGACACCGATAAGCTATAGAGGGAGCGAGAAGGAGCGAAGCCCCGCGAGCGCGCAAAACAAAGACACCGATAGGCTACAGCGGGAGTGGGCGATAACCCGAGGAGAGAGACGCGACCCTCGTCTCACCTGACCATCTATTTGCATTAATTAAGACTCGTGACTCTACTACTTAACATTAGTTGGGAAATACTTTATCCCCTTAATTTTGCCATTTTATACCCAATTTCCGATAAAAAGAACCCTTGGATGAGCATGCGTACATAACAGGACGCGAGATTAAGAAGGGGAAGGGGGAGGGGTGGGTGAAGGGAAGGCGATGCGAAGAAAAGAGAAAGAGATAGGTGGGTAGATAATGTCGGGCGGAGAGGGGCAGGGGGGCAAGGGGGAGAAAGAGACGGGCGAGATATTCCCCTCTCGACTTCGCTCAGACTTTCTCCTGTGACCAAAGTATTGACCCAATCCGCGCTCGTGGACCACTCGGTCCATCATGGCCGCCGAGCGTTATCCCGAGTTATCTACAGGGCGTGTCAGTGCACGGGACTCCCTCCGATACGCCGTACTTCTGTACGCTCAAATGCAACTCGAACTCGATCCTGGGGTCCCTAGACGTACGACGTCGACCTCGGATTCTACTTTAGGATATTCCACATCGATCGCGAGGAGTCCCTTGGAGGGAGGGCTCCCGAATTTTAATCGGCTAACGCAATTCCCACGTCTTAATCTTCTATGTAAACCTATAAATGCTAAATGCTAAATAGAATGGGGTAAGTATTCGCAATCAGCATTTGCGCCCGCGTACTGGAATATATAATATCCGTCGTATAGGAAAAACCGTGGAAATAAATCCCGCGGGATATTTCACGGGTTTTCTAATCCCAGGTCCGGGGGCAGGAGGAAGAGCCAGGGGGCGGGGGAGGAGGGTTTTATTTCCGAGATGGACGAACGGTGGGTAGGACCCGGCCAGATCAGAGGTCGTAACGGCGCGGTGCCCGGCACCTTATTGCCACCTATCCTCCCTCTCCACCCTCCACCCGGTGCCCCCTCCGTCCCCCCACCCCTCTTCCCCCCCTGCGCCCGCCCGCCCGGTTTACGTGGGTGGGCACCCTCTCGTACACCCCTTCTCTGTGGGTACGTACGTGCGAGCGAGTTGCTGGTATATTCCCCGGATACGAGAAAATCTTGCCACCTAACTCGAGATTAGCACCAGGGCCGCAACTGCCGCTCACCTGCCAGTTTCCTTGGTATACGTTTACCGGAAGTGTGACTTTTCTTTCTGACATTTTGTTTGCAAAAACCAGAGCTGTTCGGAAAGATAAACAAATTCCGAAATCGTCTAAATTTGGATTTTTTGACTCTAATGGCTTCTCTGACGCTAGGGAAATTCAGAGCCTCCTAGAACCTCAAAAACGTTAAAATAGTAATTTTTGGAATTTGTTTATTTATTTAATAGCTCCGGTTTTTATGGAAAAAAAAAAAAATTCCGTAAACAGAACTCAACGTGGCGCAAACGTCTACATCAGAGAAACGTTCCAATAAAACATATTGTCGTCACTGTTGGAACGAATGAGCAGTATAGAATTTGTTGTTGAAAAGAATATTGCAACAGGGAATGGAGTTTTCGAGATACCGCGGGAAAGTAATCGTTTCTTGTTACGACTGTGAATCTTTTTTCTTTTTTTCTCAGAGGGTGAATATGGCGTTTCTAGTTTATACTTTCCGATGGCTTGGGACGTGTATACTCGGAGTCCCAATGCGGACGGGCTAAAAAATGGTTAGCTTCCCGAGAGATGTCGAGGTGACTCTTGATTCCAGGTGAGAATTCGCCTGGCGAGGCTTGGGCTGCGTCCCTGCACCTTGGTAATATCCCTGCCCAAGGCGGCCATGTTACATCCCTCGCCGCGGTAACCGCCTAGCCGACTAATAAGTTTCATCCCCCGCGTAGTGAGCACCAATTATGAACTCGCTCCGGGCGTAATTAAAAAATGTAATTTCATCCCCGACCGTGCCAGGGGTCTCTACCTCCCCTTGCGCGCACATAACCTCGCTCCGGATGTTACTCCGAGATATTAGCGCGTCTCCACCTCCCCCCCAAATCCCCATGAAACCCCATAAAACTCGTTCGGTCCGTGGGTCCCTTATCCCAAAAAATTCCACGTAGGAGCTCGCGATCGTTAAATCGGAACGCACCCTGGATGCCAATTTATTTTCCTGGGACACCCTGCGCGGGGTGTCCTCGGGAAATAATTCCCCTCCACCCTCGCAGCTTCCGGTTGATCGACTCGGAGTACCTTTCCCTCGTTGGTCTCGAGACAAAGGAGGAGCCCTCGGGCCCGGAATAACTCCGGGGTAACACCCTGCCTCCTCATGGCCCCCATTATGGCCCTCCACCCCCAGGACCGGAGAGGGGAGGGATGAATATAATACGCCGGAAGTTTATAACCGAGTTAGCGAAATCGCGCGAGCGAGCTACGAGGGCCCTGATTAAATTAGGGCATGATCGCGCGGAATAGCAGATATTAAAGTCGAGGGTGCGAGGGTCTTGCGGGGATGTCCCAAAATCCCCGACGAGGAAGTCGAGAGAAATAAGAAAAAAAAGAGAAAGAATTCGGTTCTTCTGGTAATGATCGACGTTATCGAGGGAGCGGTCACTCGCGGCCGGGTCGCATCTGGACCCGGGAAGATGATACGATTCTCAGGGCAGTCGTCAGTGGCGTAGGCACGGTTGGGCGACACTCGAGATCCTCTTCTATGGGGTCACAAGTGGTCCCCGTCGATAGGGCTACTTAGGCCCGAGAGCTTTACGACGTGCCGACAGAGGGAACAGACGGCGCTCTGTCTTGGGAGCCACTCGCACCGGAAACTTCAATAAGTTGCTCGTCTTCGGGACATGCCTCCTCCCTCTCTCTCTCTCCTCAGTGAGGCTTCAAAACCCCCGAAAACGCGAGCAACCGTTGTGGCCTCTAATCGCCGCCTACTGCGAGTCGGGGAAAAATAAAAAACGCATTTAACCCTTTCGATACTACGGGTGACTATAGTCGCCCATTCGATACTGCGAAAAAAAAAAAATTCTTGGGTAGAACTTTACAACTAGGCTCAAAGGTAGAACGAACGAAATTAATTACTTTTCCTTATTGGACCAAAAGAAAAAATTTCAAGATTTGGATCGTTCGTCCGGAGGGCGCAAAAAATGAATCTTGAGCTCCGAAAGCTCATTTCAGGAGCTCATAATGGACGGCTTAGGATTTCCTCCTTTTCATTAAAATCGATCAGCCCTGATGTCATGAAAGCTTTTGACTGTCGCACTTTTTATCTTTGATGCGTTCCGGGTAATTTTCAAACTCTGGTCGCCTTACCGCAATTGTTGGTTTATTTATTCCTGTCTACCTCGTAAGTGGAGATGGGATCGGTTCTTAGGTTGAAAATGTTGAGCTCAGAGGTTGTCAATTACGCGTTCTCTCCCTCCTGTCCGATTCTAAAAAAGATACGAAACGGACTTAACAGCCTGTTATATATATCGAAGGTGTCGACGGTGTCAGGTTATCGCGAATTGAAAGGATAAAATTACCGGCGACCTCCCGGCCCTATACGGCGCGGCGGGGGCGAGGCACGAAGCGATTTTTTATGGGCCCCATAAGCCAGACACCGCTCTTAATGGGAGCCGAGAGAGTCGCGGGGAGAAAAAGGCGAAAAGGGAGTAAGGAACGGTCCGAATCCGGAAATAGAAGGCAGGACGCGTCCGAGGGACGCTCAAGAGCGCTCAAAGGTGCATCCTCGAGTGGCCCACCGTTTTCCTGGCACTAATGCGACCCACTAATTCGATTCCCCTCTAATTTCGTCAACGACCCTCCTGTACTCTCGGCAGTACCGGAAACTACTCGCGGTCGCTTCAGGTTTTATCTTTTACCCTCCATTTCCTGCCCCCGTCGAGGGGAGAAGAAAAAAAAGTGGACCGCTAAAAGGGATTTTTTCACGGCCACGCGTCCTCGCCCGTGCCTCCCACCTTCCTAGAGCATGGCGACGAGGTTGTAACTTTAGACCATAAATACCTACACCTCGCATTGCGATGGAAGGGGTAAATTCGAGTGCCACGTGAGCAGACATAACAAACTAGGGTGCACGTGTAAAAAGATCCGACCTGATCAGATTTTAGACCACGTGTTTTTTTTTTTCGACTTCACCTTGCAGTAGAAGGGGTAAACGAATGCACCACGTGAGACGAAAACTCACCCATGCGGTTAAAACCGTATTCTGTGTACTGAAAATTTCAGAGTAGGAGGTCCAATGCGAGGTCTATATATATATATATATATATGGTATATGGTTGTTACCGAGTGGCCGATCCTTTATCATCTCTCCGATGTCTTACCGTGGTTCGTTCGAAAAGTGTAACGCATCCGATGAAGGGGGGGCCATTAATTCCCACGAAGCTACCGGGTGTTCGGCTATTTCGAGGCTGCGAGCCGCACGGGATGCGGCTCGAGATGTGGCAATTAGCGTGAGCGCACTAAACATCCGTGGACCACGGCATCCGCGCGGGTGTGATCGCCTCTGCCAGAAGAGGAAGAAAGCCAAAAGGAAGAGGAGTCCTCCTTTCATCTCGCCGCGCCGGGCTTCATCCCTCGCCTCCTCTTTATCGTACCTCCGAAAGAGAATCATGCCAGGTCTTGGATCTCCCAGGTGGAAAATCAGGAAGGATGATAGTTAGACTTGTCTACGAAAGTACTCACTACTGTAGGATCTATCGGAACGTCACGCTTCTATGTTCAAGGGCTAACTAAGATATTCCATGTTGGCCCAATAAAGGAAAAATTGGGCAAAATTACACTGGATGGAAAATTTAATTTTTTTGAGGGGGGGCCTTAGACCCTAACGGGGAAAGCATATATCAAATTAGCGTGGATAAATACATTGTCTTGGATGCCAAATTAAATCCCAACTACGTTTCAATATATTGTTGACCAGAAAACGTTATCTCGGGTGGAGGACCGAATCCTAAGGCCTACTCTAGTCTCAACTCGGAGTCCTTACGTGCACTGAGGAAAAAAACAAATGCATTGAAGCAAAGAAATACTTTTTTTAATTCGGAGAATAATTATTTGAATTACCAAATATTTCATTGGTCCAATGACATGTTTTTCTCTGGGTGGAAATCCTATCCAGAGTCTGATAACCTCCTACTCAATTTTCCACCCTATCTTTCATCGAACCGATTTAACAAAGAGGAACGCGTGAGTATCCATTAGTCGCCTGGGAAGACATACCCGAAGTACTTACAAACGATATAAAAAAAAAAAAAGAACACTGTGAACGATAGCGCCTTATCGAGACGACGTCACGTGGCTCCCCGCCGAATCTTCCCTCTCTCACGGTCGACCCACTCTGGAACTCTCGAGAACTCAGGGGGCGTAAAAAGAGGAAATAGAAGGCGTGAAAAAGCCGAAGTTATCGTCGAGTTCGTGAAAAAAACTCACCCCGGCTGACGCTACGCGTAAGAGCGGGCCGACCTCCGTGTCCCGGTTCCACTTTCCAGTGGAACTCTCTACGCTTTTTCCTCTCGTGCCTGCCTTCAATTCCGGGATTTCCCGAATAAGGGGGCGAGTTAACCCGCGATGCGTATGGGACGATGGAAACGAAATGGGAAATCGGTAGGGAAAGACCACCGGGGGTGCCGTCGAAGGGGCCATCGGAGGAACCGCCGCGAGGAGAGGGCGATGCCCTTGACTCGGCGGGGCCGCGAATCCATTAGGCCCGCCGTAAACGTCGCTTTGTCGTTTTGTCGTACCAATAAAAGAGTCTCCCGCCGCACCCGCACTAACTTCTGGATACTCCCTCGATAATTAGCTCGCTTTTCCGCTGTCGGAGGGCGATCGGTGGTGCCGAACCCTCCACGCGTTAAGATCGATTTTCCTGCCCGATACGTATCGGTTCCGACTGGTGTGAAGCCATTTGCATACGTATGGAAGGAGAGATTATCGAAAGGTACATTTAGAAGTGGCCAAAAAGGAATTACAAGCCGACGAAAAGTTCTCTGCATTCTGTCATCCTTTAATCTTGACTAAAAGATGCCAAAATTCTGTTTCTTGTTTTTCCCGACTATATGCCATAACCACCCGTAGCGCAATGGCGGCCGTCTCGTCAGCTGATCCGCCACGTCACCTCGAGACTTTGAGGGTCGATTTCTCAGCCAATCGGCACGTAATTTAAATCCTGCTTTGACCATTCCTTCCAGGCCGTTTGAACGTATACAGAGAATAAAAAAAAGCGATAATTACCGGGACTCGAGGTGTTCCATTAACCTGGTGCAAGGTAAAGGCAGGCCAACCTGGTGGGCGATTATCGGCTGGCAACGAGGGGCCCGGAAAGTTAATCACCGATCCACGCGTTAATGCACTTAAACCCTGCTCGGGTGTTTCGTCGAGCTCGGTCGGAACGACCCGAAGGAAAAGTCGGCTAATAAAGGCGCGCGGGGGGTCCAATCCAGGGTCCATGAGAAGGAGGCTCGCTTTGTTGGCTCAACAAAGTGCCCGGGGAGGGGGATGTTAATCCAAGGTCAAAGGGATGCAATGCAAAGGGAATGCGGTACCGTACTACCCCGAGATTCTCCGTAGGACTCGGTCGTATACTCGCTTTCCCCGGTAGGCGGCGCGCCCCGACTAAATTGACTTAACCTCGTCTAACCTAATCCAATCTAACCTAGCCCAATCTAACCTAATGAAAATTATGGATCGCCCGATACCACGAGGTCCAACGATTCGTTATCTGCCTGTTACCACTTAATTAACCCGACAGATTTTCGGCCACGCGTTCCCGAAATCGTACCGCCAGGGGGCAGTGCGGCCGAGAATCGGCTTCGACCCTAATAATGGTGACGACGCTAATAAAAAGCTACCTCGCGGCCGGTCCATTGTCCGAGTAAGCGGATTAGGCGCCAGTCGAGTTTCCAAACAACCTGAGCACCGACCGACGACGAGCTCGGGGCTAATAGGATTAACGCCGACTAATAATCATTGTTAGGTTAGGTCGGCCCTCCCGCTTGACCTATGACTCTCCGCCCCTCCCAGTGGAGTTTCGGGGTCAACGCCAAATGACTGCGACCACGGACTCCGTCTAATCCAACTCTCCATTATTTACTATCTTAAACAACTTGCCCAGAGACGTAACCAACAAATCGATTACGGGTTGACGCCACGTGGAAATAAATGTTCGGGTGCCCTTTCTAGAAAACCACTAGTTCCTTTAACGAAATGCAACCCGCAACCCTTATGTACTAAAGGTGTAGGAGTTTTATTAATTTTCTTAACAGTCTGGGGTCCAGAATGGAGAATCCCGGGGAAGAAATAAAATGCCGGAAACGCGTGAACGCGCGATCCGCGTTCACGCGTTTTGCCCAGAGACGTAACCAACAAATCGATTACGGGTTGACGCCACGTGGAAATAAATGTTCAGGTGCCCTTTCTAGAAAACCACTAGTTCCTTTAACGAAATGCAACCCGCAACCCTTATGAACTAAAGGTGTAGGAATCCAGAATGGAGAATCCCGGGGAAGAAATAAAATGCCGGAAACGCGTGAACGCGCGATCCGCGTTCACGCGTTCACGCTGTCCGAGCGGATATACCTGGAGGTCGGTGGAGGTAGTATGGATTTTACATAAAGCCGCGTTTACATCGTACACGCGGCTAAATTAGGCGCTTAATCAAACCGTTTAATCAGCGACATGATTGCGACCACATCTGCTCGGGCTGTTCGCGCCAATTATCCGGGGGCGCATGCGCCCCGCGCGCCCCGCGCGATCGATGCGCCCCTACCGCCGATAATCGGAATCGAATCGTCATCGAAACAGAGCCGAAGCCCCGTAATCTAAGGGAGGTTAGCTTTCCTTGGAAGGTAAGTAGGAATCGTCCCCAGCCGGCCAATCCCGTTACTCTTGAGGGCCTCCTCGTAAAATTGCGAGTCGTAGGAGGTGTCGAGTCCTCCCCGGCATGGAAAACGTCGATTGACTTTTGGTCGAGGGAAGAATTAAAGTTAACGAGGGCCCTTTCTTATGCCAGGGGCCCGCTTTTATTGTCGTCGTTAACTTAATATCTAGGACGGCCAGGAGAGCCAACCCCGATATATGGGGCCAAATCCGAAATAGCGGTTGCCATTCACCCGAGGACTTTGACAAATCCCAAGGAGGGATTCCCTCCGTGTTTACGGTAAATAGTCGAAATTCTCGAAATACTCGAAATAGTTGATACCAAGTGACCCGTACCCTAAGGGGAAACGCGTGCACGGATAATTCCTAGAAATCGACTTGGAATGTATCGATCGAATATTGCGACACTAATAATCAAAGTTCTTCTGTAGACGGTTAAGCCGATTATGTCGTTTTTACACCATGGCGGCCGATAATCCAGGAACGCTCCTGACCGCAATTTACACTCAATGGACAGTATCGAAAAATATATAAATCAACAGTGTACATTGTTTAACTTAGCGAAAGGAGACCATGACCACATTTTGGTAATATTCCTTTGGCAATAATCACTTTACGTAGTGCTAAACTTGATTTGCGCTATTCTTTTATTTTTCCGGGAATTGTTTCAAGTATTACCACGTGACTATGTAGGCTGTGAATAAGGTCCTGAGGACCACGAAATTTAAATTTTCCAAAAATATGTTTATAGACATTTTCTTGTTATAAAAAAAAATAAAATATCGTGGGTGTCAGCGTATTAATATTGTAAAGGTCGAAATGAGTCGGTACACTCAGTTCGGAGATATGTTTCATGAACGATCGAACCTTCAGATGCCACTTTCGCGTCCCCTTAAAACCTCGCCAGAAAAAACCCTTCAAATGTACGACAAAAACCCTAAAACTCTCTGTTCACCCTTTAACGGTCGAATTTGCCTCGGCTTGTTAACGATAGAGTAATAATCCTAAGTCCAGGGTTGTTGGAGAGAAAGTCCGTTGGTCTTTCTCCTTCCTTCTCCGTTCCCGCAAAAACGCGACCGAGAATCGGCAAGCTAAGCGGATTAGGGAAGTAATCGAGAAAAAAATTCCAGTTTCCCAGAAAAGGGTTGAGGACGGAGAGGGTTAGCGTTTATGACCAAGGGGGTGGTTTGTTTTGCCGTTATTGCCCGAAAGAATGGTTCGGGACGTTAAGCCACTTATTTCGGTACTCGATTTGGCCAAAAAATGAGCCATCTCAGCTTCTTAAGGTGATACGAAAGCCTCATTCTTTATAGCTACATGAAACGTCAAAACATTGATAAAACCTTCCTCCAACCTGGGTGCACCGAATCATTTGAAACTACAATACGTGATTATGAAGGCCCTTCGGACGAATCTAACACCCATAAAATTATTCATTTTTTATATACAAAATTAAAGAATTGTATATGAGATTAAAAAAAAAAAGCAAGGAAATCTCACGGACCCCAGAGCCTTCCTTAGGGCGTCTAAATTCACGTGGTGGAATTCCAAACTATTCAATTCGCCTTAAACTAACCTCAAAATATCAAATCCAAGAACCGAACCCATATCTCAATTTATGAAATGAAGACCAACGAATCGAACAAAAATTTCAGCTTAGTAATAAAAAATGATTGCGAAAGGCCACTCTGAATCGAAATTGAACCTTGACATCGACATCTCTCGTAGAGTCCAAAACTACGAAAGGACTTAAAAATGGGGAAAAATATTTCTCTCCTAAATCTCAAGGTCGTATATCTAGTTTGTTGCTCCCGGGAATGACGGGCGTTGATTTTCCTCGAAGGGCGCGGCTTCGGCTTCGTTTCGGAAGAATTGAATAAGACCGACCCAGTTTAGAGTGCCCGTCGTATTTTACGCAATTACGCGCGAAAAAAGGTGCGCCCCAAAATAGCGCAACGGTTTTTCCGAAAAAGGAAGCCCGAAAAAGTCTGGCTGATCCCGTTTCCCGGCCGCAGTAAAGCCGATAAGTTCGCCTTTTCAACGATGAAATATGGCGGCCATTGCGCACGGTTGCTCCAGTTTTGGTCAGCTTTGCGCACCCCCCTGAAGGTAGTCGCAAGTGGTCCTTGACCGTTTTTGGCCAGCCACAATTCTCGGTTCAACGGAAACGACATACCAGTATTTCTTCGTCTCGTCAAAGTCACGGAACACTCTTCATAAGAAGGAAAAATAACATAATGAAATAAAGTCATTAAGGCAAAAAAAAAACAAACGATAAAAATGTGTAAAAATATATATGTCAATATTTAAAATATGCACTATATATATGCAAACCTATGAAAAAGGTACATGGGAAGTACATGTTATGGAGTAACAATCACCGCCATACTTTGAATAAAAATACCCTGTTAATTTATATAATTATTGGTCATTTTGATGCCACGATAAATTGCAGTAAAATTACGTAGTTTCTGTAATATCACATTGAATTCAAGTAAAAATGCCCCGACAGGGTAAATATGCAATGTCAGGTGTATTTACAGATCTAATGTGTAATTCTTCCCCATTTTACGATTTTCTATGCGAGATATGAGTTACGAAGTGTGCAAGAGTGTACGTAAATTTCCATGGATTTTTATCAGGGTACCCGCTTCAGAGTCGTCCGAAACTTCGACAAGATGGAAAATCGAGGAATGGAAAAAAAAAAAAATTCCAAGACCATTATCCACGGGGAATATTGTAGATGTTACCTAGGGGATTCCAAGAGTCCGTAAAACGATTAACGAGGGCGAGCCTGGCTGGTAGGGATTTCTCTCAAGGCCCGAATCGTAAAAACATTTAAAGTAGAGCAAAACTCGTAGAAAATTCTTTACGACACCGCGGTCCTCCGAAAAGTCGGGGAGTACCGAGGATTTCGAGGTCGCTTCTCTTTTTCCCTATTTTGCCATGGGTTTAGGGTCCTGGGTTCCTCGTTGGCGAATTCGAGGGGAAATTTTGCGTCACACCCGACGGTACCTCTCGTAAAAGCGTTTCAGAAATATTCTAATATATACCGTAGACGCTTTCCCCCATGTACATGAAATGTACGGAGCACGTGCACTGATCTGACTATGAAGACAACGGAACCAAAAGAGAGAAAATGAGAGACCGTTTCCTCGCTCCTTCTCTCGTTTTACGTGAACTGGTTGCGCGAAGCAAAATGGCGAATGGTGTTTTAGAAATATTCTAATATATACCGTACACGGTTTTCCCCATGGAATTAATTTTCGCGAATGGAGAGACTCACGCAAACGTACCTACTTCCGAAAAACGTTAGAGACGAGATGCCGCTATTTCTAATTTCCTTTGATCACTTCACATGTACATAACTGCGGAAGATCCTCTGCATTTTTATAGAAGCTCTAAATTATTTACGTATCATTCATTCTCTGACACGCTTCAAGCGATGAACATAAAACGGTGTACCTTTCCCTTTCTCGTATCTACAGGAGCGCCCCTAAATACGCCTTTCATCCCCCTCCGAATATGAAAAGTCTCGAAGAAAATGTCGGGAGAGTCATCGTCCCGAATCCGTAACGCGCCCCCCGGCTCGTAACGAATTTAAACGCGGAAATAATTCGCCATGATCCGTCAGGTCGAAGACGCGGCTGATCTCTCCTAACAATATCGTCCGGAGGCAGGAGCGGGTCAGGCGGGTAGCGAGGGGGCGTGGCCCGGGCCGGGCGCCCGGCCAATCAGGGCGCAGGCCTCCGGCCGCCGACCAATGGGAGCGCGGGCTTTCCACCGAGCGCTGCCCCCGCGGTGCCGAATATATAAACCCTCCGCGCCGAGCCGGTGCGACTCAGTATCTCCGGGACAGCCAGGTCTGACGGATTGGAAGCCTGGCTGAGCCGGGTAACATCGCTCGCAAGTGACAGTGGGGGACGCCCGAAGTTAACCTCGTCAAGAGTTACTCCGAGTGGGACTAATTGACGTTCTTATCCGAGTTGCGAAAAGTGAATCCGTAAAAAGTAGCCATGCAGGGTTATCAACGGAATTTCGAGGACCAGCGGGAGGAGGAGACCATCGTGGTCGACCTGGTGCCGCCTCAGTACCAGCTCAGTCCTCCTCACAGCCCTCCCTCCGGGATGCCAAAAACGCCAGAGAAGGGTGGGTCTTTTCTCGATTCCTCTCTTCCTTCGCACATACAAAAACATTAAAATCTTTGCACAAAATCGGCCGCGTTAGGTTCATCTCGTGAATTCGATTAAATAAATCGAATTTCCGTCCACTCAGTTTCTCATTTAAATAATTTCAGAAAACATTTCGCGATCGAGCAAATATTATTAATCCATGAATTTCTTAGCATCGATTAATAACCATATTCCAGGGTTAAGCAAAAAGCATTGTATCGACTCGATGAAATATTTTCCTACGCATCAGCTGTTCCGCAAACAAGTTAATGGGGCCCTTAGAAGGAAACGTCAAAAAATTCGTTCGCACGTGGTCAGCCGTTAAGGTGATGTGAAAGTGGCGTCGAAGAGCTTTTATTCATAAAACTTATCTCCCAACTCGGTTTACCGAATGGTTTGAAACTTTACTACGTGAATAAGTAAACTATAAGGAAGGTCCTGAAACTCATGGAATTTCAATTCTTCTCACATTTGTTAATAGGTATTTTAAAAATAGTTTATAAAAAATGAAATTTCGGGAGTTTCAGGACCTACCTTAGGGTCTTCACGTTTTAGAGTATGAAACGATTTGAGACACCCAGTTGGTATAAAAGTTTTATGAACGATTGAGCTTTCGGGTGGCACTTTCACGTCCCCTTAAAAAGATGATTAAAAATCAGGGACAAATTCCGCATCGTCCTCCCGTGGCTCGTCTCGCCTCTTCCCGGTTTGAAGTTCGCCTTCCCACCGATTGAACAGCAATTAGCGTACCGAGTTGATTCGTATTTACTCTGGGCATTTGCTCTAAGAGATGTACCGAGTGCGCTCGCCCTCGGGGAATGATCGACTCGTACCGATTGTATTAGGGTGTCCCATAAGTTCCTTCCGCATCGTGTATTCATGTACTACGAAAAAAAGGGAAGAAACTTATGGGACATCCTAATATATCCGGAGCCGATTTTAGGCGTCATGGCAGGTAGTACCCCTACCGATGATTAGGCTGCCCGATCCAATTGATCAGTCGGTGAACATCGTCGAGGCCGAGGGTCCCGGTCCCCATAAACCAATACTCGGCACCTTTCAATCCTTCCAGGAAGCCGGAAAAGCGCCTCCACCACCCCCCCGGATCGGTTTATTGCGGTTATTATTTTAGGGCCCCCGGGCCTGATTCGAGGAAGGAGGGAAAACTCGGGTTTATTACGAGAGATGGGGACCGCTCTCCCCTGGGCCCGAGGAACCGCGTTTGCCTTTTCAACTCCACCCCTTCTCTTGGGAAAAAAAAAAAAAAGAAAAAAAATCTCACGTGTCAATGATAAGAGTCAACGAGACCTCGGAGAGGTGTATCGTGAAATCGTAAAATCCCCGTTCGCGTTATCCTTTTTTTTTTCCCTTGTCAGGAATTTCCGAGAGAATTTATCTCATTTTTTATGCTACCGTTATTAACATCCTGAGAGTTACGAGGGTGGATCTCGAGAGGAAAAACTTTTCATCTGTCTTCGATATTATATCACTCGCTGTAAATACCCTGTCAATAGTTAACTCTCACGTGGGCACGTCAGAAATTAATACTAGGATTTCGGATATTTTTTTTTTTTTACACTTATCTACGGACCCCCGCTAAATTGACGGGGGAACGGAATCTCTCGTTTTCTTGAAAGGATCGATTTGTTTCATTTAGAAACAACTTGATCATCCCCCTTCCCCGTTAATTTTTACATTTAGTTATGTGGTCTCGCATAGTTACATAATGAATATAATCTGTTAATACAGTATATTTAACGTCCCCTCGAGTCTCTCCGAGAGCGAATCCCGTCGGTCCGAAAATTTTTCTACAGAGTAAAACTGGGAAGAAATCACTATAAGGTGGAGACGCACCTGAGAGTAACCTCGTTCAGAGTCCCTCTCCCGTGGAGACGAGCTTTAGGACGAAAGGAAGGTCCTCCGAAGTCCCGACTTCCGGTCAGTCCGAATCTGCCCGACCGAACTTCCGTTTCCCGGGGCTCCTATCTTATCACCGGAGATAGCCAGAATTCGCTCCTCTGGCCGCTACCAGCTGGCCGGTCACAAAACTGGCCAACTGGGCGGACCCGATTGCTAATCGGGTAGAAATTAATTATTCATTCTCAAGGTCGAATCGCGAGGAAATCCCGAAGGTGCCGTGAAAGTTAGAAGTTCGGGGAGACGTGAGCAAAGCGAACGGTAACGACTGCTTGCTCAGTTTTTTATTTCTTTTTTTTTAATTTTTTTTCCTCTCGAGATACTAAAGCCTCGTTCACGTTTATTACCCTAGAGGAGGGAAGTCGGGCGACGGGTATCTAAACTAAACTCATCTCCGTGAAACAATGATCTTTGCTTAACTCTTGGATTAACTAATGTTAATGCAGGGTAGGACGGTCAGGAATATGGTCTCTAAGGTACTCTCAATTCTATTCTACCCGTGGAAACGTAGTATAAACGGTATTTCTCGAATTCGATTACAGAGTCGCCAAACTCGCAGCAGCAGCAGCAACAGCAGCCGCTGTCGTCGATGGACCCGAACATCCGCAGATACAGGACCGCGTTTACCCGGGAACAATTGTCCCGGCTGGAGAAGGAATTTCACCGGGAGAATTACGTGAGCAGGCCGAGGAGGTGCGAACTCGCGGCGCAGCTGCACCTGCCCGAGTCCACGATCAAGGTGTGTACCAGTTCCATTTAATTCGTACCAGTTCCATTAAATTCGTACGAGCTCTATTCAATTTGTACGAGTTCCATTTAATTCCCACGAGCTCCATTTAATTCGTACGAGTTCCATTCAATTTGTACGAGTTCCATTTAATTCCCACGAGTTCCATTCAATTTGTACGAGTTCCATTTAATTCGTACCAGTTCCACTAAATTCGTACGAGTTCCATTCAATTTGTACGAGTTCCATTTAATTCCCACGAGCTCCATTTAATTCGTACCAGTTCCATTTAATTCGTACGAGTTCCATTCAATTTGTACGAGTTCCATTTAATTCCCACGAGCTCCATTTAATTCGTACCAGTTCCATTAAATTCGTACGAGTTCCATTCAATTTGTACGAGTTCCATTTAATTCCCACGAGCTCCATTTAATTCGTACCAGTTCCATTTAATTCGTACGAGTTCCATTCAATTTGTACTAATTCCTACCAGTTTCATTAAATTCGTACGAGTTCCATTCAATTTGTACGAGTTCCATTTAATTCCCACGAGCTCCATTTAATTCCTACCAGTTCCATTAAATTCGTACCAGTTCCATTAAATTCGTACCAGTTCCATTAAGTTCGTACCAGTCCCATTAAATTCGTACCAGTTTCATTAAAAGCGTACCAGTTCTATTAAATTCGCACCAGTCCCATTAAATTCGTACGAGTTCCATTCAATTCGTATGGCGACACGAGCCGTCGAAAAACGCACCGCGAATCTCCAACCGGTCGAGAGGGGAGAGCAAGGTCCGGTTGTTCGGCGATCGGTAGATTAAGAGGAGTAAACGGTCCATTACCGCTTCCGGGGACTGTTTACACGTACTCCGCTCCTTCGGTACGCTCTGACTCGTGTCGCGGCATCAACGCGGGTCTTAACCCTTCCTTAACCTCAAATATGGTTTCTCTGTCCGGAAGAACGCGTCGCGAGCATAGCATATATAGCCCAAAAAAGTAAATAAAAATATATACCCCAAAAACAGAAAAAAAAAGCAGTACATCTTAAATAAAAAAAAAATCATATGGATCAGAGATTGACGTACGTTATTTGGGGTGGGACGAAGAGATAGCGAGGCAATGTCGGTTCTAAATCTTTCCCAAAACCAGGACGAGGGGGATCTAGTCGAGAAAGGAGAAAGACGGGATTCGGCCCGTCGAGGAGGGCCGCGATGATTTATCCGCACGTCCTGGCTCTTTTTCGCAGCCGAGGCTTTAATGAAGGCAATTAGCGAGTTTTTGCCGGGCTAACGTCACGGCGGTCTCTTCCCTCCTCGTGGCCGCGGGTCGATCGGCGAACGTAACCTCGAAACGGCGCGAAGAGCGTCCGAGGAGCGGCGTTTTTGTTAAACGAGACGATCACCGAGAGCAAACACGGGCCGACGTAACAGCCCGCGAGGACCGGCCCGTTTCTACGTTAGAACTCGCCGGTTGCTAAGCGCCTTAATTGACGGACCGACCCGGGCTTTACGATTCAAGAAAGTTTACCCTCGACGTTTCTTCGCGGCGTTGTTTCGGGGTTCACGGTTGTCCAGGATGGTTCCGTACAAGTCCAACGTGGCGAGTACTTCGCGAGCATTTTATCGGGAAGAAGTGGCTCACGGTTGCCCGAGGCGGTTTCGTTAAGGGGACGTGAAAGTAGCATCCTAGAGGTTATCGAGACGTATCGAATTTTACAACTTAAATATGGACTCTACAAGGAAGGCTCCCGACACTCGTGAAAAATTCATTTCTTATATATTTTAAAAGGAGCTATAGAGAAATTAAAAAAAAAAAAAGAAAACTTGTAAATTCACGAGTTTTAGGACCTTCCTCCCAGTCTCCAGATTCACGTTGTAAAGTTTAAAACGATTCGGTAGGCTCAGTTGGGAGGAAAGTCTTATAAACGAAAGCTCTTCGACGCCGCTTTCGCGTCACCTTAACCACTTGCGCTACGATTTAACTTTCGGTTGCCGTGCCGCGCTCTACAATATAACATGCGGTATAACATCCGTACAACATACCCTATCGATTCTGAAATATTTCCAAGATATCGATGACGCTACGCGATGTCGTGCAGTCTGGAACTGTAGCTCGAATAATGAACGATCCAACTGTTAGACGACGTGCCGGACACATCGATTTTGTTTCTGCGACAAATGCCTATCGACGTGGTATACATGTCGCTGGCAGTTTTGGAACAAAAGCATCTCGACGTGCGTGGCACGTCTTTATAGCGCAAGTGGTTAAGTCCAACATGGCGGACACGGCGTCCCTAATTTCGCTTCGTAAAATCTAAGATGGCGGATATCGCGCGGAGTGGAATCTCGAGGTCCCCGAATCTCGTCCTCTTGGCGTGGGAGGAACAGATCCCTAACGTTTGTTTCATTGTTTACAGGTGTGGTTCCAGAACAGGCGCATGAAGGACAAGCGGCAGCGCATGGCGATGGCGTGGCCGTACGCGATGTACACGGACCCGGCGCTGGCGGCGACGCTGCTCGCTGCGGCGACCGCGACGTTGCCACCTCCGGCGTACCACGGGGCGGCAGGGTTGCCGACGGCGCACCTCGCGCCGAGCTACCCCGCGGCCGCGGCCGCGGCCTACTACGCGGCGCGCTACAGCCCCTATCCGGGGCCACCGACCGCGCCGACCTCCGCCTCGGCCGGCCTGCACCGTCCGCACGCGCAGGCGCCGAGCTACCCCCACCCGCACCTCGTGCAGCCGCACCCGGCACTGCCGGCGCTGCCAGCGCTGCACCTACCTACCCTCGGCAGCGGCTCGCCGTTCGGCCCCCCGCCGACCTCCGCGGCGGCGCCCACCTACCACCGGCCCAGCCTCCCCGAGCTGAGCCCCTCTCACTCCGACACCTCGAGCGAGTGTGACTGCGGGGCCGCGCACCCGCATGCGCATATGCCCCCCTCGGCCAACCCACGTGACAAGGCCAGCCCGCCGCTGAAGCTGCCCCTCGGATTGCCCGCGCAAATTCAAACCATCCAGACGGCCTTCGAGAGCAAGGGCTACACCGGGACGGCGACCAACACGAAGATCGACCCGCCCAAGCTGTTCCAGCCCTACAAGAGCGACGTCCTCGAGAAGGCGTAGGCCATCCTCGGCTCTATACCGACCTTCTGTACATAGAATTGTATATAAAAATTCAAGCCGTGGCGGCTGGATAATCGACGATCACGAGAGAGAACTTTGATCTTTAATCGATTTCACTCGATGACGCTCTGTGTACATATTTATACATATATATATATATATCTCCGGAGATAATTTGTACATTTTCCTGCGTACCTGTACAAAATCGATTGTATCGCTGTGCGAGAATACCAGTCGAGAGAACCTTGTACAGCGAGAGGCTCGATGTTGAGGTAATCTAAGCGTAGCCAGTAGTAGATAGAATTGTACAGTAGGTAGTCTTAAGTAATTTATTTACCCGCCCGTGAATATGTGACGGAACGCTCTACGGAGTTGGCGAACGGGCGCGAGTCACTCCGCGAGGCCTGGGGGATTTTTTGCTGATGAGGGATTCCCTCGGTCTCGCGGAACCTCGCGTCTATCTAACCATTACTTTAGATTGACTGTCACCGCTATGCATATAGTCACCTATGTGTCCGTGTTAAAAACCGAGTCGAGATCGGAGAGAAAATAAATACGAGGGAAGAGTGATATAAAAATGGCCGGTGTCGTTCGTCATTTCAACGATCCCTGACCCTTCGTGAGACGTTAATCGAGGCGAGATAAGGATAAAGGAGAATGGGATAACCCGGAGAAGGTAATTCGATCCCGTGAAATTCGGGAAAGGCGCGTTCACTGCAGCCGGATCCAATTTGAAAACCCGGCTGTAACTCCCCTCCTAGGGCTTTATCGATGGTCCGCCCCCGCGCCCTTAGGGCGGCGTTTACACGGGACGATATGCACGGCTATCGAGGGGTGCGAGGTTACGCTCGGTCGCGGAGGGTTGCCTTTATGGCGGCCCTCCTCGAACACATGGGCCGAATTAAGTAGATATAAATACGCTGACTGCGGGACCAGGGATTTTCACCCATCGGCCAATTACGCCCCCGGACCGAGGATTCGCGTGATCCCGAATAAACGCGACACCAGCGCCGCCCCGCGCCCTTCCCTTGTACTGCTACTACTACCACTACCATTACACACCTACGTTTGCCCCAACAATTCATGAAAAGGGTTCATCCAAAGTGTCATTCCAAATTTGTTAAAAATAAAATCGCGACTAATTTTGAAGATGTGCCGATATATTTTTTATTTCACTCCAAAGGTGCAGAGGGCGAAGGTTAAGCGTGATCCCGAATAAACGCGACACCAGCGCCGCCCCGCGCCCTTCCCTTGTCCTACTACTACTACTACTACCACTACCATTACACGCCTACGTTTTCCCCAACAATTCATGAAAAGGGTTCATCCAAAGTGTCATTCCAAATTCGTCAAAAATAAAATCGGGACTAATTTTGAAGATGTGCCGATATATTTTTTATTACACTCCAAAGGTACAGAGGGCGAAGGTTAAGGGTGAAATTTCAATCTCACTTTTGTCCTTACATTTCCTATTCGCATTTTGCATTGCATCGTTCGTACACTTTAATACAAACATAACATTTTCTACCACCGTGCATCGTCCCGTTTCACAAGCCCCCTAACGTTAAGTTATCACGTTTTACTTAATCAACGAACAATAATCGACGATAAATTGTGTAATGGTACATCATGTAATGGTGAACCGTGCGAAAGTTAATCGGGTAAGAAAGAAGGTAAACGTGCGAACGTTCACGTTGAAAATACCAACCACAAGATGTCATTCCCTCGTGTCTGTTAAAGAGTGAGAATTTCTTAGGGAGACGTCCAATACCACATCTGTACAATTATGAGAACGTATTATATAGGTAATTGAGGAGATGCCGCAGCCTTTGGTTCCGATTAATCGGGTGCGTGCACTCGCATTCGGGATAGGAATAACGTTGATTTGGCGATCTGTGAGCGCTAATGGAGCGAGCCGTGGTGAGGGACAATATTCGCCGGCGAACTTTCAGCCGTCGAATTAGCCAGTGGGACGGCAAGCCGTCCGACCGGCATTTTAGTGGATTAACCGATCACCGTGGGATCAAGCGTTCACCCGAGGATCGGGAGAAATTGCTTCTAGGCGAGCCGAGATTATTTCCCGCTCAGGGTGCGTCGCTGCCCTAAGGCCGGCCCATTAAGGAATTTTCGAATTCCCGGTTTATTGACTTTCACCCATCAACTAGCGCTCATCGCTAGATCTATTCAATCGTCCTCCGGGTACGCGATGTCTTCGGTATCGATGTTCCCATCGATCGCCAGTTTACGGAAGAGGTTGCAATACCGAGGTGACGATACGTTAACCCTCTATGGGCCGAATTTGTCATTAAATAAAAAAAAAATTGGGGGAACGAAAAATCAGCAATTAGGAATCTATATATGCAAATGAAAAAAAAATGTTTCATTTAAAATGTGACCTGAAAGTTACACGGGCCCATAGAGGGTTAAGGTGATGTGAAATTGGCGCCGAAGAGGTTTTGTTCATAAAACTTTTCTCCCAACTCGGTTTACCGAATAGTTTGAAACTCTACAACGTGAATAGGAAAACTATAAGGAAGGTCCTGAAACTCATAAAATGTCAATTCTTTTCTAATTTGTATATAGGTATTTTAAAAATAGTTTACAAAAAATGAAATTTCGCGAGTTTCAGGACCTACCTTAGGGTCTCCATATTCACGTTTTAAAGTATGAAACGGTTTATGACACCCAGTTCGTAGAAAAGTTTTATGAACGATTGAGCTTTCGGGTGCCACTTTAACATCCCCTTAATAGCCCGAAAAGCGTAATCGGCATGAACCATGCAGCATTTCGATTTAAATTCTCGTCGTAGACGATAAGGAGGGAAATTCAAGCGCAACTATTTCCATTGAAATAACATATCCCTTAACCCTTTGCACGCCTTTGTCGAGGGTGACTCGACATGAGTAATGACATCTCAATAATTGGGAGTGCAAAGGGTTAAGGTCGTTTCATTGAACCAAATGTACCAAGGATAAACTGTATTTGTAATAATTTTATCTCTAGTATCGGTTCGGAGGGAGATCGTTAGTGTTCGGATTCACCGTAGCTAGAGAGTTAATAATGGAAGAATCGAAGGATAATGAATCGCAGTCTGTCGCGCAGCTGCAGCGAGAGACGTCAAGAGGTCGCAAGGAGAGCTCGTCGTAAAGTCATAAACCTGCGAAATTTGGGGACCAAGCCCCGGGATTTTCGAGACGGCCAGAAAGGCACTGATCTCCCGTCATAAATGCGCGCCGAGTCGTTTTGTCGCGGAGGCATAAAGAAATGATCGAGGAAAAAATCAGCCGATCCCGGAAGGCAAACCGGGAGGTTAGCACGACCGCTCGTAAACCGCTTAGAGCCGCTTCCAGAGGTCGGACATAACCTCGATCTCGCCCTCCCTGTACAGATTTTCCGCCGCCCACCGATGTCTTTATTGACGTCGGCTTCGAGTTGGTCCTTACCTTCTCTTTCTTATTCCTCTTTTTTCTTTACGTCTCATCCCGGAAAGCGCTTTTCACGCCCGAATCATGGACTCGTATAACGTTTACCACCAATATGGCCGCCACTGGTTTACGGCTCTCCAAAATGACGGTCGGAAATCGGCCCAAACATAACTCAAAATCCCTGACCTATGTTGAAATTATCCGATCTCAGTTAAATATTTAAGATGACACGAAAGGGACATTCAATATGTATGGAACGTCAAAATATGTATAAAAATTTACTCCAAACTGGATGCACCAAATTTAATTTTTCATAAAAAAAAAATGTCATCTTGGTTCTACTCTAGGATAACAATAAACAAAAAAAAAAATTCAATATGTATAGAACGTCAAAATATGTATAAAAATTTACTCCAAACTGGATGCACCAAATTTAATTTTTCATTAAAAAAAAATGTCATCTTGGTTCTACTCTAGGATAAGTAATAAAAAAATTGTTGAAAAATGAAATTTCACGAGCATCGCTTTCTACCTTAGGATCTGCATAATCACGTGTTGATGTTTTAAATGATTCGGTACATCCAGTTTGGAGAAAAGTTTTATCCATATTTTGACTTTATGTGTGTGTATAATGTATGAAGATAACGGTGCCAAAATTGTACATGTAATTAGTATTTGGGTAATTATAGATATAGCAGAGAAATATGGAAGAAAGAAGGGTAAAACGAAAAAGAAAATTAATCACGAGGGTAAATGGACCGGAAGATGGCACGAAAGTTAATTTATTCACCAACGGAGATTTCTTCCCCAACTTGTGCCCTGAAAGTTCCGACAAGTGTCCGAAACGTTCCGCCGTTTAATCGATTTCGTCCCCCCCCTGTGAAGACTCCCGCCTACTTATTTTCGAGTTTATGAAATATTAATATCCAATTTATCCCCCTGATGCGAGTATCATCCCCCCGTTCTAATTCAGCCCTCCGAGGTTGGGTTGCCCATCTACGCATCTATACGCGTCTCTTCTCTTCCCTATCCGACCCTTATCTTATCTGCCCTGCCATTGGATCGTATGTTCCGATATTTCGTATCACAGTTACCGTTAGTGATCCAGGACAACAGATGGCGCCACGGGTTTCCACCGAAATACGTTCGCGGGTACCAGTTACGTCACGCCGGATTATCGCGAGATGTCCAATAAGCGGTGCCCATGAAAAGCATAGTACCCGGGAAGTGAAGTGTCCATTTTTATGCAGTCATGAAACAACTCTGATTATAATAAAAATTTGCTAAACGCCAAAGCCATTGACGTCATTAAGCTAGCCACTAAACTATGTAAAACAATATGAAACTATAACTGTGACATGTGACACGCGCAAAAAAAAAAAATCCCGAACCACTTGTAACAAGTTCGGGAAATAATTTTAGGAACGACTGGCCTAGATAGGTACCATAAAGTAGTATAAGGAGACATAACGCCAATTGTCGCCATCTCAGATTTTCGCTGATTTAACGACGCGAGCGCCACTCGCGGAAAATGAGGGAACTCCAACCCTGCATGACCAAAACCTTCCCTTACGACGTAAATGACCCGAAGTGCTTTTAATCTTGCAATTAAAGTGCGCAAAGAGAGACAATAATCCGCGGATGAT